ACCATGATGAAGGTCGCCGGCAGCTGCTGAGGTAGAGTTCGCCTGCTAACCAAGTGGAAAATCCACCTGATGTGGCACCAAACTTAGCTGTGTTGCCAACTGTGATTCATCCAATTATTCGCGCCCGAGTTTGGTAAGTTCGTGTCTTGAGTCTTTTGTTTTTCAAGTTGATTTTTTGCTGCTGCTTCTCGCTTCGTCGCCAAAAATGTTTCCGCAATTTGGCACTGCACTTGGCACTTGGCAGCTCATTGGAAGCTTCACCAGATCCAGGTGCTGCTCTTTGGCTACTCCAATTTGTCCAAGCCGCCCCAGAAATGGCGGTTAGCAAAGGGGACACACAGAGACGCTGCCCGGCTGACATTCGGCCCCAAAAGAGAGTGAAAGCTGCACGAGCGGCAAGCAATTGGTATTGGAATCGCATTAAATTTCAGCTCAGCTGCGACTTCGATCCAACTTCCACTTCGACATGGGCCAATGCAAGGCAGTTGTTGTTCATTGCTCGCTCGTGTTTTAATTTCGTGTTGTATAAAGTGTTGTTTTTACCCCCTCTCCCAAGCTCCTACCTATCCCCCCCCCCCCTCTTAGTTTCATTGTCAGCGTGCGGGCATGCAACAACGGCCCAGGTAGCTTCTTCGGAGCTCCTCCTCAAATGCTAAAGCGTATTTCATAATTGTGCCCGATGCACATATCAAGCGAAATTAATCATAGTAATTGCCGGCGTTGGGCTTAACTCGGTCTGCGCTCTGCGTGTAAATGAACTCGGCAAACTGAGACTTAAACTCTGTGGGAAAAGCCGCATTTTTGGCAGCGTTTAACTACCGAGGAGACCATGCCCCTGCTCCGGCGCCATCTGTGTCAAAGCGTTAAATGCAAAAATGCGAGCTATGTGTGATTATTTGGGTTTTACTTTCGAACTGATGCACTTGGAGAAATGTGTGTTAAAAGGACTTTAAGTAACTTTAGGCTGAAGTTAGCTTACTTACTTACAAATTTTATAGTTTCCTAAATAGAAATAAACACCACGAACCAGAAAATTCAACCTTAAAGCATCTAGGTCTAGGATGTCTCCTTACTCTAATTCCAATTGTCTTTAAATCTGTCTTATTTGGTTTTTATAGTAATAAGTTTCTCAAGTTTATAGCTGCATTTTCCTTATGCAATTAAACAACTTAATTTCTTTAACTGTGTGAAATTACCATTGCCACTGGGTTGGGAAAATTTTGTGAAAAAAAAAGGGCCAGGCCCGACCAGGCCCGGGCTGACTTTGGCATACTTTTCGTTGCCAAGCGGTTTGATTAGCATCTTTGTCCCCTTCGCTGCAGCACCCTCATCTGGCATTCAGTTGGTGTTCTATGCGTGGGACTCACTTATATGCTTAGGTACTGGTATATCTGGTATCTGGGCATATATATTTCTTATTCTCCTCGATAAACTGGCGACATTGTTCCGCGCTCGCTGTCAGTTCTTGTGTGGGCAATCCAATGCTGATTGTCTATGATGGCAAGCGTTGGCTTTGCCTCGTTTGCACTCTTAACAACTGGAAACTGTCAGTCAACAGCTTACTTAAGTAAATTTTCATTATTCTTCTATTGTATGTAAGCAATCAAAAATAAATTCTGGGCAGGAGAGACGGAAATGTGACAGGGCGAAGGTAAAGGATTAAAGGAAGAAGAAGGAAATTATTATATTACAAAGACAAAGCTGATACTTATTGCATAAAGGGGAATTTTATGTTAATGTTTATACATAACAAAGATACTGGTTAATATTTTTAGGCATAGAAAGCTTTGTTTTCATTTCAAATAAATAAAATGTAAGGACCAATCAATCTCTGATCATATTTTTATAAGCCAAGCTTGACAGGTTTTTATGAATAATTGAACTACAAATTAAATTAAATTATTCTCCATATTTATTAACCTATTTTAAACTAACAAAAGTGCTGTATTTTTTCAAATTTACCCTTGTGGAGTGACCTAATGCATTAATTGCGGTGAAGTCTCACCCCAGAACATCTTCCCACATCACTCAGTGCCTCAAAGTGACCCGACACTTATGGCTGTGACCGCATTTGGATCCGCTTCCCATTCGGCTGCAAAACAGCAGCTGTGTCTAATTTGTTTCACAAAAAAGAAACCATTAAAAAAAAGTGCAAAAATTCTCTAGTTTCGCGTGTGAACCCCAAATGGAACTTGGGTAAAAATTAGCCACCTTCCCCGGACTCCTTATGAATTGGGTCAGCTTGTGGGATAGATCTCGATGTGTCTGCGGAATGTGGCCGAAAAAAAGTTGCAGCATCATTGGTAGTGGCCAAAAACTGTTTATGGCCAAATAATTTATGCGTGAAATGCAGGAAAAAAAGGCAAAAAACAAAACTACAACAAATTAGCCGCTGGCAGGGGCGGGTTTCCATTTGAAATGATATTTAATAATAGGTAATTGTGAAATGAAAAACATGAGAAACAGAAATCAACCGCCGCCCATATATCAATCCATCTAAGAGGATAGTTCGTCGCGGACTTGCATAATTATCGCAGAGCAACTAATCTGTTTCGGAGTCTGGCTCTTTGCCCAAAAAATCCAAAAACCAAAACCCAAAAAAAACAAAACCAAAAGGCGAAGCCAAGGGAAAAGTGCGAAGCAAAATGGCAAAGACAATTTGAATTCATTACCGGCCCGGCTCTGTCTCTGTCTCCAGCTCTCGGCTATCTCCCTCAAGGTCGCATTGGTAATAAAAGTAAAATGTGGCAAGTGATTCCACTGCGTTAATTTTCGCCCTGCTCTTGTTTTTAGTTTCTTTTGAGTGGCCCAGAATCGGGTGTGATATATTTAAAATAAAAGAAACCGAGACCCATAAAAAGGGCATATTTATTATAATTTTATTATTCATTGTGTTGTACATTTCTGGCTTTATTTTTTTTCAGGTTTCCCTTTTTATTCTTCTTTTAGGGCTTTGAGTTTTTTAGTTTAACTAAAAATAAGGAAAGGAAGCTTAGTTTGGGAAGCCAAAGTTGAAGCTTGGAATTGGTTCGGGATCCAAATTTAAAATTTAGAGAACTCCGTCAAAAATTCATTAAATTCAATTCGGAAACCTTTTTCTATGTTAGTTTTCATAAGGTTAATAAATCTCCATACTTAGTTTTTAAATTTAAAACGGAAATGACTCTTTCACTAAGTACCTTATAAGGGTATACAATATTAAAAAAAAACACAATTTTTAATGATTTTAAATATTTGTTAACTAGCTTTTTCCTTACTAAACACCCTTAGAAAAAATTCCTCATACAGAAATATTTATAAATGTATGTTTACTTTAATTTATATTAATATAATAAATAAAGCAACAAAGCTGTGCATAAAAACAAATCCTCTTTTATATTATAGGGTATTCATTTTCTCTATTCCCAAATTCTTATTAAAAACCTCTTGATGTTTGGCCCTTTGTTTACTATTTTTTTGTTAACATTTTTGACACAAACTAATTTGCATATACTACTGAGCTCACTATCTTTCTATAACTATACCCTCGATTTGCGCAATTGTGAACTGCAGTTGTGGTTTTTCCCTCGTTTTGTTTTGTTTTGATTTGTTGGCCCTTTCCATAGTGAGTTCCCTTCAAAGCCAAGAAAACACGAGGCCCACGTGCTGCTGCCCACTTAAATAAAAGAAGAAAAAAAAGACGATACAAAGATAGCAAACTACGAGGGAGTTGGAGTTGGAGTTGAAGTTGGAGCATCTGAATACCAAATAATCATCCGAGTCATCATCATCATCAGTCAGTCTAAGATGCCAGTGACCTTTGGCGGCTGGCTCTCTTCATTTTTCTCACTTCTTCAAGCTGATCGATATCTGAGGGGGAAGCCTCCAAAATATATGTTTATAAAGATCCATGTAATGCACGATTTTCGTTGAAACCCCCCAAAGATTGAGGCCTCCGTAAACAGTTAGGGAATAACATCTCTCGGATTTCATTTCCCACCTTGAACCCCGCTTCTATTTGTATTTAAATTTCTGGCAAAATCATCTCTAATATGGGTCAAATACTACAGGTTTCTCGTTTCTCGTAGCGAAATATGTGTTAATCGCTTCCCATGAATTATTCAATAAATTTCGTATAAACACAAATGTTGAATCTAGAGGAAGGGGTGCGAGGGGGTAGACAGACCGGTGTGTGATTTACAGGTGGCAATTAAGAAAAGTGTTGCCAAAACATAAGCAAATAATTTAACTGACGATTCTACACAGTTTTTATGAGTTTTAGAACACGTTTACATGGAGTATGCATACGATCAAGGGTTAATTTTGTAATCAAGTAAAAAATTAGCGACAAAGTTTTCGCAATTTATGAGCATACTGCACTTTCAAGTGTTTAATTAGTTAGGGATTACTTTGGTAGCCACTTAGGAGTTAATTGTTGGGGACCCGGGTAACCCGTAAAAATAAACCAAACGAGGCTCTTAAATCTTGGCTGCTTCACATAAATTTTCGGCCGAGGTCAGTCTATTATCTATGGAGCTTTAGATATATATTTACGATCCAACTAAAGGTGATTGAAACTAGAGACGAAAGACGGTAAATTTATGGGAAAACTCTGGGTGACATCACTGGGAGCCTAATCAATAGAGGAACTCCATTCAAAAGACCATATAAACTGGTATAAATTAGCTGGGAATGTGTATTACTTAAATCATAGGTTTTAACTAAGCTAAGCTAATACAGAAACTGCACATAAATTAAAAAGAGTGGTTAGACTTTAATTATTATTTGCAATATTCACATTAAAATATGCATAGTTAAGTTTATTTTGTAATTTATTCAAAAATCTAATGGTTAATAAATACAAGAAAACTAGCAAAGAAGTAAAAGTCATAACTGGAAGGTTATTTTAAAATTTTTTTAATATATTGAAGTGAAAACACGCCAGCTATATACTTTTTAATAACTTATAGCAGGCTTTGACTTTTATTTTCTTTACCTATGAATATAGCCTATATGTTTTCCCATTCAAATCCAACATTCAGAGTGTTCGGATCTCAGCTCAGAACAAAAAATATAAATAAATTTATAAAAGTAATATATATTTTCTAAGTCTACAAGGTAAAGAGATTTCTAAATTTAAAAATACCCAAGAAAAAGTGTAAACTAGTTTCAAAATTAAACTCTTATTTTTCACTCAGCTCGGAGATGCCTTTCCACGGAAGCATAAACTCCGGAGCCGGCGGAGATCTGAGCAGGGAGAAGGAGTTCTCGGATCACAACATGGAGGAGGTGACCGAGGGCATCTCTCCGTTTAACGCCTGCCGCAAGCCCCGGCCGGATGCGGATTCCCTATCCGTGCGCCAGTATCTGGACCAGACCGTGGCGCCCATCCTCCTCCATGGCCTCCAGGCACTGGCCCAAGATCGTCCCAGCGATCCGGTGAGCTACCTGGCCACGTATCTGCTGAAGAACAAGAACCGCTGCGATGAGGTCAATCCGGCAGACACATAATCCTGTTACTACGTTTATTTCTGTCAACAACTGATTTACGCTGATTTGTTACCTGATTCTTGTACACCCCGATAGGTTTTCGATTGTTTAATTAAAACAAATGTTTGTGCTGGCACTTTAAAAAACTTACCAGCCACGAATTATTCATAATGATCCTCGGCAGCTTTCAAATTATTTTCTGATTTAATTTACAATTTATTTGCCGTTGCCTTTTCACGGCTCTGTTCACACGCACAAGATTTTCCAAGAGATTCAGCTGTTGCCAATTTTGGCAATCTTCATTATCGGCAATTAGCCAAAGGCTCTTCAATTAGTTCCAGCTACCGGCGGCTGTTATAACTCTTTTTAATTTTTATCTATTTTATTTGTATTTATATTTTTTTGTTTTATATATATGAACACTTCCGATTGCGGCCCACGCTCGATGCAATACGATTTTTTTTACTGAATTGTTTTGAGGGGTTTGTACTCGGTTTGGGCCAGGTTTTTCGACTCGCGCTCTCGTGTGTCTGCTCGGCTGGCTGGCTCGTTCGCCACTAAATTCGCAGCGAGCTTAGTTGACGGTTTAAAAACTTCAAATTCGAAACCGATACCGATACCGAGCTTGGCTTCGTCGTCACTTTTGCTTCGTATTCCGCCGGTTGGGTTTTTTGGCCACACAAATAATCTACTTTGGGGCGAGTAAGCCGATTTCTCGGTCCCCAGAGGAGGAGGAGGCCCACCCGCAATTGTCACGCGCCAAAATCGAACTTGTTCCGGCTGAGAAAGATCTCTCAGCTCAGGTTATATCTGTATGTGCATAGGTAATGCCCCCTGCACATAGTCTAGAATAATTGATTCTAATTACTAAACCAGGTCCAAAGACCACTTGGCAGTGCATCTCTTACCGCAGCAGCCTTAAAATACTTCAGGTTTTCAGTTCACTTTTTGTTTTTTTGAAAGGGTTTCGGCCTTGGCATGTTGGTTCAGATTGAAGTGGAGTTAGATAACTTGAAGTTTCTCGACAGTTTCCGATCAGTTGAACAAAATTATTATTATTAATAAAATACTCCGCTTTTATCGAGACAAATAAACATGTCTAAAAATACAACAAATATAATCTCCAGGCGATTTTTGCAATTCGAGTCAGCGTTTTTTCTACCTTTTTTTAACTGGAAAGGTAAATATTTGATTGTCAAGGGAGAAAGGCCAAGTGCAAAAGCTTTTGTCTGATTTTGATACCCTTTGGGGTAGGGGAAGGGCATTATCTAATTAGAAGGGGTACGGAAAAGGTGTCTAGACTTTACACTCTCCCTGAAAAGTGATTCATTTTTTTGAGGGTTAACCATTTAAACTATGATTAATACTTGGGTATTAGTTCAAGTTAATTAGTTTTGCTATATTAGAGCAATATTAAAAGTTATGTATAGTTAATAAATAGAGCTCTGAATAATATCATAGCTACAGTTACTTATTTAAAGTATTTCTTATTTGAATATGGAATCAGTTATTTAAGAAATTCCATTAAAATCGATCAACCTAACCCATACATTTTCTCAATTTATGTTATGATATATCTATTTCTTGTCTACAAAACAGAACCATTCCATTTGCCCTAATGAATAGTCTCTCAATTAGGGTATACAATCCATATATTCATAATCCATTAGAAATATAGAAAACAAAGAAACAGAAAACAACAAACTGTCCGTCCGTCCCACATGGATAATAAAAAGTCCGGCACATATGATTTCTGATGGCGTATCTATTGCCATCTGTATCTGGATCTCACTCAATCTCTCAGAGCTCGCCTTGTGGCTCGAATTAATTAAAAAATCAAAGTCGTTGTAATTATTTGTCTCGACTGCAAAAATAAAAAAAATTAAAGGTGCCTGGCACTCGGAGCACTATAACAGCTCTCAAGATCTTAAGACCCGAAAGTGGAGTTGCAAATTGAACTCGCTTTATTTTGGCGCCAGCACAGCTGCCATTGTGATGTTGAGCTTTTCGAGTGCGTGGGCGCCTTGGAGCCGCCGCCTGTCCAATGGAGCAGCGTACTCCAAGGCCTCCTCCAAGCTCGTCTGGCGCTGGATAAAGCGATCAGGCATAGGCCCAGCTATATGTTATATCCGATGCAAGGCTGACGTCACAACTGTCTATGAAATCATTTCTGATCTGAGGGATAAATCAGCGCTAGCATTCCAATGAATAATCATTGCTAGATGCTCGTATATTTGCCAGCTAGTTCAATAAACAAAACTATACTCGGCTATGGCAACGATTTCGAATTACAAATGCAGCTCACAGCCCGCGGACTTTGACTTTGACGACCCACTGTGCGTATGAGCGACGCGGAACAGAAAATTATTTGAAACTTGGTTTGGGGGTTTTCGGATTATTTATGCGTTACATGCGAAACACAGAGAGACGAATTTGAATTTAAATATTTCACATGACGCATTCGGTGGGTTGACATGCGTGTCTGCGACAAATGTCGCTCCAAAACAGAAGCAGGCCACGCCTCCCTCTATCACTCTATCCCCAAAAGCAAGCACAGAGAAAAAATTAAATATATATTAGACAAGGTCTTGGTTTTATATATAATTAATGGTCTTCCAGTCACGAAATGTTATGTAGAATTTTGCACTTTAAACATACATAATTGTTGGTAATGTTTAAAAGATGGTTACTCTATTTCCGGGATCGATTTGTATAGATTTAAGGAATTTTATGAAATTGAACAAACTTTGGGAACTCATAACTAAACCAAAAAATCATGAATTTTAATTTGGAAAGCTGATCTGTGCTAGTTTTTACTAGATTAACAAATCTGCATACTCAGTTTTCAACTTTAAAAAATTCAATTTTTTGTCGATTTTTGAAAAAAAAGAATGATGAAAATTTCAAATTTTAACAAAATTTTTAAAATTTTATTTTTCCTCTAGACATTCCTAGATAGATTCCTCTGTTAATTCTGATCAAGAATATATAGGATTTATGGGGTCGGAAATGAATATTTCACATAGTTTCAAGCTTCTGACTAAAGTTATAATACATTTCAAGACTATAATGAACACTTTCAATAATTCAATGAAAACCAACTCAATCTTTCCCGCAGTGCATCAAACACAATCAACATTCATTGACAATTGAAATGAAATTGATTGAAATGCGATTAGCAAAATGAATATCAAACTGCAGCAGCAACAACAATAATTGAACTAATACTATAAATGTTTTGTTTATTTCGAATTGAATAATCACACATAAGACGAACGGCAGGCAGGTGTAAAATAAAACATTTTAAAGGGCGGGGGAAGGGCAATGATTTTTGCATTTATCGATTCGGCAAAACTGATCAGTAGGCTATTTTTATGGCCCCCACATGGATTGTTTTTGGCCATTTTCCTGCAGAGTCACGAAATCTTGAAGTGCTGCGACAATTCCTTATATAATGCAATGAGATAATCATCATTATGTCAGCTCAACTGGGCCAAGCTGGGCTCAGGTGTTAGCACTAGATTTATAATATATATATACACCAGATCTAAGGCCCAACTATGATCTCAGCGTTGGAACTGTGAAAGTTCTGACTTTCGGATGGAACCCCCACGCAATGGCCAGCATAAAATGGAGTGGAGCTGCTCCACTTTGGCCACAAATAAGGCTTCTCTGACCAGACAGAGGAGGCGTTGGTGAACAGCATGACCTACGCTAATAGGGGGAAAAAAAGATCGAAAGAAAGAACCATTCGAACCAGAGAAATATAAACTAATTTTAGCAGTTGCGACATCGCAAAAATATCAGAATATCGAGGGCCCAGAGCAGAGCAACAACAAAAGTTCGCTGAACTGCACAAAAGCTACAAAATATTGGTATATAATAAGACAAAGCCGGGCTTCATTAGCCCCGGTCTCATCACCATCACCATCACCATCATCGTCGAAGAAAGCAGCGGCATCAGCAGCTTCCAAAGATTCGGACATCTTCGAAAACGAACAAAAAATGCACACAAATCAACGTTAGAATTTGGAATTCCAGCGGGAACAAAGCGGAGAAAGATTGGAGAGTCCGGAGCTCGGGAGAACTGCCAAATTCCAGGTATATATGGTCAAGGTAAATTGACTTTTTATAGACAGTGACAACAATTAATTATATTTTAATATGCTGCGCAGCTTGGCTTATTAGTTTATAGTATCAACAATACAAATTAAAGAGTCCCTCCATCCGACTTTGGACGCGACGGTACCTATGGAGCGACCTCGAAGAAAGGCCGCCGCCGAAAGTCATCGAACTTTCTCCCTGTTCTTTTTCGCCAGCTAATTTCTATATTAGGTGTCATGGTCTCCGGCTGTCGGTGGTTCTATTAATTACCCCAAAACAGCTGCTATCATTTATAACTCAGTCCCCGGGGGAGTCCATCTCCCCCCCAAAAAGATCTGCTATCTGTTACAATTTGTAAATGATCAACTGCGGAGAGCTCCCAGGTCGCAAGGTCGAACAAATTTGCCTAAAACACAATCGCAGCGATCAGTGGCTAAATTGCCGTGACAAGTGAACCCTCCAAGTTAGTTGGGAACTCCAGTAGCCTCCGGAGAAAAGAACAGAACGCAACGGAGCATTATACAATCGCGTGAGTCTTCTCAGAGTTGCGAATCTTTGTTGCTTAATTCTCCTTTGTAAGCGTCGCGGTTGTCGGTGACATGCAAACAGAATGGTTATGGATAGAATGGTTATGGCCAGATAGATGGATGAATGTGCCATTGGTGTCTCTTAGCCGGCACTTTCCAGCGTCTGAGCTGTAATTAATGGCAGCTCACGAGTTAGCCACAAATTAGCCACATGACACAGCGCCCGACGAAGTGGTAGGCGTCTGGAGACAGGTCCGAGACTAAGATCGAGACGGATTCAAATGGTTTCTGGTGGGCACTAGAACTGACCCCATCCGGGTGAACTGTTAGCTCTTTTACCACTTCACTTCCATGGCTAATTAAGAGTCGCCAAGAGCTTCCGTTCGATTGGAGGCGTTGCGGTTGTCGGGTTTACAGAGTGGGCGGTTCTTGGTATATTCCATGACTCTTGGCACATAAATATTTGATTAAGCACATAAATATGTAAATGTAAAGGCAATAAATTGGATTACAACATAAAGACCATTTTGGTAAGTCTATTAATGAAGTATTACATTCTAAATTGTGGCTAAATCTAGCTAGAAACTATTTAAATTAAAGCAAATTTAAACCAAAAATAAATTTATACATTTCATAAGTAATTTAAAGAATAAACCAGAGGAAACTAGTTCACAGAAGCCGAAATTACAGATTTCAATCAAATCATAGAATCGAAGGAAAAATCGACCATAACTAGGCTTTAAATATTCACATTATAAGAATCGGTATTTTTATATGACACTTTTTGCGACACTTCAATGTCTAAAAGACTCATATCTTGGCCAAAAATTAATTAATTTTAATTTGGAAAGATGTTCAAGTAATTTTTTACTAAATTAACAAATCTGCATACTCAGTTTTTAAGTTTTTAAAATTCAATTTTTTGTCGATTTTTGAAAAAAATCATGATGTTACCCCTTATGAAAATATCAAATTTTAACAAAATTCGGAAAATGTCATTTATCTTTTAGACATGCCAAATAAGATTAGCCTGTTCATTCTGATCAAAAATATATATGATTTATAGGGTCGCAAATGATTCCTTCACTTTTTTTTATTCGTCTGACTGAAATTCTATTCTGCAAAAAAGGTATAAAAACAGACAATTTTCTTAAATAATGAATCTCTTCCAACCATCATAAATAAAATTAGAACACCCTTTAAAGGGTATAAAATTAGCTTCGCAATATAATCGTTAATGGTTTTCACATATTGTCCATATGCTATTTATTCCAGAATTCTATATCTGATGCTTACTAAGTACTAAATTATACATTAGGGTTTCAGCTCGCTTCAAGCCCAGCTAGTTGAGGGGATTCGGTGTCTTGGCGCTCTCCTGGCGAATGGCATTTATGAGCTCATAATTAACCAGGAAGGTGAAGCGCAGTCCGGAGATCTCAACAGTGCAGTTGTGAGCTAGACGCGTTTTGTTCGCAGACAATAAGGGAGTGCCGTCTATGAAGATGGCCCGCTTACCCTCGTTGGCAATGAAGAAGTCTCCGTTGCTGCGCAACTTGATGGTTCCCTGGCGACGTGAAATCTTAGCTGATGGACCTTCTAGCGATAGATCCACGTCCACAACGCAGTCCTTGGCATCCCGGCCGAAGGTAATCTCCTTGGAGCGCATCAGGTAGCGCACATGGCGGCCACACAGACAGGCCAGTGTCTGGTTATCGAATTCGGAGGCTGCTGTGGGTCCAAGAACCGAATCTACGAGGACGCCCCAACGCGAGAGCTCGTTCTCAAGCAGGCGAATATCACGCTTGTTGCGGCGATCCGCCAGAGCTCTCTCCAACTCCAAGGCCTCGTCACGCGGCTCGTTGAGATCGTGCTCGAAGATCTGATCCTCGGCATCCGAGAAGCTAAGCGGCTGCTGATCCGCGCCATAGACCGGCTTCACCGTCTGATCCGGCAGAAGGCTATACTGCTTGAGCAGTAGCCAGTGGTTGTGCAGGGACTTGGCGGTGCGAGCGCTGTAAAAGATCGAGGCGTTCTTGTCGAGAAGCTCCTGGAATTGCTCCAGTTTCGGCTGCTCCGTCTATAAATGAGAGAAATGGGATTATAAATCAGCTTTAATATGTATATCTTGTTGATCTCTACACTCACGCTCTTAATGGTGCCCAGTAGATCCTCCTCCTGAACGCTGTATAGGGCCTTGCGCTGAACGGAATCAACCAGCTCAGGATGCAGGTTGCGCATGGCAGACACGGCAATCCGCGAGACAGCCGGCTCGTATAGTAGGGCATACCAGCGCTGCTGCAGCTCCTGCAGAGTAAACTTACAGGAGAACTTTACGCCACGATGTATAATCCTCAAGTCGTTGGTCTGCTGTATGCCAATAATCAGGGCCAGGTCGTCGATGGGCTTCCAGCGACCCAAATCCTTGGTGGCCGTCTGGCCGAGAGTTCTACCGTTGCGGCGCTGCGACTTCTTGCTGGCCGGACGCACGGGACGCGAGCGCCTCTCGCTGGCCGCTGGACGCTCCATAACGGGCGGCTTGGGATGCACTACGGTCGGAGTTGGGGGTGCAACAGGCAGTAGCGGAGTTACGGGCGGTGCTGGCGTGGTGGGTGTGACCAGAGGCAGTGAAGCTACCGTGCTGGGCGTTCCGGGAACTAGGGAATCCACCGAAGCGGGAGTTGAAGGCGGCTCCGGCGTTGGAATGGGAATGGTAAGCGGCGCTAGCGTGGTGTGCGGCACTCCAATTAGAGCGGGATAGTTTTGCGAAGTGGTTCTCGGTCTGTTGCTGCGATTTGGGTCCGTTCCGCTGCGATTCGTGGGCACTGCGATGTTGTACTCGACTATTTCATCATCAAAACGCTTCCTTTTGATTGTTCTAGACGAACTGTCGGCGGCGGGAAAACGAAAATGAATGATTACCAAGCACTTTTTCTCCAGTTGACATCCCTGTCAAATCCTGTTATTCTTACCTCCTTCGTTTCTGGTCGTTTTGAAGCTCAATCGGCAGATTTTGTATCGGAGCTCGCAGAAGCGGAGTGGCAATTACAGTCGTGGCTGCAGCGGTACTCACAACCGTGTTTGTTGCTGACACCACTGTACTTGTGCCCGTGCCTGTCGTGGTTGTTGTTGCTTGTGCTGGCGACGACACGCCTACTGTGATTAGTGTGCTCGCAGGTAGAGGGGGCTGTTGTGCCAAGGGAACTGTGGGTAGGCTAGGGGCGTTCACAGGAACTGCACTGTTGGCAGAAACCGAGATTCGTGTAATTTCCATAGCTGGGACGCGGATTTATTATTAAAAATTCACTTTTTCACGACGCACTACACAACACGGTGTGACCGTTTTTTAATATCGATAACAAGCGTTACGAATGTTTTCTCTTACGACACACAAATATGTTATGTCCCTTACGTTGTTTGAAAATCTGGCAGCCCTAATTTTATCGCCGCCTTCTTGACCGATCAAGGTATCGATAGTATCGAAGCTAAATAAACTTTAAATAAAAACTAAATACAAATAATAGAAAACCAATTAAATAAATTAAAATTATTTATAAAAATAACTATGAGGAAATAGGAAACGTAAATTATATACTGTTTGTACTAAATTCTTCTTCATTGAGTAGTAGAGATGGAAAAATATAGTTATTTTTCGAAAACATTTTCCATTATCGATGTATCGATGCTTTCCCATCTCTATGTAAAATTTGTTTACTCGGACTTTTGTTTAAATTAGCGAATTTAGGCCACAAATCCAGCCAGCATTACTCAGCACCGATGCGCGCATCTAGATGAGTGCCTGGATGAGCGGGCAACCGAGTTTACGCGACAGCCACAGAATAATCACCCGGAAATATGAGGTAAGCCATCGGAAGGGCAACAAAAAAACAAACATGTTATGACTAATCGATTCGCAGTTTGCACTACGCGGAATCGGAGTCTTCGCAGTCAGAGAGCAAAATGGACATCTCGGAGACGCCGACGGACTCCACTGGCATCTCGCCGCTGGCCGATGATGCCGTGACACCTGCTCCGCCCAAGAACATCCTGGCGCTGGAGAAGGAAAATGAGATTGTGAATGATCTGGCAAAGACGACTACGACTTCCACCTTGGACAACCGAATTCTTCGGTCGGATATGCTGCCCATTGAGACGATGCCGCCACAACGACATACCATCGAGCGCACGCTGGCTAATAGCCATCCGTTGATGTCGCCTACAAACACGGACTCGGACTCCGAGCCTTTCCAGCTGAAGAAACAGGAGAAGCCGCAGCCGCGAGGCAACTTTCCGGACGTGGTGCCCACCACGGAGACGGTGCAGGCGAAGAACTCGCTGAACCAGTCGCGGAATAAACCCCAGGATGCCAAGGTCAGTCTGTTGAGGGCCAACAGTCCAGACATTCTGAGCAGCGAGTCGGATGCGGATGTGTCCCAGTACTTGGCTGCCGTGGAGTCCAATTTCCAGTCGGTCTCCCTAATGCCGAACGGCAATGGCAAGAAATCCAAGCGGACCACAACTCTCCCCGGCGGCGAGGATATATCCAGCTTGGACTCGATTTCCAACCACAGCTTCGATGACGACGAGGATATCGAGCATAATTTGGCCTCATTGAGTCCCTCCAGCTCGCTCATCGACGGCCTGGACGGAGAGGACGACGACGACGACTGCGAGGGTCCGGAGCTATTGCCCGACCATGACGACGACCTGGAATTGGACCTGGAGTTCAGACTGGCCACCACACCAACGCCACATGCTGCTGCTACGGCTGCGGTCCCAGGCGCCTCCACTCTGCCACAATACACGGCTGCTGAGGAGCGGCGAGATTCTCGGAATTGGCAAAAGATCACTTTGCCAGACGGACGCACCCGCGAGATCGACATGCGCGTCATCGAGCCCTACAAGCGGGTGCTCTCCCACGGCGGATATCTCAAATCTGGCGGCCAGAACGCCATAGTCATCTTTTGCGCCTGCCACCTGCCGGATAGATCGCGGGCCGACTACAGCTATGTGATGGACAACCTGTTTCTTTATGTGGTCAAGACTCTTGAGCAGCTGGTCACCGATGACTATGTGCTGATCTACCTGCACGGCGGCTCCAACAGGCGAAACGTGCCTCCCTTTCCATGGCTCAAGCGGTGAGTTTGCTATCTTGTTAATTCCTAATTGATTCTTATGCTGATAGATTATGATTCCCCAACAGTTGCTATCAGTTGCTAGATCGTCGGCTACGCAAAAGCCTGAAGCACATGTATCTGGTGCATCCGACATTCTGGATCAAGTCGCTGGTGTGGATGGCAAGGCCGTTTGTGAGGTGAGTTTTCCCTATAAATATAAGTAAATAATAAGTAAAGACTTTATTTTTTCATATTAATAAACTTCCATTCTCCCTTGCAGCACAAAGTTCTGGCGCAAGCTGGTCTACGTAAAGTCCCTGGAGGAGCTTGGCCTGCATGTGGCCGTGGAAAAGGCAGCCATTCCGGAAAAGGTGAAGCAGTATGATGCCAAGCGGCACTGAGGATACTGCAATGCCCACAGACTTGTTTTACTCAAACGCAAAACGCTAATGCAACCGCAACGCATTCATGCCACACTCGCTATACACTAGAATCTGTGCATTACGCATTCCCCATCTTCACGGACTACGGACTAAGGCTATATAATCCTCCAACCGATTTGGTTTGCGCTCTCTCGCTATGCTTTAATTTAAGATCTCAATCTTTGTGATACTTTATGTTTGCCTTCTCAGTCGAGTTCCCCTCAGCATTTTTCCGTGTGTGAAGCGTGAAGGCGTGGAGTTCGTTCAGCAAGACATCGAACAAGTTTTTGTAGTTCTTTATTGGCAGCCGTAGTAGAATCGTATTAATAGGCAAAGAGCCATCCACATATTTATACCATGTAGTTATCGTGTAGCTTCCGCTTCATATACATCAAATATATATATATACATATATTTTGTAATGGAACAGACATACATATGCAACCAGAAACCACCAAACTTCCGAACCTGTTACCTTTTCTCGTAGCAACACGAAGTTGGAGCACCTAAACTGAATTTAAACATAAGTAATTGAAAATCTTTAGCTGAATTTTGCATCCAATGTATGTTCCAAGCACGAAACGAATCGAAAACTCACACTGGACACTGCGACAATGACCCCATGCCAGTCGCCAGTAGCAGGTGCCACCCGTATCCATATCTGCATACCCCACACGCCACATCCACCATCAGAGTTAGCCGATTAGACTGTAAGTGACCAGTAGCGACCATTCTCTGTGGAATCCACACACACACGGACACACGTAGAATCTCTATATATAGCGGATAATGTGACGTACAATTTAGGCAATGAATGTAACCGATTGATATTACGAGCGACATTTTGTTGGTTTCCTTTTACCGCTTTAAACAAACAATAACAATAATAATAATAATAAAGTGCAAGATGTTTTTTATTTATTATAATGCAATACATGCGCCGTACAAGGCCTGCTCTACGAGTAATAGCTCTGGTCGCAGTCCCACAGATCATTATCCTCGTGAAACTGGATGAGCACCAGCTCATAAGTCACAATGGTGCCGGCAACCTGAATGAATATTATTAACCTAAAGTGGCTCTCGGGTGAATCAGAATTACTCACACTCAGCACAAGCTTTCTGGTAAGATGAAAGAACTTCATGCCAGTCAGGGCCACCTCATCGCTAATGACCTCCTCCGTAAATCTTTTTACCTCTGGGCATCAGGACTCCTTGGGCACACAGCGTAGGTATCTCAGGGTCAGCCTGGATTCGTCATGCACACTGGAGGAGTACAAAGACACCGCCAAAGTGCGACCAATGAGAAAGATGAGGGAGAAGTAAAAGTACACCGCATGCGCCACCGATGGCATGGTGCTAAAGGAAGCTCATGAAGGATTAGTCACATTCAGTACTCATAATCAAGACAATATAAAGATAATAGCGATACGCATCTTATACCTACTTAAGACTCCGCAGCAGCTGGACGCATATAAAGTATAGATTGTTCGAAAAAGACACCATCGTAATAAGAGAAATGGCATCGTCCATTTTATCGCATAGAATGCAAATATTTCTATATTGAATGCGTCGTTCCGACCAGTAAGTGGGAGGCATGTTCTGCAAGTAATCATTATTTTTCGGGTAATAATAATAGCTGTCAATCCTCGTTACCATGCCCTTGAAATTCCGCAGGTCATCGTTGAGCTGTCGGAACTTGGAAGCTAGTCCAATGCTGACAATCATCACAAACAAATCCATATAGTTCCATATGAAGGTCGAGTAGACGTTCTGGAACTTGCCCCACATGGCCAACGGGGTCGAGTAGCTGGTCACGAAGAAGATCTCATCGTTTGTGCGGAGAAAGTAGTTCTGAATGGGATCGGCGGTGCGGTTGCAAAATGATGCGTAGTTTATGGCTGAGACCATGCTCAAGATATGCTCCGCTATAATTTAAATGAATAATTACTTATTTCCATATTTGACAGTCATAACATACCAACTGATAGCATCATTCCAACCAGCATAACCATGGCAATGGTGTGACCCATCTTCCATCTTCCCAACTGTGTCTGATACTTCGGCAGATCCTGCTCCACGGTGTGCCAGTACATCATCAGTTGGGGCCACCGCCGGGCCAGATTCAGAGCCACTATCAACACTAGCAGAACAGATCCTCGGAATATAATGGGTTTAATGCTGTTGAAGCTAATCGGATTGTTCAAGACCTTATATAATGATAGTCCAAAGTTCGTGAAGCTCGACGCAATGAAGAGTACACAGAAACAGGTACGTATGTTGCGCCAGGAGAAGCTCAGATTTGAAGGATGCTTGGAGGTGACACCCTTAACCGGCATCATGGCAAAAAATTCGGCCACCAATAGGACACGGCCCACAGCCTGGTGGAAGGTTCCATCGCTGAGGAAGGCTTCTTTGTTGCTCCGGGACAGCTCTGTTCGGAATTAATTTAATTAGGTACAGAATTCATAATTTTAATTGGATAAATATTTACTGGGTAATGTGTTCCGGATCTCGTACTCCTTCTCAACCTGACTTTTATAGGTTTCACAGCTCTCTTGGAAGGCTTTCTTGCGGGCACTGAAAGGAAATTTGATGCTGATCAAGGATATATATGGTGTATAGGATTGGAAACGACTCCTTCACTAAGTTTCGAGGTACCGAGTCTATTTAAAATGCCCTTGTTATCTTTATTTATAAAAACCCTCACCCTCTCCTACCTCTCGTGAATCAAATCCAGCTTACGCGTCAACGGTGACTTGGTCACCTTCTTCTTAAGCCGGCGCAGTTTGCGCTCCAGCTTGGGCAGGATCTTCATCCTGGCGACTGGCTGATTCCACTGGCAAAGACCAACTGCAGCAAAGGAATGACCAAAGGCAACCTAAAAGCCAAAAGGGAACCGAATAGTGACCATTAAAAACACCTGTTGTTTTGCACTTATCTATAATTAAGGACTAGCAACAACAATGAAAGCACATATTTTGCGGGCTTAACCCTAAACCCTCTATTGTGCCAACACTCCCCTAAAAGAGTTCAGCCCTCATAGCAGGCGGGCACCTTCTCCTCACCGTTAAACTGCAGCAAAATCAGTTCGTAGGTCACAATTGTGCCAGCCACCTAAAGGATATAGTATATATATAGTTCTATAATTGGATAGTTTTGTTTACATACCGAAATGACAACTCCACGGGTCAAACGAAAGAATTTTAAGCCTGTCAGGGCCACATTGTCCAAGTGCACCTCCTCCGAAAAGCGCTTGAGCTGGCAATATAAACAATTAATTAATTATAAAACTTTACTTACAAATGAAATATATTCTAGCTCACCTCATCGCACCAATATTCCCGCGGCACCAAACGGAATATGAGCAGAGGTCGCTTAGATTCGTCATTAATACTTGAACTATAAAGGGACAGGATTAAAGTGCGGCCAAGTAGATAGATCAGGGAGAACCAGAAGTACAGGGTATGCGACACCGAAGGTTTTGTCCTGAAACAAATACAATATTAAAGAAAATTTAAATTAGAAACTAAATAAGAACTCACTGCATGCTCTTTAAGATTTTGCCGCAGATAAAATATAAATTATTGGTGAAGCACAGCATGGTAATGGTGGATATGGCATCGTCCACCACTTCGCAGAGTTTGCAGAGATTCCGAAAGTTGACACGACACTGCATCCAGTGGTCTACGCTGGTGGGCTGGAAAGGGTACAAATGTAATCATAACTTCGTGTCCTCAGGATCTGTCCTACAATCCTTACTAGTCTCGCCTCTCGCTGCATATAATCATTCAGTTGACGAAAACGGGCAGCCAGAGCCACACTGACCGCCATCACGAAGATGTCGTTGAAATTCCAAGCAAATGTGCTCAAAATATTAATAACTTTTCCCAATAGTCCAATGAAGAGAGTGTAGTCCACAAAGTAGAACACTGAGGAAAAGTTCAAGTACAGAAAACTATCGATTGGATGTCCCGGTATCTTTGGGCAGAAGTTGACGTAGTAACCCATGCTCAGCATGCTCATCATGTGTTCCACTAAAAAGGATTATTAAATAGGTGCGCTAGATTAAGAGAAATACTTACCCAGCGAGCATGTGGTAGCCACAATTGTAATCCACTTGATGTGCAGCGACAGGGCTCGGCGCTCCTTGACCGATTTCAGAGGTGGTAACTTGGCCTCCACTAGTTGCCACTCCTGGGCAACAGCAGGCCACTTTCTGGCCAATTGTAAAAACGCCAACGAGATGAGAAATATGGACAAGTAGAAGATCAGAGTCTCCACCGAATCAAAATTAAAAGTCACATTTGTTACAAAGACCACCAGGTAACCGGAGACCACTCCAAAGCAAACGATAGTGATCAGGGCATAGTAGGTGCGGGCACTGGACCACGCAAAGGCCAAATCCTCGGCGAACTTGGAGCTGACACCGCGAACTGGCATTAGGGCAAAGATCTGAGCGATGATGAGGACTAAAAAAAGAAAGAAAATATATTAAAATCTTGATATCGGATCATAAAGTTTAGGAATTAAATGAGAAGTTCATATTAACCTGGCTTTATAGCTTCTTGGAAAGACCCACTGTACTTGTAATCCTCTGATCTTCTAATACGTCGCAGAAAAGATTTTACTGGGGATTTTATTAACATTTTAAATAGTATAATAAAATAAAGAAAAAACATACTTTTTGCGAATTGAAAACGTTTACTTGGCTTAGAGACCACTTTGTACTTGAGGATGCCCAGGGTGACACTGAAATATGTTTAAATCCCAGTTACATCTGCAAAGATTTGGAGAATCTAAACATACTCGCTTCCCACGCGTGATCTTCGCCAGAACTTGATGCGAGCGATGAACCTCCGCCGCTTAGCCGCATCTCCAGTGGTCCTGGCCATGTTTGGTGCTCGACTGACTGCCACGACAAATGGTCAAGTCCATAAAATTGCTACTGGTTACAGCTAATTGATGGTCTCCGTGCCAATTGTGCGCTTATCTGTGCATAATCTTGTGCAAATGTGAGGAGCTGACAGTCGGCGGCGACAAGCTCATGAAGTATGTATTAATGAAATGGAGTTAAGAGTAGAATATGCTCATGGAGGAGCCGGCAGCACGGCTGCAAATATCCGGTTGTGTTACAGCACCTTCCATTTGGTGAAAGAGGACCAGTTCATAGCCAAGGGCTGCGGCTGACATCTGTGGGAATAAGGGATGTATTGATGAAGTTAAATAGAAATAAATATTGCAAAATTATTACTGCAAAGATAAGCCTACGGGTTAGGTAGAAGTAACCGTTTCCACTTAGAGCAAACGATTCATTGCGGAGCATCTCACTTAACCGCTCCAAGTCTTCGCACCAACGGCGTGAAGGGATCTCGTACAGAGTGTTGGATATATCCTTGGCCTCTTGAGGAATCGATGCAGCAGCGAACATCATGTTCATTAAGCGAGTGATCACGTACAACAAACAAAACCAGAAGTAAAGCTCGTCCATGAAAGCGCCTTTGACTCTGAAATATTTATAAATATCTATTTAGAAAACATATATATTAATAATCAAGAAACTCACTGAAAACTGTGGTAGACTTGCACGCAGATAAAGTACATGTTGTGCGCACAGGATACCAATATCAAGCCAGATAGTTCCTTGTCGTAGAGCTTCAGGAGATCATGCAGGTCCAAGAGATCGATACGTATTTCCTGCCATAGTTCCTTTCCCGAATTCCCTTTCCCCAAATTCTGACGAATGCGCCAATGCATCTGCTGAAACCGAATTCTCAATGAACGACACATGAGAACTAGGAAGATATCACCAAAGTTCCACAAAAATGTCATGGAGATTGTACTCCACTCGATAAAAAGCACCAGCCAGGAGTTGTAGGGAATTACAGAGAACAGTTCCTGACGTTCGCGTTCAAAGTAATTTTGTATGAAGCCTACTTCCAGCCGGCACTCTGTGATCTGCTTGCAGTTGCTCCAAACGGCACTGCCCACATAGGTGAGGTGTTCACACAGAGCGGCTACCAGAAGGATCAGGCCCCAGCGGCGAAGATGAAGACTAAACTTAAGACCATTGGGGCATTGGTAGCAGGGTTTCAGGAATATCCTTTCACATCGCGAGGTCTGACGAATGATATGGGGCCATCGAGGAGCTAAGTTTATAAAGGCTCCAAAACAGAATATGCAAATTACACTAAAGCTGAGAGAACCTGTAGGAAAGATATAAGCCCATAAATCGATCCCCAAAAACTTTTTATAATGTTTAATCTTACCTATAGTATAAATCTTAAGGCCATTGTGCAGAACAAGTTTAGCTGAGAACACAAAATCTGCGATCACAAATGTGAACACTCCCACGAATAGGAAAATAAACGGAGAAAGCCAGCGAAAGCAAACATTTTGCGGTGAATCACTGGGCTTGATACCGTATAGGGGCAGTACACCGAAAATCCTTGATATGACTAGAATATGACCTATGGCATGGTGCAGGGTATTCTCCGGGTGGCTCTCCAAGGACCGCTCCATCTGAAGACCGCGACTAGACAAATTGCTCTCCAACGGGGGCGTGATGGTTGAGACACTTCTAACAAAACGTTTCAGACTATGTTGATATGATAACATCTGACAGGTATAATTGATTGTGTGCCATTTCACAAAGTTCAGCAAGTGCAAAATAAGCGGAAAAAAGCGAATAGGGGATTAGGAAAATATGCTTTTGGAGGAGCCCACGCCACCCTCACAGAAGTTCTTCTGCACCTCAGAGCCAGCCATTTGGTTGATAAGCACGAGTTCATAAACTGTCAGAGTAGCAGCCATCTGTAAAAGATACATTCCTTAATAATATTAGATTTATTCTATAAAGTTTGAACTTACTGCAAATATTAATCGTTTGGTTAGTAGGAAATAACCCTTGCCAGTGAGCGCAAAGTGGTCAGCCAGAAAGATCTCGTTTATTCTTTTGAGTTCCACGCCCCAGAACTCTGTGGAAATTTCGTAGAGGGTATAGGATATCTCTCGGGCCTCTTGGGGTATAGAAGAGGCAGCGAACATCATGTTGGTAACTCGAATTATGACATAGGAGAGACAGAACCAGAAGTACAACTCATCAGCAAAGTTGCCTTTGGATCTAAAAAAAGAAAGATCATTAAATATCATAAACTATATAATTAGTTCCTCTAAACTTACTGAAAGCTATGGTATATTTGCACACACACGAAGTACATGTTGTGGGCACAGGAGAGCACAATCAGCCCGGACAACTCCTTGTCGTAGAGTCCCAGCAGATCGGTCAGATCTAAAAGATCACAACGAATCTGCTGCCAGAACTCATTCGGCATCTTCTGCCCCATATGCTGACGGATGCGCCAATGTAGCTGCTGGAATCTCATCTGCATGCCCCGGCAAATGAGAACCAAGAAGATGTCCACAAAGTTCCAAACAAATGTCATAGACAAGGTGGTCCACTCAATGAAAGGTATCCACCAGGCTGTAAAATGCATCACGAGGAATAGCTGCTGTCGCTCCCGCTGGAAATAGTTCTGCCAGAAGTCTACATTTAGCTTACACTCCACAATGGCCAAGTGGTTGTTGTACAGCGCACTACCCACATAGGTGGAGTGCTCGCAAAGAGCGGCTACGAGAAGACCCACACCCCAGAGACGAAGTCTTCGGGAGTAGCGACGCCCTGCTCGGCAATCGTAGGCGGGCTCCAGGAAGATCTGCTCGCACTCAGCCGTTCGGCGGATAATGTGGGGCCACCGACGAGAGAGCAACAGGAAGACCCCAAAGCAGAATATACAAATCACGCTGAAGCTGAGGGAACCTAGAAGGAAATCTCTTAGAATATACATTACATTTTAAACAAGAGCTTATACCAATGGTATAGATCTTCAAGCCATGATCAAGCACCACCTTGGAGGATAAGGCACAGTCCACAACGGAAAATGTAAATAGAACCAGAGCAGCCAGCAAAGACAATGAAAGCCAGCGGAAGCAAACCTTGTCAGGATGAGAACTTGGCCAGACTCCCGCTACCGGCAGAACGCCAAAGAACTGGGCTATGACCAAGACTAAAATAATGAAAGAAATTCCAGGATATAACAATCTTTGAATATATATTCGAAACACTCACACGGTCCAATCCCGTGCTGAAGCGTATTTTTAGTCCCCTTCTGTCCCGAATGCTTCATGACGGCGTGCTGTTGGCTAGCAAATGAAAAACGGAAGCGGACACGCCATAAACAAGAGGGCGGGCTCCATTCGTTTATCCTTGTGTTTCCCGATTAGGATCTCGAAAGCGACGGATTTGGTGCATGGTGCGTGGGCGTGACACTTATGACTAAATGTGCTTTTGAATTGCCTTAATCCGGGCCCTAGAATTCCCTGCAGTATTGAGTCTTTTGCCTGATGGAACCTTGGTTGATGACATCCGATATCATGAGCTCATAGGTGATAATTGTGGTGCCCATCTTAGAAAAGGTAAAATATGAGTACCATAAGTTTGAGTAGTTTATAACTTTAACTTACAGCTAGGACGAGTGAGCGTGTGAGGTAGAAAAAGCCGCTGCCGGAAAGAGCCGTCATGTCATTGCCCAACTGCTCACTGAAGCGCTGAACCTGTGGAGGAGCAAACAAGAATAAAATATAACATATAAGATATATAGGATGACCCACCTCTATGGACCAGGCCCTGCTGGGCACATCTCGCAAAGCTGTGACTATCTTGCGCTCGAAATCGTTAATAGAAGAGGCCACGAAAATTGTGAGCAAGGTGCGGACGACGGCGAAAATCAGCGAGTACCAAAAGGCCACCATTACTATAAAGTCCACGCCAATGTTTCTGTTTGAAAAATAAATCAATTATTATCCATAAACGGCTACTTTATCCCTTTTCCACCAACTTGAAGCTGTTAAACAACTGAAAACAAATGAAGGACATGTTATTGCCGAAGGCCAGTAGCACCAAGGGAGCTATGGCGGCATCTAGGAGTCGCACGAGACGCTTTAAGGCCAGGTAATGCTCCCGCACCTCTGTCCAGAACACCGCCGGCATAACCTTCCTGTGAACAGCAGCAATCCTTCGATAAAGTTGATGAAATCTGGCCGCCAAGCCAATGCCAATGCACATAATGAAGCAATCGGTAAAGGAGCGAGGATAGGCAATGGTTTGGTTGACCCACTTAAATAAATAATTATTAGATTTAATTAAGAATTAAATGGATGCCTCTATTCCTACCTCCAAAATAGGCAACAGCCAAAGGTGATAGGGAAGGATCATGTAAAGATGCGGTCGCTCCCACTTATAGATGCTCTCAAAGTAGGTCACATTGATCTTGCACTGGGTACGCTCCATATTGCTTAGGTGAAACGAATTGAGCAATAAGAGGCAGTGCTCCACTGAAATATTAACATTCTTTAGTAATTAAATAACAAATTCCTACAGCATTTACCCAAAGCCGAAGACATAACCACCGCAAACACAATATAAATCCTTCTCTTTATCTTGTACTGCCCGTAGAAACGATAGGGAACCCTTAGAAAGAGCTTCTCTACGCCTTCCCAAGTGCGCATAATACTTGGCCAACGGATGGCCAATCTCCAAAAGAAAAGGTGCTCCAAAAGGCAAACAATATACAAAGACAGCGTGCTGGAAGTATGAAAGGTAATGGCCACCTTGGCCACATAGTTAATGACGGATCCAAATTCGCACAGATTGAGGATCACAATGATCCCGGAGTAGAAGACGCGGGGCGAGAGCCACCTGTACCGAAGGTCCGCCACTTCCAAGGCTCGGACATGGCTAACCGGAAGCAGGCCATAGATTTGTGAAATGAAAAGAACTAAAAGCAAGAAGATATTTATTTAAACTTGCTTAAGAAAAGAATTATTAAAGAAAGGGGAAGGATTACTGATGAGGGTATTATTTAAAATTTATAAATATTTTTGTTCTCTAAACACCATAAAATCTTAATAATCTTTCTTTTAGACCTACCTTTCGAGACCGCCCGATGGAATGTCTCGCCCTGCGGCATGGCCGAACTAACAACTCTCACTGCTCGGCGGAGTGACAATCTGGCGTGCGAAAAGCCCCTAGCAGTGCCAAGAGGGGGCGTGGTTGTGCTTAACGATTCAGCAACTAAGTATTTACAACTAATTGCTGCGCCTGTCACTGGCAGCTGACATGACAAATGGGAAGGCGGTGGCAATGTGGGGGATGAGTTTGATGTGTGCGAGTGTGCAGTTGGCGTCCATCAGGCGCACAGGGGCTGCAGTCCTTTGCGTCGATTGGGTTCATCGAATTGCAGCAGGACCAGCTCGTAGGTGACAATAGTTCCTGCCATCTAGGGGGAAAGGAGTACACAGGTGTGAACATAAACAAGCTTTTGTATAAAAGGGGCTACCCCTTTACCTACCCCAAAGAGCAGGCGTCGGGTGAGGAAGTAGAACTTCTTGCCGGACAGGGCCACCGTCTGAGTGGTCATCTGAAATATCAGGCGCTCCACCTCCACGCACCAGCTACGGCTGGACACCCGTCGCAGGATACCGAGGCCACGCTTCGACTCCTCATTGATGTCGGCAGCCGTAAGGAACACAAAAGCGGTGCGTCCAATAAGGTACAGCAGGGAATACCAGAAGTATATATAATTAATCGGCCAGCGGAGTTTGCTAGATGATATTATACGAAATAGGTTAATCATATAAAGTTTAAGGAATTTGATTATAATAAATGTCTAAAGTAAACTCACTTGAACACATTGAGCAGCTGGTAGCACACAAAGTACAAGTTATTTACACAGGAAAGTAATATTAGGTTGGACATGGCGCTGTCCACAAACTCAAGAAGCTCACACATCCTAACGTAGTGCTCCCGGATTTGAATAAATGTGGATTCGGGTACCTCCTCGTGCTCCAGCTTACGAATACGATTAGTTATCTGCTCAAAGCGATAGGACAGACCCTTGCTGACCATCATGATGAACAGGTCCATGTAGTTCCAAACGAAGGTGAAGGCGCCGTTTAGTAACTAAAGGAGAAATATTTGTAGCATTTAAAATAAAATATTTATACCAATTACCAGTATAAAAACAGCAACAACAGAGCTGTAGGGCAGCAGTTGAAATACATAGTCATAGTTCCTTTGTATATAATCATCCAAAGTTGGCCCAGCGGTTATATTGCCGCAGATCTGTATACGACGCTTATAGCTCAAAATTGCCGATACTTGGTACAAAGCATGTTCACCTGAAATGGGGGAGTCATATTGAGATCCTAACATCATGGAATCATAACCAAAGACCCACCCAAAGACAAGCCAATGATGGCCAAGGCAGCCAACTGCACTCTGCGCGATAGATTCCTTTTGGTTATCTCATATGGCGGCCTGGTAAAGACCATCTCTGTTTTGGTCCAGTAACGGATAAGTGGAGGCCAGTGTCGAGCCAGACGAATGAAGATTACATAGGCAGACAGCACACAGCCAAAGAAAACTAGACCCACTGTGAACAAAAATAAATCTTGATAAAGAAAATAATATAGTAATAATACAAATATTGTAATACAAAACTCACCAAAATTCTTGGCGCTGATTCCAATCTTCACGAGGTGCAGAAACATACCCAGAAACATGATGCTGGTGGCAGCCATGAAGATCAGGGTGACTATCATGGGCAAAGATTTATAGGCAAAGCGCACTCTACGCGGATTTGAAGCTCGAATGCCAAGCAAAGGCATCACAGCGAAGTATTGGGCCAGAAACATAACTAATGTTTAGTTAATATTAACTAAAATTTAAATAAAGGAAAGAATAGTAAACTTACAAGGATACACAGCCCGGTGGAACAAGTCCAGACTCTCATGGTTCGGCAACTTCTCGCTGGCCAACATATTATACTCCTGGCTCGAAGCTTCAACAAACTTGGGTGGAGGCGTCTCCAGCTTAGGTGGACCCTGGCTCTCCACGGGTTTAACTCCATTACCCTTACTGAAACTTTTGCGATAATTCAGAGTAGTAGGTCCTTCCATGACGCTGGTCTTTTTTGCACTAACACGCAGTGCAAAATTTAAATAGGTCCTAAGCTTGTCATGGGGCAGGGCTGGGCAATGCAGGCAGTCCCACAATGCTTTTGGGCGACCACGTAAAGTGCCGCCTGTTGGCACTAATTACGGGCTTTAACCTAAGCCTGTGCCAGAGGATGTAAACAACAATTATGAGACAAGTTCATGCAAAGCGGGATTAATACAGGCGGAACTAACAGACTTGAGGAACATGTCAAAGACATCGGATAGCATCCTCAAGCAGCTGAAGGTGCAACGGCAAAAGGAGCGAGCTGTTGCAACCATGCGTTGGCGCTGTGCCCAGGGAGGATTGGATTTCGAGCAGTTGGATACGTTTTACAAAGCCATCAGGCCATGTAGGGTTTCATTCGAATACCTCCAATATAATACCATTACCTTCATTTAAATTAAATAATTTCCCATTAAACTCTTTTGTAGATCTCTGTGTGGCGCAATTCTTTGGCGTTATGCCCTTAGCCAATATCCTCAGTCGTGATCCTCAGAACGTTAAATTCAAAGTGCGAAGCCTGGCAACTGGAATCACTGGCCTGTTCCTGCTTCTGGGAGGCCTGAAGACTATAATCGGAGCGAATGTTCTCTTCAAAGCAGGACTCAATGCCAAGAATATGGGTGTGTTGAAATGATTTACATATAAGTTTTAGAATTCCCACTATTCCCATCATATAGTTGGTTTGGTTTTCCTCATTGTGGGCATCATCAACTGGTTGAATTTTGTGGGATTCGCTCGTTCCTGGTCACAGATAATGTTGCCCTGGAGTTCCCTGGATATCCTGATGCTATTTCCACCCTACAAGCGTTGTAAGCGAACTCTTCGTTCGAAGATTAACATCATTGTCATTAGCGTGGGTTGTCTGGGATTGGGTGAGTTGGCTTCTTTATCCTCCTGTTTCCCCTTTTGGAACTTCTTCCTTTTGCAGTGGATCATACTCTTTACTATATCTCAGGATACTATTCTTATAGCATGCAAATTTGGCATTGCCAAACGAATCACTCGCAGGTCTCCTTTGGATTCTTTTTGGAAAAGGAGTTCTCAGATGTCTTGTTTATGCTGCCTTACAATATATTCTCTATGTGCTATGGTTTTGTAAGTATTTATATCTTTTTATACCCTTGCAGGATATTATAATTTCAGTCAGAAGTTTGCAAGGCAGTGAGTTATCTCCGACCATATAAAGTATATATATTCTTGTCTGTCCGTCCGTCTGTTCGTTTCTACGCAAACTAGTTCCTTTAGTTCACTCACTCTCGGCCAGATCGGACGACTATATGATATAGCTGCCATAGGAACGCTCGGAAAATTTTAGAAAAACAATGATAACTTTTACAATTTTTAACATATATTTATCTAATTTGATTCAAAGCTTTATTATTCTAGAAATCCGTTTTTAGTTTTATGAAAATCGGAATACTATATAAGTGCAAGAGAAACGATTGTTAAATGTAGAGGATCAGTAAGTATTTTTTAACATTAATTAACTATGACCAGGAAGTAACTCTGATCAGTATGTATCAATGAACATTAAGTAACTCTGAACAGTAAGTAACTATAATCAGTAAGTATCTAAAGTATCTAAAAGTATCAGTAAGTTTCTAAGTATGTAAAGGGGACCATGGCAATAAGGAAATAAATTAGAATAAAAAGTCTAGACCTAGGCCTGATCCCACCTACAGCTTCTTCATACAGAATATAAATGTCATGGTTAAGACTTACCGCAGTAAAGGACACTTCATTGTTTACTTCCTTTCAGTGTAGTGATCAAGATTAGGTGACTTCATCCAAAGTAAGCTTCTTCCTAGTCATCCAGATGTAATTAATTGGCCACGTCATATTTTTGGGTTCGAAGGCTGATCACTTGCACTACCACTTGAGATGTTAACACTAGGTACCCCTAGGACAGACTGAGGCGCGCGGGCCCTCAGCGCCTCTATTTATAGTCCGCGAGCAGAGCAGAGAGCAGAGCAGAACAGAGCAGAGCAGAGCAGAGAGCAACAGAGCAGAGCAGAGAAGAGAATGTTAGTGCGTGGGAGAGAAGCAGTTGCCTCTAGAGATTAACATAGACCGATAACATAGCAAGAGCGGGGGAGAGGCAGAGAGGAGCAGCGAGCTGATATTTAATTTAACTTTAATCAGCAAGGAACTTTAAGCAGTAAGTAACTCTGATCAGTAAGTATCAATGAACACTAAGTAACTCTGAGCAGTAGGTAACTCTAAACAGTAAGTATCTATGACCAGTAAGTAACTATGATCAGTATGTAACTCTGATTAGTAAGTATCAATGAACATTAATAAGTTACTCTGAACAGTTTGTATCTATGATCAGTAAGTATCAATGAACATTAAGTAACTATGATCAAAAAATAACTCAGAACAGTAAGTAACTATGAGCAGTAATTAACTCTGATCAGTAAGTATCTGTGATCAGTATGTAAAGGGGACCATGGCAATAAGGAAATAAATTGGGAAGTGGGAATTGATTCCGCCAATAGCTTGTTTATATATAATATAAATATCATGGTTAAGACTTACCGCTGTAAAGGCCACGTCATTGTTTACCTTCATCCAGTGTTGTGACCAAAAATGCTGATTTCATCCAAAGTGAGCTTCTTCCTAGTCATCAAGATGTATTGCATTGGCCACGTCATATTTTTTAGGCCGAAGGCTGATGATCACTTGCACTATCACTTGAGATGTTAACACTAGGTACCCCTAGGACAGACTGAGGCGCGCGGGCCCTCAGCGCCTCTATTTATAGTCCGCGAGCAGAGCAGAGAAGAGCAGAGAAGAGCAGAGCAGAGCATAGCAGAGCAGAGCAGAGCAGAGCAGAGCAGAGAAGAGAATGTGAGTGCGTGGGAGAGAAGCTGTTGCCTATAGAGATTAACATAGAGCGATTAACATAGCGAGAGAGGGGGAGAGGCAGAGAGGAGCAGCGAGCTGATATTTAATTTAACTTTAATTAGCAAGTAGCTTTAAGCAGTAAGTAACTCTGATCAGTAAGTATCAATGAACACTATGCACAGATGTGCGAGATTTATATTGGAACAAATTTAAGCTATTTTAATGAAACTATGGAGTTATTCTTTTATATAATTTTACTAGTATATAAGTCGAAGCATGGCGAATCGGTGGTCTATATATATACATATATATTGCTGGCATAGGAACGATCGGAAAATTTTAAGGAAAACAAATTATAAGTTTTCCAGTTTTCAACAGATTTTCATCAAATTTGGTAATTAGCCATTATATATTAATCTAGAATTTTATGTACAATGTTATGAAAATCGGACTACTATATCATATAGCTGCCATACAAACGATCGTTCAAAATAGATGAATATGCAGGCATTACTTTATTGTTTTTTAACATAAATATATATAATTTATATTGTATTAATTCCTAGTGATCGAATTTCGGTCTGCAGTGGTATGCAAACTTCGGCGTGCCGAAATTAGCTTCCTTTCTTATTTACATATGTGTTTGTTATTAAGAAACGATTCTTTTACCTAATTTCAGTGGATAAATTTTGCTTTTACCTTTTTGTGGAACTTCATGGACATTTTTATAGTGATTACCAGTATTGGGTTGGCTCAGAGATTCCAACAGTTTTCTGAGAGAGTGCTGGGCTTGGCGGGTCGCGTGAGTTAGCTTTTGAATACTTTCCAACATTTTCTCAATACATATTTTCCTATAAGTACGTTCCGGATGCGCTGTGGTACGATATCCGACGGGATCACATACGCCTCTGTGAGCTGACTAGCCTAGTGGACGCCAGTATGTCGAGTATTGTTTTTGTATCCTGCGCGAATAATGTTTATGTTATTTGCAACCAGGCACTGGCCATCTTCACGTACGGCATATTTATATATCCATTTATTTCGATCTGTAATTAATTTAAATGATTTAGAAAGCTACGACATCCTATTAATTACGTATACTTCTGGTACTCACTGTTCTTTCTGATGGCAAGGACCAGCCTAGTCTTTATGAGCGCCTCCAAGATAAGGGATGCCTCGCTATTGCCTCTGAAATCGGTGTATCTGGTGCCCAGTGATCGCTGGACTCAGGAGGTGCAGCGATTTGCCAGTCAACTGACCAGCGAGTTTGTCGGCTTGTCCGGTTATCGCCTCTTTTATTTGACAAGGAGAAGTCTGTTTGGGGTAAGATCTAGGGTTAGTTTTTAGTGTTCTTAATATTTACTTAGCATCTTTTCTTACCAATCCCTTTCAGATGCTGGCCACCCTGGTCACCTATGAGCTGATGCTTTTGCAAATGGATGCCAAGAGTAGCAAAGAAAGTCCCATATGTGTTTAAGTAGATAAACATAAAGTAGATTCCTGGAGAATTTCTCTGACAAAATTTATATTTAAGCTGGAAAATGTATAAATTAAATCGATAAATTATTAATAACAATAAAGGAAACTTACATATGAATAGGATGGAAATTTTGAGATCGAATTGCAAATCTATCATAATTAAATTTAAAAACTTGCGCATTCTCCAAATAGATATTTTTATATGACAAAATCAAAATTAAAAAAACTCATAACTAAGCTAAAAAGGCATTATTTTAAATTTAGAAAGCGGTTCTGTGCAAGTTTTTATCATGGTAATAAATCTTTATACTCAGTTTTTAAATTAAAAAAATTGAATTTTTTGTCGATTTTTGAAAAAAGAATTTCAAAAAAATTTCAAAAATTTATTTTTCTTCCAAACATGCCTAGTTTGATTCTCCTTTTTATGCTGATCAGGAATATATATGATTTATAGGGTCGAAAATGACTCCTTCACGGGTTTTAAAGCTTCTGACTAAAAATGTTAAAGCTTAAGAATGTCAGTTTTAAAAATATATTGTCTGTTGTACAATTAAATTATAAAACGGCTTTATTCCTCTGAATATACTATAGTTCCAGCGAAAGAGTTCATCAAATTCTATCAGGACTCGACACTCGAGCAACAAGGTTAGGGTTGCCTGTCGATTTTTGCTGGTTGGAATAAATGGCCAAAATGCTGCCTGGATAATTGGCCATTTGAAATATCATTTCAATTTTCGGGCCCGCTGTCGTCCTCAGAGGGCGGGCGAGTCCACAAATGGGAGGGTAACCAAAGTCGTTTGCCATTAGTTTCAATTATTTTTACACATGTACACAAACGTAATGTTTATGGCAACTCAACGAGTTGTCACTGGTAGGTGGAGGGTCTAAAGGTGTCCAAAAATACAGGAGGAGGAGGAGAACGGAGGGAGGAGAACGCCGAGGAGGAGGACCAACCAAAGAAGGAGGAGTAGTTGCCAAACAGGAACACGGGCAGTCAGGATCATGAGGAATCCGAAATGGCTTTTCAATTTCAGGACTCAGCCTTTGACACTTTGCCAATTAACACTTTCCTGGTTACCGATTGCCATTTTTGTTTTTGGAGGTGTCTAACCCAGTCCGCCATCTCTATTTCTCGGGAAGAGTGCTGCAGTGCAGGTGGTGGAGCAAACCGGGGGGCAATTATCCTGTCACGAAAGTTTGTACGCAGCCGAAGCTGGTAGCAAAACAAAATGCCAACAAAAACAAAGGCCGCGGTCATTAACGGGCGCCGGCACCCCCGTTTCCGGACGCGGAACTCTGAACTCAGCAGCACGTGAGTCAGTGGCGGCAACCCTCAAGCGGCTATCTTTGTTGTTGTGGCACCGCTGTCATGGCAACCGCTCGAAAATGAAAACCGAACGCACGCCCCGGGAGAGTTGTGTGAAAAATCGGGAAAAATTTTCATTCAGAACGCAAGGAGCCGCCGAGGAGCGAGGCCATGAACCACAATCATGAGCATGGACATACCGGAAACCGTATCCGTGCGCAAGTTCCGCGACTTCTCGGCACGTCAGAAGCAGGAGCTCTACGAGACACTGTTGGAGCTGTCGGAGTCCATAGAGGAGCTGCCCAAGAAGTCGCTGCGCAAAACCCTAGAGGTCACGCTGGCCGTGCTGGAGTACAAGGGCGAGCAGGTGCAGCGACTGCAGGAACAAAGCGGCACTGCAGGAGCAATCTCTGACCGCCGCCTGCAGGACGAGAATGAGAAACTTAAACGAATGTTGCAGAAGCTAGAAGATGAGCGCGATGGGCTGAAAAGCAAGTCCAAGGAGGTGGGTATTGGATTACCTAATAAAAAAGTATAACTCACTCAATTGCCTCAACAGTTAGGGGAGGAAATTCGTCAGTTGGAGCTGCGCCTTAGGGAGGCCGCCCAGCAGGCCGATGCCAGCGACAAGGACTCCTCGGATCCATTGTCCGAACTGGACAAACAGGAACAGTTGCTCCAGAACATTGACGCCAAGAATAAGCACATCAAGAGGCTGCTGAAAGAAATAGAGGTGAGTAAATTAATTTTTTAAAGATATATTCTCAAACCATCTCCCTTTTCAGACCCTTCAAAACCAAAACATAGTTCAATCCAAGACTATAGTGGTCCACGAACGTGAACTGCAAAACATCAAGGCCAATCTTGTACAGCTTAGCCAGAACATCAACAAAGTGGAAGAGGAACGAAAGTTACTCAAACAAAAGGAGCAGCAGCAGATTCTGGAGATCTCTCGAATGGAGGGCAATGTTACCTTCCTGGAGGTAGAACGCGAAAAGCAGGAGTTGGAAATGCGACAGTTCCTGGACAAGTATGAGAGCAAGTCACTCAGCTGGAGGCAGGTGCTCGAGGAGCGGGACAATGAGGTGGAACGTCTGAAGAAACAGTTGGAGGGCAAGAGTACCAACTCAGTGCTGACCACAACATCCAGCAGCCAGAGTCAACTGGAGGAGGAGCACACTAAAATGAGACATGTAAGAAAAGGGTTTTTTTTTAATATATTTCTTTTTATAATTTGTCCCAAATCTAAGCTTTTGGAATCCCGCGAACAACGCATTGAAAAGCTGGAAGCTAAGCTCCAAGCGATGGCCCAGGAGATGATCAACTCCACCAAGGTAATGAATCAGTTGTCCGTGGAGCGGGAGCGTGCCCAGGATCCGGAGCAGCCGCGTGCCTGCTGCCAGATGATTGAGGAACGCTTACGGGTGGCCAGTGCCCGTAACCAGCAACTCTCCGAGATGCTAGACGCAGCCGAGCAGGATAATGTTCTCAAATCCAAGCAGGCTATGCACGCCTTGAGTGCCTTGGAAGCCTACAAGCAGGGTGAGGATGGCTTGGTGCCGGCCCTGAGGCGATGCTCTGGCCTGGAACAGAAGCTGGCGGAACGGGATAAGCAGCTGAGGACCTACATCCAAGAGCTAAATGCTCAGCATGAAATAGTACAGGAAAACGAACTGCTACGCCGTCGCCTGCACATACCCGATGATGTTGTGGTCTTGTCCAAAAATGTGCGTTCCAAGCAGCGGAACAAGGACAAGCAGATCGAACGGCTGACCCTCAAATTGCGCACATCCGAGGAGCTGCGTCTTCAGCTGAAGCTGGACAAGAGTGAACTAAGGTGGGTTTCTTGGATTTATAATTTACTTTCACTAATTATTTTTATCTGCTCTCAGGCGGAAGCTCTTGGAACTGCAAAATGAACAGCCTCAGGCAATGGACGAATCTCTGCTGCAGCAGCCCAGCGAGGTGGGCGAAGTGCCCGCCAGTGTTCCGCTGGAGAGCTCACCACGACGTGGCCAGGGCGATGGAGCAGCAAGCTCCGAAATGCAAAATCGTTACGAGGAAGTCCTGGCCGAGAATGAGACTCTGCGCTCGGGCATGTACGAGATTCTGGAGAAGTTGCGGGAGTACGATGGTGAGTTTGAAGACTTATTTAAAGGATATTTTTTAAATTAATATATTTAAAAGCCACCTCGGAGCACATAACCATTGACTCCGAGCTCCTGCGTCGCCTTATCGAGGCTCTTCCCAGTGGAGCAGCCACGCCACAACGTCTTCAAGGACAGCTGCTTGAGCTGAAGGCCCGCGAGGAGGCACTCCGTCAACTGTTGCAGCAGCAAAACTACAGTGACTCGGAAACGGGTGAATTGTCTTCCGTGCAGAGCTTGTGTGATGTTCCAGAGATGCCGGAAGAGCCAGCCGACCCGGAGGAGGATCCTCAGATCAACACAGCCACGCGGCCTTCTTCGCCCACTGAAGCCACCGAGGGATTGCAGCGACCTATCATACCGGATGCAGACACAGAACCCAGGTCAGAGCTGCAGGCAGAGCTGGCCATCCTCCGGAAACATTACGATGAACTGCGTCTGCACATGTCCGCTGATGGTAATGAATTGATAAGCCGCAACCAGCAGCTCCATGATCAGTTGGTCAGCTTGGAGTTGCAGATGGTCAAGCAAAGTAGTTCCTACGGTTACATGCGCAAGGATTACGATCTACTGTTAACCGATACCCGAAAGCAGGAACTTCACTTCATCGAGGACAAGGCATCCCTCTCCAGGCAAGTAGAGCTGCTAAAGACGGAACTGTCAGCCACTAGGAATCAGTTGGATGAGGTTCTAAGGCGGCATCTGTACACTGCCGAGGAGCAGCAGCAGTTGGAGCAGCGTAATGCCATCCTGAGCATGCAGCTGGGTCAAGCGATGGAGCAGCTGATGGGCGAGCTAAAGCTGCCCGAAATATGCGCAGAGTATGGCATAATTAAGGATAACTATCAGCTGGACTATATCACGGCCGAGGACTTTGAGAAGCAGCAACAGGAGCTATCCAATTGGAGAACCAAGCAAGCGGAGCTGCAACGGGAGACGAAGCAGTTGGAGGGACTGCTGCAGGTGGCCAATGGACAGGTGAAACATTTCTAAACCTCTGAAGAACTTGAGTTACCTATGTTAATTCCTTAGATCCACTCCCAGCAAAGGCTGCTCAATGAGATCACTGATAACCACATCAACCTGCGTCACCTGGTAGCCGATCTTCAAAGCAGTTCCAATGAGAAACTAATGCTGGCCAAGGTACAGCGGGATTTGGATAGCGGTGAGACCAGTCTTTCAAAGATAAAAGACCTTCACTAATAAGATTACGTTTCCAGTCAAGACAGAGTGCTCTCGCTTGGAAACAGAGCGAGAGCAACTGCAGCTGAAGGCGGACTCCCTGCAAAACCAACTGGTGGCCAGCGAACTAACCCTTAAGCAGACGCAGCAGGACTTCCAGCAGGAGCGCAGCAACAGCGATATCAAGCACAAGTATATATAAGTATAAATCTTGAACATTCAGAAATGTCACATTATTATTCGGATTCTTTCAGATTCCTCAAGCATTCGTTGTTCACATTAAAAGATAAATATGCCAAATTTACGCCACTGATCTTCCTCACCAACTTTGTGTTCGCCTACCAAAAGTTCCAGCGTCGCCTGGAGGAGGAGCAAGTGCAGCAACAACAGAAAACCGATCACAGCGCTTTAATTGAGGAGCTTGCTGAGGCTGTACAAGCCAAGATTGCACCCAATGAGGAGAGTTCCCAGCAGCTGATCAAGCTCATCAAGTCGGAGACCCAAACGAGACTCTTGGAACAGCGCTGTGAGATTCTGCAATCAAAGCAGCAGGAACTCCATCGGGAACTGGGCGAGTTGAGGTTGCGCCAGGCCACCGACATGGAACACTGGCAGACCATTCAGGCTCTGTTCGGCGAGGGAGTTGCGCCATCGCAGCTCAAAGTGGATGCGGAAACCAACACAGAGCCAGCGACACCCATTCCGGCCATGCGAAGAGCCGCCCAGTTGATAGACAAGCAATCCTCACCCATTGGTTCGCCACTAAGGCGGCATCCTCACCTAGACACCTCCACGCAGGTGGATTCAGTAAAACTTTCAGAGACGGCGGTCCAGACGAACGGCATCGTCAGCCAACAGAATCAGGCCGTACAGACAGCAGAGGCAGCGGAGGACAGCAGGAAGGATTCCCACAAGGAGCTGCTGGAAATGCAATCTGCGTAAGTTAAATGTATTAAAAATATAACCTTTATATATTTTATAAATTATTTACAGTCTCCAAGAGGCCAACCAGCGCATAGAAGTCCTTTGTAAGCAACTTGAGGCTTCCAGGACGGAGACTCGCGAATCCGAAAGTCCTCACAGTGGTGTTGTCGAAAAAACCATACTCTCCTTCCACACACTACTCCTGGAGAAGGATCAATCCATTCAGAAGTACCAAGACCTCTTGCAAACAGAGAGGGATCAGAGCCAGCAGGCGATAAGCAAACAAGCAGCTGAAAATGAGTCCCTCAGGGCCACCGTCAACAATCTGAACTTTAACATAAAGACCAAAGATGCCGAAATTGAGGAGCTGAAGGCCAAACTGGAGAAGAAACTTAAAGCAACAGCGGAACGTAGTAGTCCTTCAGACGCCAGTTCAAGTTCTGAGACCTCCATTCATGAGCTAACTGATGAGAAGATCGAGGAACTCTTCGAGAGCAGTTCAGCGGAAAGAGTTCCAGAAGAGGTTGAGGTGAATGTCGGACCAGAAGAAGCGGTAAATGAGGAACCCGATGGTGAGGAGGAGAAACAGGATACAGAGGAGCTCAAAGAACTGCCTACTTTACATAAGCAAATCAAGGACCTAAAAGATAAATTGGAGTATAGTGAGACGAACCTGAAAACTAGAGAAGAGGAAGTGGAAATACTAAAGGAGAAGTAAGTTATGATTAGGAAATATAATGTACTACCAATCTTTATAATTTTTAATCTTTAACCAGGTTGAAACTCTGCCAGGAACGAGAGAAATCTGTTGAGAGTAATGCACCTCCTGAGATGGATCAACTACGCGTCTTCCTAGATGAGAAGGATAAGCACATAAAAGACCTAATGGATACACTTAAGAACTTCCATGTGAGCGAATTTTATAAATAATAAAACTAGAAACACTTTTATACATTCTGAATTCTAGGACGACCAGCAGCGCTACATCAATGACACTTCCAATTTCTCTGAGGAGCAGATAGCCAAGCTCGCGGCGGATCTCAATCGCACAGAGGCCACAAATAAGATCTATCACACCCAAATGGAGGCTTTGCGTCGCCAATTGGCCAATGTGACGCAGCGCGAGAAACAGGCTCGTGATCTAAGCCAATCTCTCCGTCAGCAGCTGCTCAAGCGTCCTGTGGTGTCCATCAAGACGGAGCTAAATGCTCGAACGAAGAACGAGAACCAGCAGAAACGGATCCACCAACTGGAGGCAGATTTAGACGAGGCACGTGCCCAGTTGCAGCGCCAGCAAAGGCTCCTGGAGGCCAAGCGCACGAAGAGTGCCAATGAGGTGGGTCTCTGGGAGAAGCAAAAGCGTTGGCAGCAGCAGGCTGAAAAGAACAAGGCAAGACTGGAGGAGACGGAAATGGCTCTGGAGAAGACGCGCACCCTCCTACAAGCTGCACGCACTACCATAGCCCGCCTGGAGAAGGACAAACAAATGCTTGAGTCAAAGCTGGGCAGAAACGGACCTGCCAATAATGGATCCACCAATGCCCTCAAATGCTGCCGCACTCCATCGTGTCCCAATCTACAGCATGTAGGTGTGAGCAAGTTCACTCCGTCGCCGTCAGAGAGTCCGGAGACCTACACTGGTCCCAGCAGCGAGTGCAGCTCCCCGGCCCATCATCCCCAGTCCAGTGATTCTCGCTTCTACGACCAAAGTCACGCGGATCTGATAGAAGCTCTCAAATCTCGCATAGAGCTGCAGCAGCGCAAGATTATCGCCATGGAACTGGAGGGTAGGGGCAGTAATGCTTTGACCACGGAGCTGGAGAAGCTGCAGGAACGTTGCCAGGCCATAGAGGCGCAGAATATACGACTGGAGGCTAGGAATCTGCAGCTGCAATTAGATACCGATCTCTTGAAACAGGGTGACAGCAGTGATCGTTTGCAAAAACGCATTAAGCACTTGGAGGAGTAAGTACAACACCAACTTAATTCCAACTTAATTTACTCATTGCACTTACCCTATCTTTCAGCTATATTCTGGCCTTAAAAGAGGAGATGGCTCGTAACGAATCCCGGCGAGAACTGTGCAAGTGCAGTGGCCTGAAGGTGAGCACCAATCAGGGCCAGTCGGCAGAGCACACGATTCTCTCGCTGCGTAATCTCGTCGAGAAGCTGCGCTCCGAGAACAAGTTCCTCAAGGACGGCCGTCGATCCACGGACTCTCGCAGCTCCACAGATTCCACGCCTGTAGAGGCGGGGCGGTTGCAGCAACAACACGCAGAGGCTTTGGAGAAGATTAACACCCTTCAGCAGGAGCTGCAAAAGCGAAGCAAGTGCGACCAGTGTGGAGGACGCAGTAAAGTATGTACAACTCATTAACAATATTATATACATTTAACACATTACCTTGTCAAAGGACGCCGCCAACGAGGAGCTCAAATACATCAAAGAGCAGCTGGTTAAAAAGACGCAACTCCTGCAAAAAGCTAAAGTCCTGCTGACGCGCGCCGCCGCCAAGGAAAAGGTGCTGCGGGAACAACTCGCCCTGTGGAAGCGCAAGTGCTCCGAGCTGCAGAACGTGCCCGTAATCGATGAAATTAGCGAATAATCCATTATTATTATTATAAGATGAATGTTGTACAGCGCAAGAGGAATGAACTACATTTTTTTCTTCCAACTAACGGACTTCAGTACTTTGTAGTGTTGCCAGATTAAGGTAAAATGGCGGCATAATAGCGATGGGTATAAAGGAAGGGCGCTAGTTTTTCGATTAACAACGATAGTTGGAAATGCTAATTTAACAACTGTTTTTAATAAGTTTTAAAAGCTTAGGGGATTTAGTAGTATCTGACTTCTTTTGGGCAATAAAAAATATAAGCTTACCTTAAATTTTTCAATTTTAAATATATTTAACGAGACTTATTGGTCCCCAAACAATCGTCCACCTCTAGGGTTATCAATAATCTGGAGCACGAATACCTCTGCTGCCGACTTTAATCGGATGGCTAAACAACAATAAACAGCCGTAATCAGCGTATAAATTGGCGTTTATTAGACTTTGTGATTATTCCATCCGGAGCAACTGAAGATGTCGTACCAAGGATATGAGAACCTCCTCGTGGAGCAGCAAGACAAGCTGCTGGTGGTGAAATTTAACAATCCGCGGAGAAAGAACTGCATAAACAAAGCGACCTACCAGGAAATGACACGGGTTCTAACTGAGGTCAACGACGATGAGGGCGTGACAGTGGTTGTTTTCACCGGCGTGGGAGAGTACTTTACGGCCGGCAATGATTTATCACAGTCGGGGGGCTCTGGTGACATGAACGAGTATTTCAAAAAGTCCAATGCTATTTTCAAAGCCATGGTTCTAAGTTTTGTGAACTGCAAGAAGATTGTGATCGCTTTGGTCAACGGACCGGCAATTGGCATTGGAGCCACCATTGTGGGACTGAGCGATGTGGCCTGGTGTTCCGAGACCGTAAGTATACACTAAAAGGCTACAAGATTGCGTTATGAACATTAATTATCTTACAGGCCTATTTCCTCGCACCGTTCACCAAGTTGGGCTTGGTGCCTGAGGGCGGCTCCTCCTTTATGCTACCCTTGATCCTGGGACGTTCTAAGGCCTCGGAAGTCCTCCTCCTCAACGAACCTCTCTCTGCCGCAGAGGCCTACAGCTTCAACTTTGTCTCGCGGGTTTACAAGTCCAGCGAAGCAGACTCTGTAATCTGGCCCAAGTTGCGTCAGTATGCCGAACTGCCTCCAAACTCGTTGAGACAGGGAAAACGGCTTATCAAAGAGGGATTCTTAGAGGGTCTTCTGAAGGCCAATGATTCCGAGTGCCGTCAGCTGCTGGAGTGTTTCCAGCATCCGGAGTTCTTCCAAGCTATCATGGACTTTGCCTCCCGCAAAAACAAATCAAAATTGTAGTTGTTTGCACCTAAATGTGTATGCATACATACATGCATATACAATTAATTGCCAGAAAAGCTAATGATTAGTGATTGGAATAATAGTTGTTCTTGACTGATTCCAATTATTTTACAGAACTTTTAAATTGATTTTTAATTAACCTGATACCTAGACTGCAAATATTTTGTGTATTATATTGAAATATATTTGGAAACAGGCTTATAAAGCCCATTTGGGTATACATTTGCTTTTTATAAAATGTTAACTCAAGGACTTGAAATATTGAGAGTATTATAAAACATATCTACAGTAGGTTATGCTTATAATCGTAAAATAATAATTTTAATAACACAAAAATAATTCATGAAATGTACAGATCCGGCAACATTGACCTTGGAATATTGAGCGTCTGGCAACTCGATACATTTGGAGGCACCTTATCGATTTTACGCGCTCAATTTAAAATACGTTATGTACTCATTTATAGTTCACTTTATTATTGCATACATACGAGTATTCGTTTATTAACATATTATTTGACCGATGCTTTTGTTCTCTTTGTGTGTGTGTGTATGTATATAATATGTATATGACCGTATTATTTAATTAGTTCAACATTGAGTAGTTCCCCACACACACAGGATTGCTGCTGTTTCCACTCTGCAAAAAGCTTAAGTTATGCCAGCCCCGTTTGTGATAATGAACTTGTTTGTAGTGACTTAGATTACATTATGCTTTACATTCCTGTATCAACTATATCTCTAGGCTAGACCATAGCTCTGACACAATGTCTGACACCTTCTGCTAGGGAAATTCGTTGGCCTCTCTTCTCTTCGGTTCGGTTCGGACCACTTTGCCGTTCCAAATACTCTTAGCTTAGCTTATACTTAATCCTAGGCGTGCCTGCTCATGTACAAATTGATGATAGACGTAGAAACATATCTATAATAGCCAGTTAAACTTAGGCTGCGTTTTTAGTTATTTCTAATAACTGCCCTATCCAAATTCAAATACTTTACAATTAATCAACAAAAAGTGCTACAGGATAAACGATGTTATCGCCATCATATTGTTTACTCCCACTTAGCCTACACCTATGGAAATAATCGGGAACCTTAGCTAAACTCCCACCTTAACCTACTTGCAGTCAGCTGGAGGAGTGCCAGGAGATGGAGCATCATTACCAGATGCCACCATGTGGCACGAACCACTCCAGCGGCACCGTGATGCAGTTCGGCAAAGCTTTCGCCTAGAAGGGGGAATAATATTATATTATTTTAAGATAGTGGTTTTTAACTCACCATTCAGAATGTGCACCACAATGGTAAAGTTCTGGTAATCGCTAATGGAGCATGTATAATTGCCAGAGTCCGTTTTGCTAATCTTGGCTATCGAAAGCGTAGAGTTTGCTCCATCCTCCATCAGTTCCGTTTTGACGCTGTAATTCCAAGGATAAGGATTATATTGATACAAAAAATACTTCTTCATTAATTATTAAGTTGAATTACCTAACACCCCCTCGAGTTACATCATAGTTAAGGATGTTATCAATGTGCTTCCAAAAGACCACAGAACTGGTCATGGCCACATTTCGCACCACGCAGGACAACTGCAGTGTGGAATCAATCTCGTAGTATTTCTCCTGGAGTGGATCCCCCACCTCATCCACTATCATCACTTTGGGAGCTGTTTAAAGGTTCATAGGTATTAATTTATGGGGTAGTTTTTAAGGTTTTCTATACATACCATTCACATGCAGGTTTATTTGGATGACACGGGGCGGATGGGTCGAGATCTGACACTCGTATATGGCCTCGTCATCCTTCTTTACATTGGTTATCTTCAGTCGCCAATTGTTGGGGTATTGGAACTCCATTTTATAGCGTTTATCACCCGTGTATGTGTGCATGCCCACTGTGAGCAAATCCAGGGCATTATCCTCCTCTTGAGTGTTGTGGCGCACCCAAGAGACCTAATATAATAATATAATAATTATTAATTTGGCTGCCATAAAAAAATAACCAAAGAAAGATACTATTATATCCTTCGTATAACTGATATTAGCTTCTATATATCTTAGTCCGAATGACTTTATACTTAATGAACTATAGAGAATCTTTTAAATTCACGCTTTCCAAACTCAACTTACAGTCTTATCCTGCAGCAATGAGATCCTGCAGTTTAGGTGGATGCTGGAACCCGCCTGCACGGTGAGATTGGTGGCCTGACCCACTCGCTGCATATCCTCGAAGTGGGGTCCATACCTGCAGCAGGATGACCAGGTATATTTAAAGACTCCTTTACTACCCAGGATTTCCAGACTCACCTCTGATCATGATGATGATGTTTGTTGGCCGAGGAGAACGTATCGAAGATGTAGTTTAGCATGGGAGCATCCGTCTTCTGACCCTTGGGCAGGGGATGCTTGCTGTCCACCTTGACGGCTGAGGTGCGCACATTGCTACTTCGATTCCTTGCTGGCTCCGTGGGTCCAACTGCCACGGAGGAGCTGTTGGACGAGCCCACCACTGTGGCCACTGTAGCCGGCACTAAGGCATTTACTTTCTGGCTGCCGATCTGCTGGAAGGAGTTCATCCGCCCAGAATCTGGACTGGTCTTGGGCGCCACCGTCCCAACGGCAGCTGCCTGTAGGGATAGCGATGCTAAATCCTGGGATTTACCTCCTGGGAGGATCGTTGCTGACGCCGTTGATGTCTGAGCCCCCTCCGGGATGACGTAATCGGCATCGTCTGACTCGGAATCCTCCTCCAAGGCCCGACTGGTCCCATCCGCTGGAAAGGAGTTATCGATTTCATTCGAATCTGGATACGGTCCGGGGAAAAGAGAGATAGAGAGACAGAAGAGAGAGAGAGAGGGAAGAAGGGAGAAAAGCGAGGGGAAAGTTGAGAATTGATGACATGGCTCAGGCACTCATGTGTGTGTATATATAGGTTTGTATGCTAATGCCAAGTCTGTCGCTGGCTGCGGGGGAGTTTGTTTATTCGTTGAGAGTACACTGCGACAACCTCCTGGGATTATACAAATGTTTAGTTTGGACCACCGAAAGCAAACAATGGAATATTTGGCCTGTCATCCGTTGTAACCCAATTTGTCAAACTGCATTTTTCCCTTTTATTTTTTGCCTGCCTCCTGGATGAGCTATTGTTTGGTTTTTTAGGTTTTGTTTTAGTTATTTTGATTTTCTCACAGAATATATTTGAGATTCAGAAAATACAGAGCTGAGATTGTATTATTTTAACTTTATTAATACAAGAAAAATAGCATCCCTATAAATTTAAATTTAAATTGAATACAAAAGTTATATTTTCCGTCAATAGTTTAAGGCTTCAATAATAGTTATGTGGCAAAGGTAGTTGCTGTTTGTTTGTATTTACTAATAAAATAAATAATTAAATATATATTATAACCACTTTTGTCTACATCAATTTAAAGTTTGTTTTCCTGTTTTTAATTACTATAATTTTACTGAAATAACATCATAAATTCAAGGCAGCGTAAAACTCTCAAACTTGTCTAACTAAAAACTTTAGTTTATGGCAATAGAAAAACTTATAAGCTCTCCTATTTAAAATGGCATAATTTTAATTGAAAATTCAAAGCAATATTAAAGAAATTAAAAACTTCCCTTTACGTTTTCTCCCTGAATTCTTTAGAAAGAATTTCGTAAATAAAAAATAACTGACATGTGTCCAAAGCTTTCAAAAGCAACTGTCAAGGCTTGTCTAAAAGTTAATAGAATAACTTTTTAATTTTAGTTGTGAATAGTTAAAATATTTAAAAGTATTTGTAAATGAAAGAGCTCTTTTTTAAAGTTAAAGTACTTAATTTAAATGTTAAAAGCAGGGTGAAGTTTTATTTAAATTTTTCTAAGCCAATAAAAAGTAATAAAGATTTTATATGTAAATTAATTAACCCATTCAGAATCTTATTTACTACGTAATAAACTAATTAATAAACTATGAAAATAATATATAAATCAATGCAACCACACCCATTTCTATACATTTATATCTGTCACTCATAATACCTTCATCTTCCATTTAGATTTATCATTTAATAAAATCTTTAATTTAGTTTCAGTGCCTACATACATCATCTTGAGTAATTGAAATCAAAGACATTTACGGAATGAATTGTAAAATGCATTTTGGACACCAAAGCAAATAGGCAATAGACTAGTGCCACCCTTTGGCAGATGGCAGGATAATTGAAATCCAATTATATAATTATGCATTAACCGCTGCCGCCGCATTCCTTTCACAGTGGGAAACTTGGAAACGTGGAAAACTTGAGTAGCAATTTCGCAATTTGCCTACCGTAACTGCTCCGTAATGTGGACAGAAGCGGAGGAGGTGGAGCTGTGGGCGAGGCCGTGGATGCATTCTCCGTGGGAACTTTGACAGTGACCGCATGTCCCAGAAGGGGTTCCATGTCATCCAGTGCCTGGATCCTGTTAACTGATTCGTAGATGGTCTTGGCCTGCACGAATCCACCGCCCATGATCGTTGTGGTGAGGAGGAACAGCCTGATCAGGTTGCAGGTTGTGGAACATTCAATGGGTTGTCGCCGCCTCGCCGGGGAGCGGTGTCCCGAATATGCGATGGCGGTGGCAGCTGATGACTTGGTGGCTTCTATCGTTGATTTAGTTCTGGGTCGCGCTTTTTGTGCTGGTTCATTCAAACGCATTTTGCAATCTGAAGTTGTCGGCTCTAACTAACGCACATTTGGCCAACTGCATTGGACTCGATTGGTAGACGCGAGCGCGACTTCTCCGATTTCGTTTCCGGTTTTTGGTTTGGTTGGGTTTCTTTTTGGGGTCACCTATGGCGTCTCACGCACTTGGGCCATTTGTTTTTCCGTCCCGGGTGGAGTCACGTAAATATCAACTTGATTAATTCACATAAAGCAGGGGATAAAGCCACTTTATCGTCGTATCCTTATTGATTAACTTAATATGTGCTCTAGGAACGATCGTTAGTTGGAAACAAAATCAGAATTCACTCTTTACTTCACTTCCCTTTTTTGGTTTTTGGGATTCCTTGAGAAGCTTTGACTTATACACACCCGATTATTATATGCACAAAGGACAAGGGCAGATGGGATCGATCAATTATTGGCGAATGCATTTGGCCGGAGATTCAGATTCAGGTGCCTCATGCATTCATTCATTCACTCGAATGGCCCGTACTTTGCATCGAGTTGCAGTGCCACAATGGACCGAAGCGAAGGCAGTCGGAAATAATCACGGCGAGAACTGCATCACGTACAATAGACGACACGGTTTTGGTCGGGGATTCGGTATCGGAGTGCGGCATCCGGCTCGCTGCTAGGAACGTCAACGCGCCTGAAGACTTCGCCAATGACTGGCCATCGAAAGTGAGGCAGGAACTTGGTCACGCTTGTTGTTGATGTCCTGTTCGTGGCTCGTCTTCGCTTCGTTTTGGGGTATCGGTTTCCCCACAGGATGCTCTCATTGCGCAGGTCCTGGTTTCGTTAAGTTTCTGCCCCTCCCAGTGGTGGCTTGCCTGCTCTGGTGGAAACACCTTTCGAAGTCCATCAGGGGTGTTGAACTGTGGTGATTTTCTTTCCGAAAGTTTGGTTTTAAGGAGCAAAGAAAGCAGTGCGCAGAAGAGGTTGATATGAAAATGTAATTTCTTTTAAATATATTTTAAATATTTTAATTTCAACCATCTAATACATTTTTATAACCTTTCAGGGTATTATAATCAGTCAGAAGCTTCCAAAGCGGTGAAGAAGTCATTTCCGACCCTATAAATCATATATATTCTTGATCAGCATAAACATCTGAATCGATCTAGACATGTCTGATCGAAAAATAAAATGTTTAAATTTTTTCAAAATTTTATAAGGTGCTACATCGTTAATATTGTCAAAAATTTGACAAAAAATTTAACTTTCTAATTTTTAAAACTTAGTAAGCATATTTTTTAACCTGATCAAAACTAGCACAAACCCGCTTTCCGAATTGAAATTAATAAAATTTTGGCTTAGTTATGATATACCAAAAACATTGATTTCCCTAAAAAATTAGCATTTAAAATGTCGATTTAATATACCTAGAAAACAGTCATTTAACTACAAGGATATTTAGTGGTAGCAGCAAACCAAAATATTGGGGATATAACAGTACTTGATGTGCAAGCAGTTAAAGCAGTGCGATTGAAGGACATGGAAACGGAAGTCCTTTGGAAACAACTAGTTAAAGCAGTAGATAACACTTCAAACCTGTGATATAATATAAGACTCTATAATATAAGTAGGTAAAGCAGTCCAAACAGCATTCAAAAGCATTTAGTGAATTATAAGAAAAACACCAGCACCCATAGCAGTTCATTAGTGTTATACAATATAAGACAGTGTCCTTGTAAGCCTTATACTTTAGTTGCCATAACAAACAAGTCCTTAAAGCAAGCTCCTTCCACCAGAGGGCGCCACATTAAAACAGTCACAGTAAAACCTCCCTTATCCTTTCTACCCTCTCTAAGGACTTTCCTTAAATATAAAAGAGCGCATGTGGTTCATTCCGCCCAATGAACACTGTATTTTTCGACCAATTTGTGTGAAGAGGATTAATGGGCGTCTGGGCGAGCGATAACATGAGGGATGATTGGCCTGTGTGTTGTGGCTCTGGACTCTTTCGCATGGACTCCGTCTTATCAGACGCGCGTGGATGCTGCTCGGTTGCAGACGTCTCCAATCAGCTGACAAGTGGACGCGTACTGAACGGGAACGGAGACAGCCTGCGGCCAGGCTTTCTCACCTGTGAAAATTAATCGCATCCTCAATTAACAATCACACGGTTGCCGCTGACAAGGTGTTGCAGGTGCAATGCTAGCGCCTGGCGAGGTCGCAGCCAAGTTCAGAGGCCAGTGGCAATGATGACAACTGAGTGGGTGCCCCCCTTGCGAAGATTCGAAAATATATGCACACGCCAGTATACATACAGACGGAGCGAAGGCAAATCTGCTTTTAGGTCACACAAAAGGCTCTCGCAGCAGCAGCAGCAGCAACAGCACCATCGACAGGAGCAACAGTAGCAGCAGCATTAGCAGCAGCAAAGGAATTCCAAGAAAGAACCAACAAGTAAGCCAACAAAATGCGGGCCTAGGCCCCCAGGACAAACTGAGCCTCGATTTGGGAAACATTATGTGTGAGGACATACTCTCCTGAAATTCACAGACTTTGCAAAGATTAAAGGTGAACTAAACCACACAGCTACCTTTTAATTAAATAATACATGAAGTCAATAAACTGTTTAACCAAAGTTAATTAAAAGTCAAACTTTGTTTGTTAGTTAACAAACTGTAAATGAATTTAATTTCAACTTGTATTTCCTTGAAAACAAATCTATTGACTTAATTATTCTATTTAATTAGTGCATAGATTATATTTTCTACCCAAAACAAGTTGTTGTATGTGGCAGTATCAGGTTTAAATCATCATTAAATACGTAGACTAAGCAAATAGTTCAAGCGACAGTTGCAGGCATGTTGTTTAAATATTCATGAAATGCAAATATGTTGCATTTATTTAGCATGCATTTTTTATGACTAGTGACCATGGGTTGGAGTGTTTTTCTAAGTGTTTTAGAAACTGCAGAATACTTAAAGAGTTAAGCTAGGATGTATTTTATATTATTTCTAAATAAAGAAAACAGCATTTAGTAAGTAACGCAAAATACTTTTTAGTAAGGTTATGCCAAGGGAATAAATTGTTAGAAAATATTTAAAGTATATTCAGGTACAATATTGTTTGTATAATACAGTAAATTATAAGACTCTTTTTACCAGATCTTTGTCTATTTGATATATGTTAATTCATTTTATTTTTACCTGAAACTTTCTAAACCTTTGTCGATATGGAGCCCAAATATAGAGCACCCAAAATAACTCCCTTTTGGCTCAGCTTTTGATACCAAAGTAAGCTTTTCAAAAGAAACCCCGCAAGTCCTTTGCAATTAGCTCGAAAACCGAAAATGAATGCCGTACAAGTCTATATTTAGTCTGCTGGGATTCATGATTCTTGAGTCTTGAGCCAAGCGTGTCAAGCACCGGCACTTGGCCAAAAGCTGAGGGAGAGAGGAGGCAGGACGCAGGACGCAGGACACATTGTAAGCCTTGTTATCGGACTTACGTCTGTCGTCCGGGAGTGTGCGTTTTGTTTGGCTTTAATTGCGGCTTTAGCTGGCCCCTGAAGGAGTGTCGTTGTCGTCCGTCCATTCTTCTGGCCATTCTTTGAGCCCCGTCACGCGGTTGTCAGCCGCTTCAGCTATTCTCGTCGCTGGCATTGTGCCTTGGATTTTAATTGTTCAGCACTTGGAGCCAGCACCGGTGCGCCACTGTCCACCGCCTCTAGCTCATGAATCCTCCGGATGAATCCACCGCCACCGCCGGATTTCTGCCACCTTCGTCTGCAAACAGCCCTGAGCACGCATGATGGTGACCTTCCAGGGACAACAGGTGGAGAAATGTATAGAGAAGGGTATGAGAAAAATCTCGTATTTTGCATAGAAACTGGTCTAAAAACTTGGCTTAAATCCAACGTATTTTGTGCAATGAATTTGTGGTCACATTACCACTGATTTATAGTAATGGCGAAGGAGTTCTTTTTATGAATGTTTTCTGGTTTAAATGTTATTGCTGGTCTGTATTTTATGGGTCTCATATATTTCGCTTTATCATCTGTTTAAATAGTTTGATAAATTTATTTAAATTGTGCAAATTGCTATTAATATTCATGGAAAATTTATGCATCCACAGATTTAAAATGCGAAACAAATTTATTTAAGCTATTTAAAATTAAATTAATTATGCTAAAGTGTTTCTTTTGAATCTTTATTTTAATGTATTGGTCACAATTTTATTTTAAGAACTAAACAGATTTAATAATCATTACCTGAAGGTTTAATTCTTAACAAATTAAATAATAACTTACCAACTCTATACCTCTTCTCCGTTTAAATTTAATCATTATATTCCCTATCTTCTCTCCTTTCCAGAATCAAAATTAGATGCTATCCATTCCAAGTAAAAGTTATTGAGGAGCTTTCGCCATGCCATCCCGTCGCTCCGGTGGCGGTGGCACCACCAAGAGGAAACATTCCCTGGGCAACCTGAGGCGGGCACATCCTGCCTCAGGGGCCACATGGAATGTTCAGGTGGTGCGGGGCAAGATGTCCTCGAAGTGCCTGTGGCATGCCTGCCGGGCACTGATCCTGGGACTCACCCTAATGCTCCTCGGTGCCGGAATGGCCACCCTGGGCTACTATGCAGATCATCTCTCGATGGGCTCTGAGATCAGGGGCAATGTGACGGTCCGCGTTAAGAACGACCTGAAGGGCTTCCATTTGAACAACTTCGCTTATGTGGGTCCCATTGTCATGGGCTTTGGTGGCTTTATTGTTGTCGCCTCCTGTGTGATGACCTTCGAGGCTAGGGACTCGGCAGCCAAAGTGGTTCCAGCACGACTGAGAGCAGGAGGAGGAGGGAGCAATAAGAATCCCTCGAGAAGCAACCAGGGAAGCTCCGCATCGCAACGACGCGGGATGGGTGAGCATTGCCGGGTGTTAGACCGAATATTTTTTGATAATTTATGGTGTTTCCCCTAAAAGGTGCTCAATACCAGTCCTCTCGGTGGGATCAGCACTTTGGAGTGTTCCGATCATCACCCGGCGATGGACACCAGCAGCCACAGGCGGCTGGCATTTCGGCCACACATCAGCATCCGCATCCTCACCAGCAGCAACCCTTCGACCGGGAGGCACTCACCGCCGAACTGGTCAAGTTCTCCAGATCACTCAGGTATAATCCAGGGAGATATGGGTCCGGGGAGATCACCACATGGGCAATAACATTTTGTTTAAATTATGTATAAATTCACTTATCCAATTGGCTATTTCTCGCTCTTCCCGCCCGCTTGTCGCTTTTTATCTGAAACTGAAACTGAAACTGAATCTGAATCCGATATCCGCATCCGCATCCCGCTTCCGTCACCATCAGCGCCTCCACACGCTTCTGCCCGCAGTGGCGCCGCCTCTCGGGGCCGGCTCCGCTCCGGATCTGTCCGGCGTCGGCGGTGCTTCCGCTTCCGCTCATAGTCATGCCAACATCAACACCACCCACCACCACCACCACAACCACAATTCCACCATTACAGCCACCATAGCCAACGCCACTAATTACTACAATTTGCTCTCACTGAACAACCGCCTGTCGCCGCTGGAATGGGAACTGTATTGCTCGCATCGTCGCCATCGACACCATCACCGTCACTCGCATCACTCACACTCGCACAAATCCTCGAGCAGCAGTGTGCGTCGCGTGCGTCAGATGCGACCCGGTTCGGGCTCGGGATCGGGCTCGAATGCCGGCGTAGGAGGAGCTGGCTCCTCCTCGTCGGCCAGAATTATAAGCAACTCATCCAGCCTGATCCAACGAGCCACCAGGGAGTGCTCCCTGTTGCAGCCACCGGCTGCGGGTCGCGTCTACTGGCAGGCCTCCTCCTTTGACGGCGGCAGTGGTCCGCCTCTGGTGGGGATTAGCACGGGGGCAGAGAAGCGCAGCGAGCGGAACAAGCGCTCGGATACGGCCAAGAGGCATGTGCTAGCCCGCCAGAGACCCATCGAGCAGGAGGAGGCACGCGATCACAGTCGCAGTCCATTGGGACACAGGCGGTGAGTTTGTGCTGGAAACAACACTAAATTTTCATAAATCTTGTTATATTAAATGCTTGCTTTAAAATCTCTCATTATTCCTGAAACACTTTTTAATAAAACTTTGTATTTATGAATAATAGTTTTAAGCTTTCGTTAAATGTTTCCATTGTGTGAATATTTCCAGAAACTCAACCATGTCGGACTCCTCGTACAGCGGCCGCTGGACGGCTCGCTGTGCGTCCATAGCCAGTCGTACCTCCAGCATTGAATCCCGGCGTGTCCAAGTGGATCTTCATAGTCCCGAGGTGATCCCCAAGTCGATATTGCGCTCACCCAAGCGGTATAGTAGTGGGCCCTCAGCCACGCCCTCCGTGGACAGAGAATTTCGGTAAGAAATTTTTAAATTTGTTAATAAAATATTCTCATAACTTAAACCCTTTACTTACAATAGAAGCCAATTATCAGTGTGCTCTGAGCCGCCTCCGCCAGTTCGTCAGCTATCGGGACAGTCGAGTATGGAGCCTGCGGTGCCAGAGGAGTGTCTGGACCAGCAGCCGGAGGAGCTGCTGGATTCGCCGCAACCCAAGAACTCCTACGAGGAGATCACCGAACTGCAACATCACACAAGCAGTCTGCCACCGAAGAAGGCTCGACCGGGATTCCTGCCCCTGGCATCTGCTCGCAGCGAACAGGAAGAGGATCAGAAGCCAACGGCGGCTCCGCTCTACCGGAGCAACAGCTCCCGACAGTTTTACAGACCCAAGAAGGGAGTGCCCAATGAGCGGGATGATTCAGTGTTCTACATACGTTCGATGGAACGAGGATTGGCCGGAGCTGGAGCTGGTGGGAGCGCCGATGAGCAAATGTATGACTCCCTGCGTGTGATCAACGAGAGGAGAACCACTCTCCTCAAGGCGGACTCACAGAGCTCGCTGGGATCGGCGGAACGGAAACTGAGCAGTTTCTCCCTTAAAATGCCAGAGATAACTGAGCGGGAGAACTCTTTTGAAATTGATATGGATGCTGAGGAGCCACCACAACAGCCACCGATGCCACCTGCACCTCCGCCTCCTCCTCCACCGCCTCCACCGCCGCTGCCATCGGTTCCTATACCCGCTGACCCATCTGCAGATATCGAGCTTGGAGAAATCGATGATGATGATGATCCCTAGGAGCGAATGGATCTTAGCCCTTCGTAGCGTTTAACCAGCAGCCATCGACAATTACTTTAGCAACTCGATTGATGTTTGTATATGTATTTTTGTGCGTGTGCGTGTCGTTTATTTTTATAACCCCTAGATCGTACCTAGATAAGTGTTATATTTACATGGATATATACCAGCAATAATCCCTGTGTTGCCTCGGGCCTAAAAGCAAAGAACTAACGAATCTTCAACGATGTCTATTAACTTGATTAACTAACTGATGTTACTGTACAAATATCGGCAGTTGCGATCGAAATAGTTATGTTTAAAATACTTCAAACCATTAAGCTTTTGAGATATTTATTTATAACTCTTAAAATATCCTATATGGAAATCTTTAATTATATTAAATTATTTATTTGGATCGCAGCTGTCAGCACTAGTCTTCCTATTGTTAGAATATGAGATATATCATGATGTTATTACTGGGCCCTGGATCTGGTGGCCATATCATTGTTATCAATACTACATACTATATATTTATCGGTTACTGTTAAATGCTAATCTACAAGATATACTAAATAATGAGGGCGAGGCCGAATACATACCATGCTTGCGTATACCCTGTAAAAAGTACAATCAGCTTATAGTAAAGACTGATTAGGGAAATTGTTTTACAAATTGGTCGACAGCGAAATGGAAAATATGAGCAATGAAAAGCTACAAAATCTGGCATCGGAACACGGATTATGTTCGATACACATACAAAATACAGGTGGGGCCACAGAAATCTCTATGTGATTTTAAATCAATTTTGCAGTGATATAATTCATAGAGATTTCTGTAGGACCCCCATAGACTCTTTATGCTCTTAGTGTTACACCCAATACATTACAAGTACCTTTACGATTATATATCTGAGTGTTTATTTTTAAGCAATTACAACGTTTCTTGTTCCATAAGTGTTAAAAAAAAGCTACGAGCATTCAAAATGATGGAGTTAGTTGTAATGGAAAGCCCTGTTGATGTGCAGCGAATTTTTGTAATAATGTTCATTGCATAATTAATATTGCATAAATAAAAGCAAACAATGTGTGTCTAATATTTAATGCTGCTTTGTCCTCTTCTAACAGATGACGTGTCAAACTTGGCGCTCTTTCGCAGCGCTGCCACACTATTTAAGACATTCCGTTCTATGATATCGATAATATTGCGGTATCGATTCTGATTTATCCACTTCGTCTCTTATCGATAGTGCCATCGATGTTTTGACAGCACTAGTTTTTCGGCCGAAAAATAAAGAACAATAAAACGTTTGTGGCCCGCAAAAAAAACGGATCGGATCGGATCGCAGCCAGTCTATTGAGAGTGCAGCGTGGTGTCCTCTCACCTGCAACCTGTGACCCCCCCGCCCCCGTGAGCGTGAGTGTGTGCAGCAGTGTTAATTGGAGCAGCCTAGGCAGCGTGTAAAAGTTGCGGAATTATCGTGGCAAAGAGTGTGTGGTGCGAGCGAGAGGGGAAGAGAGCGAGTGAGGAGGAACGTCCGTCCAGCCGTCGCCGCAATTGCCGCACGCATAAAATATGATCAAATTGCGAAACAGAAATTGATTTCAATTGGCGACTCAACAAAAGGTACGTTCGATAAAGGCCCCCGCCGCCACTCCCGCTCCACCACCTCCTTCGCCCGCTGCCGCTCTCCTCCACTTTCCGTGAAATTCCTCAGCGTTCGCCGCTCTCGTGCCTCAACGTGTTCTTTTCGGTCGCCATTGGACATTGAATCCGATTCCCGGCACGGCATTTACATAAAGCCCAAGCCGCAGACTGCTCCAATTGCAAGGCATTTCTTTATTTAACCGAAATTCTCGCCAGACTGCGGCCTTTTCCCAATTTCCAAGCAAAAGTTATTTTCCAATTTCTTTTAACTGCCCTGCATCGGTGTGCGTGTGGCGGTGCGTATGTGTGTGTGTTGTGTTCGGCAGAGATGAGTAATTTTCAAGTTGGAGCGACAGTGACAGATGCCGCAATTGGCTCTACTAAAAATAAAAAGTGTCAGTAAAAGCACTCAAAACGAGTTCGTGGCCGCCGTTGGTGCGTTGAAAATTAGTTTTTCCCCGGTAAACACTGCCGACAAATCGGCCAAATTGGGCCTTTGAACCTGTTACATTCGTGACCGATATTCGTGACCCGGCGAAAAGTAATCATCTGCTCATCTCTAGCGGGCGGCTTACTTTCGGCGTGTGGCACACAGAAATTGGGCAGAAAAACACTGCCTCTTGCAACAGCCTGGTGATTTTTTGTTTTGATTTATTCGGAATTTTATGATGTGTCTGGTTCGTACCCCACCTCACGGCCGTCTGCCTCTCCCCGTCCCGCTCCCTCTGTTTATTTGATTTTCTTATTACATAGGCACAGCTGTGCAGCGTTGCCAGATTGCCTGCGCCAAAGTTCCGGCTGTGGCACGCGGAGTGGCGTGAATTGAAAATGAATGAAAAGAATCTTAATTGCAAATTACTTGCGTCCAAAATAAACGAAATTTATCCAACGCAACCGAGATGTTAATAAACTTACTTAATATTTAATTTATTTAGAGTTTTCGGTACGTTCGGAAGAAGAAGACTGTCTGGTGTCACTCCAGTGATTGAATCTTTGGGCTCTTACGATTTTTAAAGCAGTTAAATAACTTATCTAACTATGTTGTTTTTATTTTATATAAATAGCCGAGTTCTTTCAATAATGTATTTCTCCTTAGAAATATATTTTTAATGGCTATGTCCATCTCTCTCCCAAAACAGCAAACGCAAGTTCAATGTTTGGCGCCTGCTGCGACTCTTGAGACTCGTTTAAGCCACCAATACCAACCAATCAGGACTTAGCCAAGTTCCGCACTGAGGCTTTTTGGCCATGGCGCAGGAAACGCAGCCGCAGCAGCAGCAGGCGGCGCCGCCGTCATCAGCGTCGTCGTCTACACCGGCCTCCGCGGCAGCTGGGTCTGGAGGATCGGCTGGAGGAGGGGCTGGTGGAGGTGCCGTCACGCCCATTTCCACGCCATCGACGCCGCAGCCAACACCAGCCGGAAACAACAGCAGCAGCAGCAGCAACAACAACAATAATAATAATAACAATAACGGCAACAGCAACTCCGGCACGCTTGTTTCGCCTTCGGGGAACAACAATCTAATGACACCCGTCCAGGCCTTCACTCCAGCTGGACAGCCTCTGTTCAATCCTCACCTGTACATGCCCCAACACGGTGGACATCCGCATGGAGGAAATCCGTACCAGGCGATGATCCAGACGCAATTTCCCAATGTGTTTGTGAACAATGTCACTGCCAATGTGAATCTGCATGGATGGTCGCACACGGTGCCCACTTATCTGCCTGGGGGAGCCCAGCCCCACTACATCGGACATGGAGACATGCCACAAGATCAGGTGCGTAGCGAGAGAATAGAAGTCATCTTAATTCCGCTAATATAATCCTAATTATTTTCTTTTAGGGCAACGCCCTGATGCCGCAACACCTGCAGCAATTGCCCATGAATATGGGTCCCCAGGGCGGATCCCCCAATCTTCACACTCCCGGAATGGGTGGACGCGGACGAGGAGGACGCGGAGGACGTTCTCGCGGCGGTGGTAGCATGCGCCGCAACGACTACCATGGACCACGTCATATCCAGCAGCAGCATCAGCATCAACAACAGCAGCAGCAAATAGTTACCCTGCCACCGCAGCAATTGCCACCGCCGGATGGTGCGCCCGTATCCAATCCCGGCCTGCAGCTGCAGCCTGACCAAATGGGTCAGCAGCTTCAGGCGCCACCGGAGGCTCAGATGCAGCCCATGCCGTTCTACGCCCATCCTCCACCGCATGCCTATGCATACGGCCCGTATCCCACGCCTTACTTTGCGCCACAGCATGCCCAACTGCAGCCTCCGCCCAATCCTGCGGCGGCGACTGCCGCCCAGCAGGCGGCCGGGACACCAGTGTACATAGCTCCGGTGATGTACAATCCAACTCAGATGTACAACTACATGTACTACCAGCCTGTTATGCACCCGGCGGAATACCAATACTTGCCGGAAGATGTACAGGCTGGAGTGCCAGTGGATGAACGTGTCCAACAGCAGGAAGGAGTTGTCCCTCAAATCTGGCACTCAGCTCCAATGTATGCTGAAGAATACGCCGAAGTGCTTCAACAACAGCAGCAGCAACAACAACAACAGCAACAGGTGGCCGTACATCCCAATGGCGGAGTTCCCAATGTGGGCGATGAACTGAACCACAACAGCTCCTCGCTGCCCTCCTCGGAAACGTCAAGCATGCTCAGTCCGAATTACCCCATCTATGATCCGCAAATGCACGAGATGCAGCACCAGATGAACGTCATGCAGATCTACGAAGATGGTCAGATGGCTATACAGCCCATACATCCAGGAGCGGCTCCCGTGCAACAGGTAAGTGATGATGCCATACAAAGAGGTTTGCTTCGGTTTTTGCAAGATTTAAAAGCGAAATATTAAAGAAAACAATTTTAAATGTTGGGTAAATGCATAAAAATCGAAGCTGACTTCATGTAGAAATAAATTATATTAAAATATGTCTTCCCATTTGCTGACAGTACGACGAGGAACTCGTCGAGTGCGGAGCACCTCCACCCGGCGCCATTCCGGTGGCCTGGACCGGTGCGATGCCCATGCCAGCGGATGGAGCTCAGCCAGCCTTGCTGCCACATCCGCCGCATCACATCCTGCAGCAGCCATCGCCTGTGTTAATCGAACAGCCGCCGCCGCAGCTTGTGCCGGTTGTGCCTCCACAGGCACAGGCACAAGCACAGGCCCAGGCACCGCCACCCACAACTCCACAACTGCAGCCGCTACAGGAGCAAATGGGTAAGTTATGTTGCACAATATTGATTAGTAAAACCATTTGGGAATTGGTCCGATACATGGGAATTGACTGCATCATTCGTGCTGAGTTGCACTTTGGCTAATTTCTGCTTATAATCTCATTTCACTTGATGACTGTTGATAAGAATTAATTATTCATCGAAGTGAATGGTCTTTTCAACGAGTAGCTCCACTTTAGCAGAGGTTGTATAAATATTATTGGAATTATATCCGTATTTGCACCTTAAGGTTGCAACTATACCTCGTTAACAACTATTTCGTTGATACTCAATTATTAATACATTTGTATTATGTGGTTAAAATCATTTAATATAAAATCCCTTAACTCCTTTTATATTTATTGTTGAGAGTTGCTCTTGCTTATATAATTTTTCAATACCAACTCATATATTGTCAATTTTGTATGCTCTTTCAATTGATATTTTTTAGTTACTAAAAATGTTTAAGTTAATTTTTATTGTCGGCAGTATAGTTTATTTATCTTGTTATTGTTTTGAACGCGGAGTCAACGACTGCTTTCAAGATAATCGAAAAGCAAGTCAGTTTGTGGACTTTTAACCGGCATTGTGACCAGAGTATCTGTGTTTCGTGTTGCTCTACGCTTACTTAATGTTATTTTTTCATATTGGAATTTGTCATGGCGTGCCTTCGATAGCGCCTCGCCTGGCCTGGTCTGGTCTGGCCGTCGTGTTTATATGCAATTTCTGCTTACTTTGGCCTTTCCACGCTCTCTTTTTTTCCTATATATATTTTCTATATTCGCCACTCTTCTCAGGTGTTGTCACATGATATTCGAATGGAAGAACAACAATGGGTCTCCGGGGAAACAACGTTGATGTCAACAAAATTTTGCCATAGTTTCTGGGCCTTAATTATTCGGACGCATGGACTGAATGCCTGTTGCCAGGCAGTTTCAATTGTTTTTGTGGGCTTGGATTTAGGATTTTGGTTGTCGAATATCATCCCCTAGCGCGGAAGGGCCTCCAACAGGTGTTGACCACTTTGTTGTGCCTCCTCCCACTCACTCGAACCACTCTCTAATCAGCAGCAGTACAAGTGGGCTTCCGTCTAGTTCGGTCTCTTTGTTGTTATTTTTTTTGTTTTCCTATTTTGTTTGCTCGATGTGTGTGCCAGTGTGTGCCATTGTTCACGCTTATCAATAGACAGTCCAAGTTGAAATGCTGGAGTAGGCGTTTCGTCCACTTGCATACTAATCGTAATTGAGTGTGTCATGGATGAGGTTTCGGATTGATAAAAGGACAGGGATTCTAAACCAACAGGCCGAGCAAATGGAGCTTGTGTGTGTCCAAAGTCTCGTTCTTAATTGCTAGACAAAGACTAAACTGGGGAAACAATATGAGGATTTATATACAATTGGGGTTAGAATTTAGTAATATCAACATTTGTATTTTATTTATTGAATGTAATGTATTAATGGGAGGTTATAAATTGAACTTGAAAACAAGTGTTTATTATTTAATTCCGTTTATAAACAAATCGTCCGTTAAATAATCTTGAGTTTTGAGGGTAGGAAAGATTGATTATGTTGAGGAAAAGAAATAAACACTTTAAATTATGATAGATTGACTTTTAATTCATTTAAAGAATGAGTTGATCGTTGGCCCTTTGAAAGGATATGAAATAAAGTCCAATTGTAATAACTAAAGATCGATTACATATTTGGGCTCCATATCTAAAAACTATTTGAAGTAAGTGAGCTTTTTAAGGAAGTTAGGAAATATATTATTTTATATTAATAGATCATATTGAAATGCTATTTTTTGCTTTAAAGTAATTATATGAGGCAGATAATTACTTTTCACTTGTTGCAATGTTATATAGTTATATTTAATTGAATTATTGGTATAGTTCCCTTTAAGTTTTATGATACTTGTTGCTCACAGGTAATTTATCGATTTACGAGGTAGAAGTACCCAAAGCTCGACAAAAATTCAACCCGTATTACGAATACCTGCAATGAAATTGATTTATGGCACTTGTTTTAAGTAATATTTTTATGACCACTGCTGTCTATGAAGTTGACAAGTATTGGAGGAGGTTCGATTGTTTTCCAGTTGCTGTAATATCTGTATCGGCGTTGACTTGGGTCTGTATTGAACAAGCTTCGTCTGGCCGAAGAGGTTTTCTTTTATTGCTGTTTTCGCAGCACTTGGCTTGTTATATATATAGAGTTTGATAGCAAGTATTTGTCCACAGACTAGATTGATAGCTGATATCGTCGGCGGCCCCCCCACTCCGCCACAATTAGTAATGTTGGCTAAGTGTGGCCATAACTCCCTCGTGGCCCATTGATTAGGCTAATCATTTTTGGGGCAGAGGGTTTTTCAAGTAAGCGCGCCATGATCTGATTTCCCAGAGGCCCGCGACATCGAAGGGGGCTTCAAATTCGTTGATAAGCGCAATATTTTAAGTCCAAGGCGAACCTATGATCGATGGTTTTTAGAGCGCCATACATAGCTCCCCCAGGGAGATTATGAATGTGCTAAAAGTATTCACGAGTTCCCTCTTGATATAAGTACTTATTCCGTTTTTCATTAATTTGACTGTCGGCTAAATCCAATGTTGTTCTTGAAAAGCGTTGAATCAATTATTTCTTTTGATAAGCCTTTAATTAAATTCTTTACAGTTACGATAAATTCAAATTCCCTGTAAATAAGACACCTTGGTTTTTATAGTTTTTAAAACGTATGGCAATTTTTTTATTTATTACTATTCTTCTGGCTGCTTTCATCATTCCTTCAACACTTATTGTTCTAAATGTTACTTTTGATGTGTTTCCCATTCGTTCCTTTCAGTTTGCTGTGTTGCCTTGTCCTTATGCGTATAACAGATTTAGAATATTGTTTGTGGTTTATATATTATTATTATTATTATTTATACTGTTTAATTAGTTTTTTAGCCGCGTGAACAATTTCGTTTGTATAGAACTGCACTTGCTTTTGCTGTATTGCTTCTGGTTTGTAGCCACTACGCTATATATTTATATATAGATTTGGATAGTTTAAAAAACAGACACACACAAGCCTTAAAAATTCATGTTGTTCTCTTGGTTTGGTTTTTTAGTTTTCTGTTGCTGGACTTTAGTTTAGTAGTTAGTAACTTACACAAAAATGAGCCGTAAATTTGTATTTTGAGTTTTTGCCACCTAAATGATTAGTGTAAAATTGAAAACAATTTTAGTTCTTAATGCGGTTCTTTGTGTCGCTTCGCTTTTCTTTCTTTAATATAGTTTGTGTAGCGTTCAACTCTCTTTCTCTCTGCTTAAAAAATATACAATTTATTAGTTTTGCCATAGTTGCTCTGCCGCTTTTAAGTTAATCGGGGCCACCTTCCGGTTCTCGTTTCTACTTTGCTACGATGTACAGTTTACACACACGCTATATCGCTAAGTTATGACACATTTATAACACCTGGCCAACAACTATTATATGGTAGTAGTACGTACACAATAATTTTTAATAGTAATAATAGTGGTAATCATAGTAATCGTAGGGCTTTAACAAACAAATTATAATTATAATAATAGAAGTTGCTTTACAATATTTAGTGGTTGCTGTATAACAGTTGCAATCTACAAAAAAACGATCAGTATCAGTTTTCGATCGGTAATTTATGAGCGTAATATAGTTTATATATATAGCCGAAGGTTGATTTCTCTATCTTATCGCAAGCTAAGCTGAGTTCTCTTGGTAGAAAAGTTCAATTTCTTCATCTCCATCACGTCCTCCGCTCCGTCGTTGCCTAGGCTTAAAGGTATATATATATATATATGTGTGGTACGGGTATATATCTATATATCCGCCTGCATTTCCTCTGCTTTTGTATATAGGTGCGCTCGATCTCTGATCATCTCCTTCTCCACGTTATTTGCTGTATAAGTAAATAGAAAAATATCTCACCGGATCTTGAGCCCCCTCGCAATGACCCATAAATTCTTCATCATATTCTCACACTGATCCAGCTGATCCCGTTTAGAGCTTCGATTCATTCGTTTTCTGCGGGAACTGCGGATGTCCCTCCTCCTGCTGCGGACTCGCCAGCGTCTTGATGATCTTGGGCACAATGGTGATGGGCTGGTCCTCGTCGTCCTCGGCATCCTCGCCCTGCTCCTCGTCAATGGGCGTCAGAGTCTCCACATGTACGGGCGTCTCCTCTTCGGGACTGCATCGCTTTAGGCAGGGAGCCAGGAAACTGGTTATCGTGGAGATGGCGAACAGAGCACCGGCCATGTAGAAGGGCAGGTCATAGGTGTGCGTCATGTCATAAATGGCGCCTGCCAGAGGCGTTCCAATGAGGGCAGCGAATCCTCTGAACAGGATCAGCAATCCAAAGGCATTTGTGAGCTTGTCCAGGCCGAGCAAATCGACCAGGATAATTGACGTCAGCGAGATGTATCCCGAGATGGCCAGTCCAAAGAATATGGACATGGTGATGTAGGCTGCATAGCTGTAGCACAGTGGCGTCAATGTGACCGCAATGGTGGACACCAGCAGGCAGCAGTTGTTGAGTAGCAATGAGTTCACCTGCGGCAGATCCGCCACCCAGCCGCAGAACACACGGCCCACGGTGTTGGTGATGCCAATGATGGACAGCAGCATCGCAGCATCGTTTTTGGGGATATCATGCTCCTTGGCCGCATCGACCAGGTAGACGAAGGGTACATAGAGGCCAGCCATTCCAAAGATATTCGAGACTCCGATTAGCATGAATACGGGATCCTTGAGCAGGCTCACGTCCAGCATGGTGTTCACAACGGATTTCACGGAATCGGGAATGCCCAGGCAGGGACACAGATCGTATTCCTCGCGATGCTTCTCGGCCTCGGCCAGGGGATCCAGCTTGGCCACACTCTGCATGCTTTTCTCGTACTTGGTTAGGGAGAGCACCGAGTTCCTGTAGTTTGTCAGCGACTTCTGGGACTGATATTGCGGCAGGTTGGTCACGGATCCAGAGTAGAAGATATCCTTGCGGGACATGGGACGAACCATTTTACCGCTACTGCCCGACTGGCTGCCTCCCTGTCTCTGCGAGAGCGACAGCTTGGAGGAGATGAAATCTCCGCCAGCACCAGCCTCCAAGTCACCCCTCGACGAAGCCCTAATGGCAGCCAACGAAGGTTGATAGCGCTCCGATGCGGAGGTCTTCCTCACCCGGCTGAACGATGGCACTGATCCGTTTTTGGGCAAGCTCTGGTGGTCGCCGGCCAGGAAAGCAGGCTGTGAGGCATTCCGGGTCATGGCATCCTGCGAATGATACGGGCTGTTCTCCGACTCTGAAGCCCTGTGCTGCCGACGGCCACCTCCAGCTGCAGATCTGGCGGATAACTGGCCATTGCTGTCACCATTGGGCGGCGATTGAGCACCATTCTGCTGATGCACATCGACCACTTTGGACTCTGTGATGGTCGGTAGGGTAGACACGGGATGGAGGCCACCGCCTCCGGCCTGTTGAGCCAGCAGTTCCAGATTCAAGCTGGAATGCACACCGGGATCCGCATTCAGTGGCATCTTCAGTTTTCGCTCCATGGTTCCATCCGGCAGCTGCACCATAAAGTGAGATCCCGCAAAGGAGCCGCGTTCCAATTGAAGCTGCTTCTCCTCGTACATCCTTTGCATCAGGGGCTTCACCTTCTTCTTCTTGGGATAGGTTAGGGGTCGCATCATGGCACCAAAGATGGCACAGTTGAGAATCAAACCCGCAAAGATGAGCAGGGCATTCTTCCAGCCGTATTCCTCCAGCAAATAGGTGGCCAGCGGAGCAAAGGCAAAGGTGCCAAAGCCGGAGCCGCAGACGGCGATGCCAGTGGCCAGACTCCGCTTCGTCTCGAAGTAGTAGCCCACGGCCACCACTGCTGGCAGGTAGATCATGCCGAAGCCAAAGCCACCCATGAATCCATAGGTGGCCATCAGCATGCTCACATTGGAGCTGAAGGTGCTCAGGACGAAGGCGATGCAGGCTATGATGCTGCCGGCTATACAGACTGCTCGGCAGCCATATTTGTTGGCCAGCGCCGAGACAATGGGGCCGGCACTGAGGTATACTCCGGACAGGAGGCTGCCCACCCAAGCCACGGTGCCTTTGCCCTCATGGAAATAGGCCACAAACTCCTCGAGGAAGATGCCGAACGTGTAGGCAATGCCGTCCACGATCATGTTGCACATAAAGCTGGCGAAACAGATGACCCAGCCATAACCGCCGTCCGGCGGCGGTGGCAACTCCCCGTAGTCGCTCACTTCGTCATCGTCCTCATCCTCATTGTCCTGGTTATCCTCATCCTCGGGACTCTGCTCGGCGGTGAGCCTGGCCGCCTCTTCGCACGCCAGCTCGCTGTCCGTCCGCTCGAAACGACGCAGGCGGGCGGAGGAGGCGGAGTTTATGTTGCTGCCGGCATTGCCGGGATTCGAGGTGTTTATGTCCACCATGGTGCACCGAAAATTACACCTTGTTACGGCGAATTATTATAATTCGATTTCCCGGGCTTCCTCGAATTTCTTTTTCTGCACACACACACGCGACGGCGGAGGCGGTTCGCGAAGAAGTTAAAGTGTGAGTGGAGAAGGACAGATGGAGGAGCAGGAGGAGGAGGAACGTCCGATTGGCGTCGGTGCCCGCGTGCGAATGGCCAAAGCAGCGGAGGAGCAGCAGAGAGCGAGATTCCGCTAGTGGAACAGATGGGGGACAGAGAGAGAAAGAGAGAGCGTGGGGGGAGATGATGATAGAGAGACCCACCGACGGAGCGTAAGTTTTATCTTGGCTCTCTCACACTTTCATTCACTTGGCTCACTCACTCGCGCTCTCCCACTGCAATTGTTCTAACTGTGCTCTTGTTTGTTTGTCTGTGCGTGTGCATGTGTCAATTGTTATTGAGTTTTGTCGCCGTTTTTCTTTTTGTTGTTTGTTTTCGTTTTTAAGTTTGATAAATTCACAGACGATAGAGGCGTATGCCTATATATTTAAGTAAATATTTAAATGGGTTTACGAGCGATTAAGAATTCTCTTTGTGCGGCGGGCCAAACAGTTTGCTTTTGAGTTCCTCCCGTTTGTGCTTTTTGGTTTACTGTTAACTTTTTGGGTTATTTGACTTTTCTGCTATTTTTGCATTATTTCCGCTTGGTTTTTTGTGTATTTTTAACTTGCACTTGCAGCTGCAGTTGAGGTCACTATAAAATGTTTGTTTTCCTTGCTTTTCCGCTGCCTTTTCCTTGTTTCTTTTTTTCCGACTGGTGGTGTTTTTGTTTTTATTCTGCGTTTTTCCTTGCTGCTGACTTTGTTTTCCCCTCCTGTCTATGCCGTGTCTTTGATTCGTGTGTTTTTGTGATTTCCTCAGCTTTTTTTCGGGGGTGCTGTACGTACGAACGTGTATACGTCGTAATTGCGAATGCAATTGTATAATTTCCCGATTTTCAGCTTTGAAATTCAATTGGAGTGCACGGAGAGAAGGGAGGGACCAGGGGGAGGTAGGTGCTGGCGAAGGAGGAGGAGGAGCGAGGGGACGAGCGGTGGTGCGAAGCGTGTGATCGATAAAAGGCGCTCACACAAACACACTCACACCTTCGAACACTCGAGCACTTTTCGCTGCAGTTGCATTTTTGCCTCTGTTGTTTTATTGTGTTTTTATCGAGTGTCCGAATTCTCGGGCAGAATAACAATCTGCGAATGGATTCCCGATTTACAGTCCGGACTCGACTCCGAATTCCGTCTTTTTAGCCGATTCTCTGTTCTTGACTGGTGCGCCGTTCGCTGCGAAATGAAAATGAAAATTCCTCGTAACCAGCGACTGTTATACGATATACAAAGACAAATTCAAAATTTGTAAAAACAGACTGAACACGGAGCACGCTCCCATTCTAGCCCCCTGGCTCTCTCTCGCTCGCTCTCAGTCTCAGTGCATTTGAAGTTCAAGCTCATAGAGCGCAAGCTCCGCTCTTCTTTATCTGTCTCTCTCACTCTTACTCCTCTGCCACCCAAGGGGGTGGCTCTCTCCCCAAACAGCTGATTTGGCCATTGCTTTTGAGAAACAAAAACAAAGGCACAATGAGAGATTCAACGAGAGATTGCAAAGCAAACAACCCCCGTCTCGGCCCAAGGGTTGTCTGTCTTTACCTGACTTTGCCTCGTTTTTTTTTTATTGTATTGTCTTTTCCTTTGAGAAAGAAAGCCAGAAAAACCGGTAACCGCCTGCCACATGGCTACTGCTCTATTGTCTAACTGTTCTACACGTATACCAGTATCGCGGCATCAAAGAGCGCCGAAACTGTTGCTCTTTACTCGCGATTTAGGTTAAAGGTTAACTATATTTGCCCCCCGAAAGCAAGGAAAGACTTTTACTTTTCAAAAACCCACGCTCACACTCGCACAGCAGGCCGTCTTTCGCAAATGGCACAGAATTGTCTAGAACTTTAAGATTTAATTTATTCTTAAGGTAAAGTGTTGCTATTTTCTTGGGTTTCTGTGTATGTACCTTTAAAATTAAATAGGGCATAAAGGTCAAAGGACTTCAGAATGTATTCTTAATGTAAAGTTAATGCTAACGTTAACTTGAATTAAAATTCTGGAAAACTGCTTAAACTTTAACTCTAAGTTTAAGGAACTCTTAGTCTTTATAATATCTTTTAAGAACTAATGCATTGTTTTTATACTTCCATGTCTCTTTTAACTATCTAACTCCCCATGAAGTTGGAGTTTTAGAAGCTCCACTGTACTTTCATATTTGTTCGTGTGAAAGCGGTATTTTCGTCTGCCGCCTTTTAGGCGCCGACAAATTGTATAATCCAGGCATTATCTTAACAGTTGGCTCACATATCCCCAATAAAATGCATTCGACACGCAGCTGATAAGGCCGCTCCCCGAGATACTTTTTTTTTGAGGGGCCACCAGATACTTTAGTTATTTTGTTTATCAACTGCTTGGTTCTTTTTTTTTATTGTTTCGACTGTTGCCAGGCTGTAAAAACGTAGAAATGTGCTTTTTGTGCTTCACCGTCTGGTTTATAACAGTTTCTTCATCGGTTTGGTTAGCACTTGGTTTTATAGTTCGCCTCAAGAGATACTTCTTGGGGGTTCGGAACCCTTGCTCTCTTTAAGGTTTCTCTTTCCGTAACACTCTCTCTCTTTCACTTGGTCTGTTAACAGGGGGAGGAGGGATGTGTGTATGCGGTTCTTCTTCTTCTTCTGGGGCGGTTGGTCAATGTCATTCATAAAAATTCCATGTCAAATGAAGGAAAAAGACGACGACGACGACAACGACGACGAAGAAGAAGTAGGCAAGGAACACCACGGCACACATGTACCCCGATATTGTGGGTCAACGCCAGAGGGCGCCACTTTGGCTTCTCTTCCTCAGGATTCGTTTTATTTCTTTCCTCCTTTTCCTTTTTCCTAACTCGATTTGTTAGCTCTGTTATTAAAGCATTACGCGGGACTCAAATGGCCAACGCCTCCTGCAATCTCGTCAAGCAATCTTCGTGGCCGCGAATTACATTTAACTCAAACTTAAGTTGTAATTTAATGGTTGCTAAACTGTTATACCGCAATGCGTGCACTGGGTTTGAATTTTTATTAAAAATGCATGAAATACAAAATGCAAAACCGCAGGATATTAGGAAAATGAGCAGCACAAGCAGTATGCCAAAGCCATCCGATCCCCGGCGTGTGGTCGCAGTTGCTGCAATTGAAAACAGAGATTGGGTGGGTGGGAAAATTGTATGTTGGTGGGTTGGGAAATTCCTAGGGTCAAGCAGGTGTTTTTACGAATTAGTTGCCCCATTTAAAGCAGAATTTGGTGCAGTATTCTGTGCCAAAAAAAATCAAATTCATCCAAGTGGAATGTGGGGGAAATAAAAGACGAAATAGCTGATGAAAGGTGCACTGGGGAAAATAGGGAATCAACTTTTATAAAGAAATGACAGTTGAGGTTGTAAAAACTTCTAAAATTTATTAATAATAACTATTGGGTATTATAATTTCAGTCAGAAGCTTAAAACACATCGAAGGAGTTATTTCCGACCCTATTAATCATATATATTCTTGATCAGCATTAACAGCAGAGTCAATTTAGCCATGTCCGATAAAAAAAATTTTTTTTGTTATTGTTGCAAATTTTTAAGGGGTTACATCGTTAAAATTTTGAAAAATTGTCAAAAATTTAAAAAAATTTAATGGAGTATGCAGATTTGATATTCTAAGAAAAACTAGCATAGGACAGTTTTCCGAATTAAAATTAATGCTGTTTTGGATAAGTTATTAGATTTTTAAATTTTGATTTGTCAATGAAATTTCCATATAAAAATATCAATTTGTTTTCTGCTTAGTTATGATCGAATTCCGATTCGATTCTATAATTCGATAGCAAACTTCAAGAGTATATAAATGTCGGCTACCCGAATTTAGTTTATTTTCATTCTATAGAATATTTGTTGAAACTTTTTAACAGCCAGTTAATTTCTTTAAAAAATTTATAAAAATGAATTTTTTTTAAATATAACAATTATTCAACAATGTTACAATTTACTTAATCAATTTCTTTACATTTTTGTATCTCTTAATTCCATAAACATACTTTAGATATCCATTTTCTTTCTGTGTACTGATGCTCACTTTGTGTAATGAATAAACTATCCTTGAACTATTGAATCTCTTCCTAAGAGAACTGAGCAGAAAAAGAAAGGGCCCATAAAAAGACATCTCCAGCTGGCCCAAGAGCTTTCTTTCTTTCTTTCTTTCCACGTTTCTTGTTCCTCGTTGCCAAAAGGTTGAATGAACCAGCAATGACTCTTCAATAATTGCACCGCCACCCCATTTCCACAGGGCCCCCGCTTTTCCTACAATCTGCGCTTTCTTTGTTAATGAAAATGAAAATTGCGCATACGACGTGTTGTGCAGTCAATGCTTTGACGCTCTCGCTTTGTTCCGCTGCTTTTTTCTTGATTTTTTTACGCTGACAACGCTTTTCCTTACATATGTAGCTAGCAGATACAAAACGTAGATACATAGCGACAGATACAGCTTGTAGAATATTGTGTTGTTATATTATAAAATGACGCAGTTTGTCGCTTTGGCTGTTTTACCTTGCTGCTGTTTTGTTTTGTTTTTTTTTTGCATTCGTCGTGTCCCTGCTCAACTTGTTGCTTTGCTTGGTATGCACCGAATGTATCTCTACCTGCCTGCAGGTGTATCTGTATCTATGGCTGTTGTAGCTGAGCCTGGCCTCAGTGCCGGGGCTGTGTATCTGTCAGAAACGTGGCGAATCTAGTATCTACAGTCGAAATAAGATGGATTAAACTTCAATCTTGAATAACAATACATTAAATGAAAATACTGGTTAAGAATCTTTTGGGGAATCCTTCACTATATCTTTTTGTAAATAGTTTAAGGTAGTATTTTTCTCCAGGACCTTTATATTTGATATTTTTACCTAGCAGAAGTTGGACTGTATCTCATTCTCCTTAATCTGTTATACGCATTTATATGTTAATGTAGGCGGCAAGCTGTGGGTCCTGTTGTGCGAATGTGTGGGCAGCTGGCAAAGGATACATTACAACGCGTGTCCTTGGGCTGCTCTCAGCTGTCACTTCACCTTAACTTCCTCGACACACAACCATCGATGCTTATCAGGTGATGATGCCTTAAAGCCACTTCGAAATAAACCGTCAACAGCCGCCCACTCGTAAATAATTCTACGATAAGGTTGTGGGGAAAATCGTAACCCCATCTATTACCACCAAAAACTTTATAGTTTGTTTTTCCTTTGCGACGAAGGTCGCTTTGCTGCCTGGCTCACAGAATTATGCAATTTCGCACTCAATTTCACTTATTGTTTTTAGTTTTAGAAGACTCTTGTGTTTTTTTTGTGTATTCCCATTCTTTGGGCATTACTTATTGTAAATTGACACAAATGAATTCAATTGAATTGCTGCCACAGTAGCAGCAGTAGCAGTAGCAACAATTCGTTTTTGGCCCTGTTGCCAGGCAGCGGAGACTGTGCTCATTCTCCTTTTGTTTTCTATATTGTTTTGAGTTCCCACAACCCCTTCTGCCTTCAGTGATCCAACGCTTGAGTAGATTACTTATCAATTTCATTGGAGCAACAACGATGAGGGGCCAGTAAAAGAGCTGGGAACAAGTTTTGTAATGAGAGAGCAACTCGTTAAATCGCATACGGGTCAGTTCAATCAATAAAGTCTCGCATAGCACGCATTACGCATACGCCTCGTGGGCCAGAAAAAAATATGGTTCTCATCCTGCAGTTTTTTAATTTTCTTCCTTCACATGCAAGTTTTTCCTTGGTAGCTAAACACGGATGTCCTTGAAATTGTTTTCTACTTTTTTTTTGCCGTCTAATTAGGCTAAAGCACGATAAGCTGTTCTATTTTATACCCTTACAGGGTATTCTATTTTTAGTCAGAAGCATAAAACGCATCGAAGGAGTCATTTCCGACGATAAATCATATATATTCTTGATCAGCATCAACAGCCGAGTCGATCTAGCCTTGTCGGGTTGAAAAATAAATTGTTGTAATTTTTTGTAAAATTTTATTGTAAGTTAAAATTTTAAAAAATTCTAAAAATGTGTAATTTTTTAAAGATTTTTTTTGAGTATGTAGATTTATTAACCTCTTAAAAACTAACACAGAACAGCTTTCCGAATTAAAATTAATGCTTTTTTGGCTGAGTTATGAGTTTTTGAACTTTGATTTAAGATTAGTTATGATCGATTTCCATTTCTATCCTATAATTCGATTATAAACTGCAAGGGTGTATAAATTTCTGCTTCCCGAAGTTAGTTTTTGATAAATATCTGACTGAAAATTGTGGCATTTCCCAGAAGTATTTATAGAAACCTCTGTTCTGGTTTAATAACGCAAATAAAATCATAAAACTTTATAGAAATGTTACCAAAATACTTTTTATAGATAGCTATCATTATTTAGCAATTACTTTATTTATAGTTCATATATGAAGGCTGTACTTAATAAATCAAATATACGGAAACTATTTGCTTTATAGAGAAAATATTCCCATGGGAAATATAAAGAAGTCATTAGATTGACATTTTCACACTATCTATACATGTCATAAATGCATACTATGCAGTATTTTTTATACATGCTTCTTTGTTCTCCAAAATAAACTTTAACCGCCGCTCTTTGGTTTGGTTTCTTTATTATTTTTATTCTTATATACGTACATGTATTTATGAGTCAGTTCAGAGGACTGATTAACAACTAATCAACAAAATGAATAATGTCAGAGAGAGGAAGAAGGGGGCTATAGGCATAGAATTACAATGTGATACATTTAATTGTTGATAATGCGTGATAATTTCTTTGTTTGTCTTTTTGTTTTGAACCAAAGAAAACGGGAATGCTATATATAGTAAAGAACCAAAGGGGATTTTTCTACTAATTCTACCTTAAATTGAGCTTTTAAATTGAAAATTTGTTTCTAAAAGTTGACTACAAAGAAATTATAGGTCATATGCATATTAATTAACAAGTATTTGTTGACTGAAATATTATTTTTAGTCATGGAAAACTGGATTCACACTCCAAGCTATGCTCTAACCTTACAAATATTTAGATTTCTACAGGTTACATTTAATATATTTTAGTAATCTCTAAAGTCTAGGCTTTTGCGAATTTATATAGTGTTAATTGTGTTGTGGTTTTAAGCTTTTCATACATTTTAAAGCAAAGAAAAGGCATATTGTTTTTGCGTTTAACTGTTGATTCTCTCAATTAAATCGAGCCGTCGTATCGTGTTTACACTTTGTTGTTCTCTTGAAACGAATCGAAGCTCAATAAGCATAAATTACTCATAGATCGGCAGCGGGTTCTTCCCCCCTTTTCGATTTCTGAATTGAATAAAATCGCGCGTTCAATAACAGCAACAAATGGGAAATGGGGGAATGAATGCCCGTAAGTGACCCATTTCTATTTGGATGATGATTTTGTGTATCCGAATCAATTGAAGAAACGGGCAAACAATTACAAAATCTCACTTAATATCTGAAATTCTATATACATACATAAACAAACAAATGTGTGTGTATAGTTTGTATGGTTTAATGAAGTGCAATTCGAGAATGGAAAACAAATTCATTTGAATTAATGAAGCTTGGCGTGGGGTGAATTGTTATACTCTGTCTATGCGTATAACAGATGAAACCGAAAGCGGAATTATCAAGTTGAGTGGGTTTTTCGGTTTGGAAAATAATGGGTTTAAGAGGGGGGAGAGCATTGAAATTGAGTCTATTCTAATGGATTGACATTGTATCCACCAGCAGCTCTTTCTCTCTCTCACTCCCATTGAATTTTCATTTATCACATGGAACGCAGAATAACAAATGGAAATTAAGTACAGTCCCGTCATCCGCTTCGTTTAGTTATTATTGTTACCGTGTTCGTGCCTGACAGTTTCCTTGTTTGCTCTGTTGTTGCTGCTGTTGCAGTTGTTGCTGTTGTTGCTGCTGCTGCAGTCAACTTATTGCAATTTACCTGTGCACTCATGTCTGTAATTATCCATCCAACCTTGTGACACTGCCTTCTCTCTCTCTCTCTGTCGAATCGTTATGGCAACACGTTCGAAAAGCTGTTGTTATTGCACCCAAACTGACACCCTGGCACAGATTCGCATTACCCCCATTATTTGTTGTTATTTGCAACTATTTTTAATGCATTAATCTCTCTCTCTCTCTCTCTCTCTCTCTCTACCTCGACAAATTTCCATATAATATTTGTACTCGATCTGCTCGATTTCCACTATACTCTGGTATATATTTATTAAATAATGCACACTTGGTTCTCGGCTTGTTAGTCGCTAATTGAAATTAATTAGCATGCTTGGAATTCCTGAGGGGAGTTAAGAATCCAACGGGGAGAAGCTGCCACTCTCATTGTCATATGATGAGTTAAAGCGGGGATTTGGGAATATGGAGGGAACTATGGATGATATATCCAAGCCGATAAATGGGCATTTAGCTGAGATACATTGCACGCTTCGCTTCGAGAGCACTTAGTTAGTGCCTTTGCGCTAATTCGCCGCCAAACACTAAACCCTTGTGAGGCGTCTGAATGATATTGTTTAAATATATTCGATATGCCTCCAGTTTTAGCACATTTAAAAATCTCGAATAGATATTTATAATTATGATAGAGCAAGTACAGGCGGCCCTGGGAAAGCTGTCTCCCAGATGTGGAATTTGGCGTAGAAAAATTCCCTGTTTCTTTTTTTTTTTGCTCCCAGAGGAATACTGTCTCTGGGGTGAAATTTGAGGTCGTTGAAGAGGACGAAGTGAAGGTATGTAATATGGATTACATTCCAGGTAGATTTTTGATTGGGAAGAGGATGTTTTTTATATTCAGGATGGAATATGTGCATTTTCTTATATGGTAAATTTATTAAGAGCATGAATCAATGCAATATTCACACTCTTTCCCACAGTATATATATTTCCCATACATCTCTGCAAATAATATTGTAATTTGTCATCGAAAAGTGTTTATTTATTTACTTTAATTTCGAATGAAATAAGTCCATATTAAGTATGTAAACCCAGATATAATATTTGCAATATTTATCTCCCATACAGATTCGAATAATTTCCCAATATTTTTTTGTATAATTAATTAAAGGAGCGATCTGTTTGCATTGAATCTGAGAATAACATACGCTTTGTTGTGTTAACCCTGTTCCGGCTCCACATGGAGCTTTTCTTATCGAGACGGGAATGGCCATCGGTTTTTATCTCATGCCCCATATCAGGGTCTCGAGTGCGAAGTTCAAACACCTAGCAACAACAGAGCCCAATCGAATTGTGATTTAATAACAATTTGCCCCGTAAATAAAGTCCTACTACTACTCACTCTCACTCTCTCAGTCGGAGTGTTTTTGCCCCGTGGAGTACTTGAGTTTTGACATGGATTAGTTATGTTTTCTATTTGCACTGATAACCGGCAATCGATGGCTCGCTTATCAGTTCAAATATAACCGAGAGAAGCGGACATGAGAACAATGCCGACGGCAGTTATTGGACTATCTATCTAAACCTAAATATCCCGGATCGAAAAAGGGGGGCAAATATATATGGTTAGCTCTCTTTGTTTTAGTTTACTTATATTTGCAGATTGATTAGTGATTGATTGGAGCATAGTTTAATCATATTTGCCCTGAATTTTCCTCTCTTTGCTGTTTTAAATAATAACAAATCAATTGAGGCTTCTGTTCCCGCTTTCATTAATTAGTATTAATTGTCTGCGGCTTCCAAAAATTCCATTATGTTGCTGCGGTCGCCTGTTCTCATCATTGTCAGAAACCGCAACATTCCGAAGCAGCTTGTTGAAGTTATTATCATTTAGCATTTCAATTGGCATCAATTATGATATTGTAAATTAGTTTGCAGGCGGCAATTGAATATCTTTTTATATATTCAAAGGGGGCGCTGCTCATTTTAGGTTCGAAATAAAAGCTTTTATTGATTGTCCGTTTACTTTCGCTATCTTTTTGTAGTGGACAAGAATTTGATAAACAACAACAACGAGGTGGTGGCCTTGGATGAGAAGTTGGCCAGCGAGAAGCAGCAGCAACTCGACTTGGAGTTCCATCAACAGCAGCAAGAACAGCAGCAGAAACTGCATCAGCAAGAACAGAAACATCAGCAACAGCAGCAGCAACATCAGCAGCAACAGCAGCAGCAGCAACATCAGCAGCAACAACAGCAGCAACAGCAGCAGCAGCAACAGCAGCAAAAGCAACAGCAGCAACATCATCAATTGCTGCCACAACAAACTGAGCCACAGTTAACCAAAGTGCCAAACCTGGTAGTAGCAACAGTGGCACCTCAACTTCAGCAACCATCACAGCATCATCATCATCAGCAGCAGCAACCTGCACCGCAGCAACATCAGCAGCAGCAAACATCTCCTGTCGTGGTGCCGCCTCATCAGCAGCAACAGCCTCAGCAGACCAGCTACCATGAGCAGCATCAGCCGCATCAGGCAACCCAACAGCAATCGCAGCCACCGCGCAAGCCTCCGCAGCAATATAATCAATCGCAGCAGCAACAGGTGCGTCGCAAATACTCCTCGGAGTACAATCACCATCATCATCAGCACGGCAGCAGTGATACCGGCATCCAGACCACCAAGACAATGTCCTGGACGAATTCTGCTCAGCACAAGAAGTCGACACAATCGGTTTCGGTCACAGCCTCGCCCAATAATGTAAACAATGGACCCGGAGTGGGTGTGGGAAGTGGTCTAAAAATCAACAATTATAGTCACACCACAAAGACGTTCACCAATCAACAACACTACCAGCAGCAGCAACATCAGCAGCAGCAGCACTATCAGAACCAGAATAATTACAACAGTGGCGGCAGCAGCAGCAATAACAGCAGCACCTCCAGCAACAGCAGTGGTAATCCGCCTCAGGTGCGCACCTATGGCACCATGAAGATGCCTTCCTCGCCGGTGGCCAGCACTGCGCCAACGCTGGAGCGGAAGAACAGTCAACAGGGGCCAGCACCAGCAGCAGCAACAGGAGCACCTCAAGCTGCACATGGAGCAGCAACTCCTACAGCAACTACCTCAACGGCCAGTATCACGGCTAATCCAAATCAATTCCTGCCCGAGACGAGCAACAATAATAATGCAGCTCCAGTAGCTGTCCCTCAGCCACCTCAGCATGCTGTCACGGTTGCAACACAGGCAGCAGCAGCAGTACCTGCAGCAGCAGCACCAACCAAATCCTACAGCAGTTATGCGGCCAAGAAGCATCAGGCGCATGAACCGGCTGCCCTAAGCTCCGTGGTGGCCAGCTCCACTACCAGTTCATCCAGCAACCCGCAACCACCTCTGAATCTTGCCCCACCGGCGCCACCAGCATCGCAGAATAGTGGCGATAGTGCGCAATTCTCGTGGGCCAGTCTATTTGCCAGCAATAAGCCCGTGGCCAAGGTGGCTCCCTATGATGCTAGCAAAACTTTGCAGCAGCAGCAGCAGCACCAACCTCATCCAGTGCTCCAGCTAGCTCCACCTCAGCCAGCTCAGGCTTCGGTCGCTGCTCAAGCAGTGCCTCAACTGGCCCCACCGCAAACTCAGCCCCTGCCAACGGCTCATCAGCAATCACAGTTGCCAGCTCCAGTGCCGGCACCAACCACGCCGCTGATTACACCCGGAACGCTATCCTACTCGGCGGCATCTGCTCAAGCAGTTCCGGCTTCTGCACCAAGTCCGGCATCCGCATCCATTAAGCCCCTGAAACCAGAACCTGTGCGTCCGACTGCACACCAACTCGATGAGTGGACCAATAAGTATGCCGAGTTCCTGACACGCCAAAAGACCAACTTGTCACCGATCAGCCTGCGTCCCCGTGGTCTGACCAATAGGTCCAACTACTGCTACATCAACTCGATCCTGCAGGCTCTGCTCGGCTGTTCGCCGTTCTACAACCTGCTGCGCACCATACCCAAGCAGGCGGCGGTCTTGAGTGAGGTGAAAACGCCCACAGTGAATGCCATGTAAGTTTACTCGAATCCTGTCCATCATCGGGAACCCTTGCCGAGAGAAAGAGAGAGAGAGATTCTAAAAATATTTACTTATATTAAATCCAATGTTCGTAAGTGGAGAACGACCTTGTAACTAATTATCCAACAATAACATTGGCACAATTGCCATTATATAATCAGAATTGAACCTTTTGCTACTAGAACGAAATTCAATCGAATGGCAGGCCACAGACCAGTCAACAGACACTTCGGCCCATCCATAACCAGCCGGTGTCTGTGTTACGTTCGTGGCAGATGAATAGCAACCGGCCCTGCTCGACGTTCTCCGGTTACCGCCGTTCTGGCGGTAGTCTGGGCTAACGTTAGGGCCGGTCCACGTGCTCCGCCCTCAAGCGGAAGAGGTTTTAGCTTGAACTTTCTCAGCCATAGCGGGCACATACAATTAGACATTGAAAACTAACAATTTAACCATTAAATCACCCTTTATCTGCGATCTATACTGATCATTATTATAATTTCTCTTAGGATGTCGTTTATGACCAACTTTTCTTCGTTGCCCAGCGGCTTGCGTCTGCGTTTAAACAACAACCTGAACAAGGGAGGAGCTCAGAACAAGGGCAAGGATGAGTTTGTGGGCTCAGATTTGCAGTGTGACATGGCCTTTGAGCCTACAGAGATCTACAAGCTGTGGAATGACAGTCGTGAGGAGCATGTCGAGGGTCGCCAAGAGGATGCTGAGGAGTTCCTTGGCTATGTGCTCAACAAGCTCAATGATGAGATGCTGGAGGTGAGTCCTTCAAGAAATTTCAGTTATCAGAGATATTTTATATAAATTCCCCCTAATTTACAGGTGATTAAACTTATTGACAAGCCCAGCTCTCAGCAGAATGGTCAGAATGAGCAGTCTGAGCCAGAGGATGGTGGTGATGTCTGGCAGGTAAATTGATAGCTATCCATAGCAAAAGAATATAAGCTGTTTAAAGAATTTTCCCCTCGCACCAGATGATATGCAACAACCGCAACAAGGGCAGTGTCACCCGCCAAACCGACTTTGGACGCACTCCCATCAGCGACATCTTTCGCGGAGAGCTTCGTTCCCGGCTGCAGCGCGAGGGAGAGCACTCCACGGACGTGATTCAGCCCTTTTTCACGCTTCAATTGAACATTGAGGTGAGTTACGATGATAGTGCTAGACGTCATGATGAAGCCACAGACAAGTCAACAGACACAGCGGCACCATTAACCAGCCGGCGTCTGTGTTACGTTCGTGGCAAATGAAATGATACCATCCCCGCCAGCGTTTTGTGGCTGTCTCCGTTCTGGCGGCAGTCACTATAAACGTTGGGGATGGTGCACGTGCTCCACTTTTTAATAGAGTCTCCTACTTGATGGATTCTTGCCACAGCAGTGGGCACAAACAAATGGATATAAAATTTAAAACTACTATGTAGATGTTTTACTAATATTTCATTTCTTTCGTTGTACAGAAAGCTGCCTCGGTTAAGGAAGCCCTGGAGATCCTAGTGGGTCGCGATCAGCTAGAGGGCGTCACTGGCAGCAAGACTAAACAGGAAGTGGTGGCCTGGCAGCAGATGACGCTGGAGAAGCTGCCCGTTGTACTGATATTGCATTTAAAGTACTTTGACTATCGCTCAGATGGTTGCACAAAGATTCTGAAGAAAGTGGAGTTCCCCGTGGAGCTGAAAATCGATGCCAGTATGTTGCAGGCGGAAATCTTTGCTAGCTCACTCTATATATTATTAATAAAATGAATCTTTTACAGAAATCCTCGGCTCAAAGAAGACGTCACAAAAGCAGCGGGCCTACCGACTGTTTGCCGTCGTCTATCACGATGGCAAGGAGGCCTCCAAGGGCCATTACATCACGGACGTGTTCCACACGGGCTACAGCAGCTGGCTGCGCTACGACGATAACTCAGTGAAGCCGATCGGCGAGAAGAACGTCCTCCAGCCGCACACGCCGCGGGTGCCTTACCTTTTGTACTACCGCCGCTCCGACACTTTGCCCCAGCAGCAGCAGGCATCACAGCAGAGTGCCGCCTCCAATGGAGGGGCAGGAGTTGGCAGCAGCTCATCGTCGTCGAATGCCGGGGACTGCAAGTGAAGCAGCAACACAGCAGCAGCAGCAGCAGCAGCAGTTGTATAAATACATGTTAGGATATACATAAATATCATATATTTTTGTGTCAGTGTGTGTGTGCGTGAGAGAGAGTGTAGAGTGTGTGCGAGTCTTGGTTTTATATGCATATACAATATATAACAATTAGATATATTCGAACGGTATACATATATCTAAGCCCAAAGTCCAAAGCGCATGTCAGTGTGTGTGAGTGTGTGAGCAAGGAATTTAGCTCTAAGCTAGAAACTAGATTTAAGAAACAGAACCATAAAAGCAGCAACAAAAATTGGTAGGAATGAAAACTTTGTACAAATAGCAGAAGCAAAACTAAACAGCGAGCAAATTATTATAACCTAGTGCTAAATCTACAAAAATCCCTAACTTTTCCATGTGGCACAAAAAAAAAAAAAACAAAACCATTATTTGTAGTAGGTGTTAGGAGGCCCCCTAGAATCTTTCTCGATACGATGTTATGACAAACGCTTAGAGCTGTAAATATATACACAAATATCAATAATATATATATATATTGTAGTTCATGCATGGCAGGCATTTAAACAAGAAACCCAACAGCAGCAACAATATATATGGAATGCTTTGAATATGCTTTAAACGAATATATATATATTTTAGAGCCAGCAGGAAAGTACAGCCATTGGTTGTGGTCAAAATGGTAGTCAAACCTTGGCAGATGTTGGCTCAAAATCAATTATAAAATTAAATCTCGATCATGTGTTTTTTAATTACGGTTGTAATCTGTTCTTATTGGTTCTACCATGCAATAATTGTTAAAATATCGTAAGCTCCAATATTATATTGTAAAATTTTTAAAAGAAAGCTACATATATTAAGCTAATTGGTTGGCTAATATTTTGATCACAATCGTGCAAATATGGCATTATTTTGTACATGCTTGATAAGCAGTTAAATAAGTCAACTCCAACGCCCGTTCATTTTGTAATTTATTTTGTATGTTGTTTAGTTTTACACGGCAGATCCACACATCTCTATAAATATTATCGCTATATTTACTATATACATACGCAAACTTGTTATTCATAGTTAGTGAAACTTATTTTGTGTGCGGGAATCATGATATTTGAAGTTGGCATTATTTGCAACATACTTTTCCTAGGTCTACGGCATTTAGTCTATATACATATTATCACCTTAGGGAGAATTGAAGCGAAAAGTGTAACAAGAAAATATATAGATTTATATGTGTAATCGGGTCATAACTAAAACTAATCAATCATACTAGTTGATAGCTATATAAAAAGCGTATACACCCATATACTATATATATATATTTTCTTAAGCTATATAAACGCATATATATATTATTTATAGATATCGTGCCAATGTTAAAACATCAAAAAGGGTTAAAAATATATATATATTAAAAGCTAATAACTTGTCAAAGCTTTGTATAGTCAGCGGCTAAACGAGAAAAGAATATAAAAAGTTAATCAATTAAGATGATTTTGTTAAATTTAGTCTTGTATTGAAAATTTATTTACGAATTCACTGCATCCTTTGGCGACTTTAAAATTATATTTTTTTTTCTGTTTAAAATCCTTGATATGTATGCTGATCCCACAAAGAAAGGTAATCCTTTTGAGTGGCGCGAAAATCATGAAATATTCTTAGGCTAGAATGCATTGACATCTACGAGGTATATTAAGCAAAACCATAAACATAAATCTACATATAATATATATATATTTTGATGTTATACAAATATGAACTAATTGTAAGCCAAATTATAGGAAAACATTTTTTTATATAGACACTTGGGCGCGTCTGCGTTTTGCTAGTTACAAAATAGGTTCCTAAAAACTACGAAAATGAAAAAAAAAACAAACAAAACAAACCACAAAACGTAACGAAATGTTGAAGCAAAAGGAATATTACAAAAACAATAATATTAATACTGATATACACATAAATATATATATATATACATATATATAGTCTAAAGCCAAGCTAAAATCATATAAACATTAATATTAAACTGATGGAAACACAAAACAAACATACAATACATATAAATTTATAAATTCAATTTATACAAAAAACCAAGCAAAGCAAATGCAAAGTGAAAGTCAAAGATTGAAGAAGTTGAATTACCATTTATATATATTTTTGCAAGCGAAATTAGAATGTGAAACATAAACAAAAGAAGCATATATAGGATTAATTATAAAACCACAACTAAAGACGTCAACAATGTAAACTTTTCTTCGCATATAATCTTTTAAATATTATATTTTTTTTAAATATCATAATTGTTATATAATTTATGGAATACTCCAAACAAAAAAGAATTGTTCATTCGGATTTTAAAACTGATTTAAAAAATTAAATATCAGGCTCCCAATTGTTATGTTCCATGCGAAGAGTGTGTTTTAAAGCTATTATGAAAAGAATGGATCGATAACTGAATTTATTATTAATATTGCTGATTTTTTAAACCTGTTACTGCCTAATAGTCTTGAAACGCACTGTTCCTATGTCCTAATATTTTGTATAAACGCAAAAGAAAAACCATAATTTTCTGCTTTTATTTTAATAATATTTTTGTAACCCTCTTTGGCCCTGTGTTGTCCCCGAATTATGTATGTTTTAGTTCTTAAGTAGTTTCTAAGGCTGTGTAACTAACTAAAAAATATGTACTAACACTTATTGCTTTTGGTTAGAAGGTGTCCGAGGACTTTTGCCAGACAGTTTTTGTTTATTTTCGCTACGTTTTTCCCCCCAACTTTGCGTTCAGTGATGATGATGATGAGGACTCTCTTTCGAGAGGTTTTGATAAACAGAAATTGGCAAGTGCACTTACTAAACGTATAACGAGCGTCTTAAAAGCGCGTAAAATCCGGGAGAGAATGGAATCGAAATGAGGAGCATCAGTTCTAAGTGCGTTTAGCCAGCAGACAAACTAATATTAAATATTAAAACGTTTTGTAATCAAGTTTTCAAGGGGTAAGTGTGATGATATATAAAATGAAAAACAAAGAGAGAAAGTAACAAATAACAAGACACTAGATGTTTAGCAATGCAAAAATGATAAGTTAAACAACAAAACTGAAACTGAAACTGAAACAGAAACTGAAGCAGAAACAGAAGCAAAACAAAAGCAAAGCAAAAGCGAATTAATTAGTCCACATTTAGTCTAAAGAAGAAAAAAAAAACTAAAGTAAATCTACAAAACTAAAACGAATTCAATTGTACTAAGTAAAACTAACATTGTAATGTGGAAGCAAGCTAAAAACGTAAACGAAATGAAATGAAATGAAACATTATATAGCTATAAAACAAAAATAAATCGAGTGATTTCATTGCCACAAGCAAAAGCGTTTCGGTTTGGTTAAAATGGACTTGACTTTGATATTACAGTGAAGAAAGAGGCGCTAATTTATGCCAAAAATGGGTCAAGAAGAGGCTCCAACAAAAACCGGTTGACCCGAAAATAGCTTCAAGAGTTTGGATGATGTGCTCTAGATGATCACTTTGGAGGCCCACGAAAGGGAAAGGAGTGGAATTGTTGAGATCTTTAAAATATTTGCTGAATGCGACAGACGACGACGACACAAGAGCGGAGACACACGTTGTTGTGAGTCATTACAAATGCCAATCACATCCGAAACTCGAAAACTTGTTTCAGCCAGGCTGAGAGAGTGCACTGAGGATAATTTATGGTACGAGAAAATATTACTTTCAATCTTTTATATTAAAAATTTTGTTAAATATGTATACATACTCAATTTATCATTTTTTATTGTATACTTTTAATCTTTAAATTACTAAAATTAACCTTGAAAAAAAAATTTGTTTGTTTAGTTTAAGTTTTTAAAGCAGATGTTGCCTTGGTTTCACATGATTAATGGTTCTTCATAATGTTCATAATTAACCAAGGAAGGAAGACTAAACACTAAAAATAATTATAAAGTCAAAAATTATATACATATTTTTCTTGTCATTTCTTCTTATATTTTACTTTCTTTCCTACCATCAAATATTAATGATATAATCTTTACTATTATTTCTTAAGCTTTTATTTCTCCCTTCACTTTTTATTATTAATTCACTAACTTTGTTCAACATTTCTTTCAGTGTTGTGGGAGACTCTTTTACTTGCTACCTTGTTTGATGGAAGCAAAGTGGAGAAACATCGAGCAGTCGTCGATCAGCTGGCGGCGATGAGCGACACTGCGAAATGCATTCGGTGTGCCCCCCTAGGCTCGTTTTGTAAGAGCTCCAATCCACGCTCACTTACCTGCCGCCACTCAACAAAGCCTTTCTCCTCCGCCGGAGAAGCTCCAAATGCCAACTTAGTTGCTTGCAATGTATCGCAACATACTGTGCCTGGCTATGGGCCTAATCATAGGCATCCAGGTGACGGATATCTTCGAGTTCTTTCAGCTAACCGAAGCGGGCCTTGGTAGTACGGTGATGACACGAATCGCAGAGGAGGCCACGCCCCAGCTGCCATCAGAGGAAGAGCTGGCCAGGCGGCTTTACAATGAGACCCGAGTGCTGTGTATGGTGCTAACGATGCCAAAAAACCACATAACAAAAGCGTCGAAGGTGAAACGCACATGGGGCAGGCGCTGCAACAAACTGATCTTTATCAGTAGCCAGGAGGACAGGGAGCTGGGTGCCATCGATGTGGGCATACCGGAGGATCGAGAAAATCTGTATTTAAAAGTGCGAGCGGGCTTGAAATATGTGTATCAGAACTTTGTAGAGGATTACGATTGGTTTCTCAAGGCGGATGATGATACGTGAGTTGTAATATACAAAATATGAATATATTTACTCAATTTTAAATCAATTTTAGCTTTGTGATAATGGAGAACCTGCGTCTACTGCTTTATCCCTATGATCCTGAGGCTGCTCTTTATTTTGGCCATCGATTTCGTTCCACCTTTCCCCAAGGCTACATGTCTGGAGGAGCTGGCTATGTGATGAGTCGGGATGCTTTACGGCGGCTTAATCTCTTTGCCTTTAATAACACTCGTTTCTGTCCGCCTAATCAGTCATCGGAAGACAAGGGCATTGGCTTCTGCCTGCAGAATGTGGGCGTGGTGGCCGGTGAATCGCGAGATGAGAAAGGCCGGGATCGATTTTGGCCCTTGTCTCCCGATTCCATGTTGCCCACTTTTCCTAATAACACCTGGCTGCATAAACTTACCTTTTTTAAACCTGTAAGTTTGTTATATTTAAGTTTTTAAACTTTTATTTAAGTTATATGTTTTATTTTCAGGTTCAGGAGACTGGCTCGAGTTCGGGAATTAGTTTTCATTATGTTAAGAGTCACGAGTTTGATAGATATGAATATCTACTGTATAAACTACGAGTCTTTGGTGTACCTGCGGCTCCTAGATTGCTGCCACCTAGGCTGGAACCCAGGCAATTGCAAGATCAATTGCAGGTCTGGTCAGAGGAAAAGAGTAATAACCCAAATCCTGTTCTATGGGTATCTTCGGCTCAGCCTGGATGAGTTATAGTGAAAAAGAGATCAATATAAAATTTTAAACCGCTGATTAAGTTCATTTTAAGTAATCTAAAGTTAGGTCCTTTCTTCAATCCAACGGCAGGTTTCCGTTTTTGTCATTTAAAATCAAGAATTCGAAAAAGAATATGTAGTATAAACCCAGTTACCTATGACCTACAAGTCAAAAGCTTCCAACTGAAGTTTGTAATATTAGAAACGAATTAAATATTAAAGCAAGAAAGATCTCTTCTAAGAAACATGTCAGGAAAATATTGGAATACTCTCTGCTTGGCTCTGGGCCTTATCATGGGCATTGGGCTGGCACTCCTCTTTGAGTATTTTCAGACTTCCGAAGTGGATCTCGACCCCGAGCAAATCCAAGATGGGATTATTCAGCAGAACCGTACGGAGCAAGATCTGGCTAGTTGGCTTTACAACGAGACCAGGGTACTCTGCATGGTGCTAACGATGCCACAAAACCACGAAACGAAGGCCTTGGCAGTGAAACGAACCTGGGGAAGGCGTTGCAATAAGCTGATCTTCATCAGCAGCCAGGAGGACAAGGAGCTGGGTGCTATCAATGTGAACGTTCTCGAGAAGCGAAGACATCTATTTAGAAAAGTGCGAAAGGCTGTGAAGTACGTGTTCCAGAACTTTGTGGAGGATTATGATTGGTTTCTCAAAGTAGAAGATGACACGTGAGTTTATAACTTAAATATATAATAAATAAATTATAATAAAAACATTTTAAATCTACTTTAGCTTTGTGATAATGGAGAATCTGCGTCTACTGCTTTATCCATACGATCCTGAGGCTGCTCTTTACTTTGGCCACCGAAACCACTTCTCCTCTCGGCATGGAAACAAATCCTTAGGATCTAGCTATGTGATGAGTCGGGAGGCCCTACGTCGGCTCCATCACTTACCCCGGAATATATATAATTTAGATTCTTTAAATTCATTATCCGAAGAGGAACAGTTGGGCTTTTGCATGCGGCATGCGGGTGCTGTGGCAGGTGATGCCCGAGATGAGGAAGGTCTTGATCGATTCATGCCCATGACTCTGCCTGATAAGATGCCTAAGCTAAAGGATCTGGAGTTCTGTAAACCTGTAATATTAATAGTTTTAAGATCTTAAATTTGTTGGTAAACTAATTTAGCTTATTTTTCCCTTTCAGGTCAAAGAAATTGGCTCGAAATCAGGAATAACTATTCATCACGTGAAAAACCACAATATGATGGATTTTCTTCTATATAGACTGCATGTTTTTGGAGTTCCTGTAATGCCGATCTCCTTGCCACCTAAGCTGGATCAAATACAACAGGAGAAACAGTTGATTCTTTGGGCTTTGGAAAACCACACAGATTTTAACACTACTTTAAAAAACTAGTTTTAGAGTAGTTTTAAAACTGCATTAAAGTATAATACTTAGAAAGAGACGTTTTGATTTTCTAAATAATTTAATTATAAAACTAAAATAAAGTGGATAAAAATGTATTTATTTTGTATCATATTTATATCTATTCTATATTTGTTTATATACCCTTGAAGTTTGGATTTGAATTATAGGATCAAATCGGAAATCGATCCTAGCTAAGTTAAAAATAATTACTATTTTTTATAGAAATTTCTTAGACAAATTAAAGTTAAAAAAAAACTCACAACTAAGCCAAAAAAGCATCAATTTTAATTCGGAAAGCTTTCCTATGTTGGTTTTTATAAGGATAATAAATCTGGGTACTCAATTAAAAATTAAAAAAAAAAATTTAATTTCCGCAATTTTTAAACATTTTGACGATGTAACCCCTTATAAATTAAAAAAAAAATGGTAAAATTAGTTTTCCGTCTAAGAAGGCCAGATCGCTTCGGCTGTCGATGCTGATCAAGAATATATATGATTTATACGGTCGGAAATGAATCCTTCACATTATATAGAAGAAGTTCTACAAGGTCAACACTTCAAATTATTTAAGAGTGTCCAGTTAATAATGACGGCATTGCCATGTCCCCATTCTCTCGCCAACATCGCTCATCATCTTCGCCTCTCCCGATGGCAGTCAGTTGCTCCAAAGCCGCCGGCCGAAACGGCGGCAAAAAACTAAACCTCTGAAAAAAAGAACAAATCTGTGTGTAAAAGATCACTGCGGCAGTGAAAAGGTACTAGACTATGAAAAACTGCAGTGGAAAACCCAGTGGCAAGTGTGGAAAGTTCGGGAAAACAGCGTGTGCCCCACAGTGAAAAGTCTAAGTAAAGTGGGGGCTGCCGGGACGCTGTCGGTAATTTTCCTAAACCAAACCGCGTTTGTGTGCCTGTTTCTTGGCTATTTTCGTTGATATTTCGTAATGTGCAACTGCAACTAATGTTAAAAAGTATCGCCATTCCTAAGCGGTTAAAGAAAATGCATTAACTTTGTGGCAATAACTAAATTAGAAGATTTTTCTTCTTTTGTCTGTGTGTGTGTGTGCTTATTTTGCACACTAATACGCCGTTGCGAGCTGCAGCAATAAGCATTGTGAAGGGGTGAGTGAGACAACACTATTACCATTTTTTCGCTTATCCTCGATTTTCGCGGGTTTCGCGCGGATTTCGCAAGCGCTGATTTTTTCCTTCTCCGTTTTCTTTTGTATTCGTCCTGCAGAGTTGATCTTAAGAGCGAGAGAGTCACTTAAGAGATGCGATCCTCTCTTGTGGTTGTCTAGTATAACATTTGGGGAAAGGGAAAACGCCGCGGCGTTTGTTTACCTTTTTTTGGACGCAACTTGTCAAGAGAAAACAATAAATATAAGAGAAGCTTTATGAAACTGTAATTTTACTGCTGCAATTTGTAATTGAATTATATGATTGAATGGGAAATCAATCGAAGCTAAACTATAATTAATTGCTATTTTTATATGCAAATTTTATGACAAATCAAAGTTTAAAAAAGCCGTAACTAAGTCAGAAGTGCATTAATTTCAATTCGGAAAGCTTTTCCCTGCTAGTTTTTATGAGATTAACAAATCTGTATATTAAATAAAATTAAATAAAGATTTCAAAATTTTTGAATTTTTTTTTAACTTATAACCTTATACAAATTTTAACAAATTAAAAAAAAAAATTTTTCCCAAACATGCCTAGATTGATTTAGCTTTTTATGCTGATCAAGAATATATATGATTTATAGAGTCAGAAATGACTCCTTCGCGTGTAACAAGCTTCTGACTAAAATTATAATACCCTGTATGGGATATATAAGTGTGTATGGGAATTCGGTCAATCGATTGAATCAAAAATTAATCATAACTTGGTCAAAAAATCATTAAATTTAATTCGGAAAGCAGTTTTGCGCTAGTTTTTATTAGGTTAATAAATCTGCATAATTTAAGCTTATAAAAAATTGAACTTTTTGCAAATTTTTGACAATTTTAATGATAATAAAATTTAGAAAAAATTAAAAAAAAATTTTTTGTGCCGGCGGTGGCCAAATCGATTCAGCTGATGATGCTGATTAATAATATGTATATATGATTTATAGGGTCGGAAATGACTCCTTCGATGCGTTTTAAGCTTCAAACTGAAATTTAAATACCCTAAAATATTTTAAACGGGACCATAATTGCTTAATTTTATAAACCTAAAGAAAGTTGTGTTTTATGGTTAGGGAAAGCATATAATTATGGTCATAACATTATTGAATCATTAAGTATGTTTCTTTTCATTCCATTAATAATGTTCTATAAATTATTAATGCTTAAGTTTCACCTTCGTGACTGCTGCTCCAGTTCCCTGATCACCTTTCACCCAACCAGTGACCTTTGGGAGTTCTTCATGCATTGCATAAGTGTCTTTGCCTCTCCCCCTCCATTGGGGGGTTTTCCCCCAAAACGACCTGGACTTCCTTTGAGGCGATGCATGCCCAGCTGCGATATTGGTCCCTTGTTCGGTCGGATAACCATGGCTGACTTAATGTAATTGCTCCACCTTGATAAATAAACCAAGAGGAGAGCCAGACGATGAAGATTTATTCGAGCAATAAGGCAGACAATTGTTCGTCTTCTTCATAGCAATCGTAGTGGGCTGTCCGCCAGAGTTGTTTTGGCCATTTGTCAAGGCTTTTGCTCTAGAAACCAGGAACCAGGACCCAGGAGGAACACAGTCAGTACCCCCCATTCGCTTTAAAGCACAATTTATCAAAAGGGACGCGTGCCTCTGCCAGCGACCTTCTCTTCGGCAAGGGGATTAGCGGAGAATCGAGAACCGGAAAATCGAGTGAAACGTGCCAAACACGTGAAAAATACCTGGGGATCATTGCATTGTTATTTATGAGCAACGAAATGAGCTCAGAAAAATGAAAAAAAAGGGGAGGGAACCGGACTGACGGCACGCGAGTGCCGAGTCCTGAAGTCCTGCATAAATTCGGGATAAGGATAAACTCGTTTTTGGCAAGGCAGCTGGTCCTTCGCTATGCGTGTGTGTGCAGTTATCTAAGCCAGAGGGGTTTGTCCTTTCCCGTTTCCATTCCCCGCCTGGAACGTGCCCAACCCAATTTCGAACCCCAGGTTGCGCCTGCGCTGTTTGCTTTTGTGTCTTTCCTAATAGGCATAGAGGGAGCTTTCCCTATTCATACATTTATGTTATGCATTTCTATATATATTCTATATGCTAATATATTCTATATGCCTTGCACACACGTGTGTCCTGGCCAACGAGCCGTAAACAGGCAGCTCTCGACAGATTTCTGGGTTGTAACCACTCATTTATCAGTGATTGCGATAAAGGTTCGAATATAGCAGCTGCTGACTTTTCAGGACTAAACAGGATGTGTGAGGATGGGGGGAAAAGTCATAGCTATAGACCCTGAGCATTTTGATTTGGAAATAGTAAATTGTTTCTTTTTGAAACATAATTATAGGTACGCCTTGGTAACCAGAGTTAAGTTCATTGCCTTTGCAGCTGGAATTTAATACGTTTTTGCTTTACTTCATTACTTCCTAAGGAGGGAGAAAATAAACTATAAATCCAGTTCTATTTATTATAAAAATATCTATAAAATATAGTATGATCTTAAATCACTCTACATATATCTTTGTTTATAATAAAATATTTCGATTTGTTCACTCTTTTGTAGTAAATCTTTATATTTAAAGTCCATTTTGGCTTATTCAGCTCTGAGCAGCTTGGCAAATTATTAAATATTTAATTTAATAATCCCTTCAACCTTTCACATATTATAAAACAATAAGCATTTTGCACTTTCTAAGATTAATCCTTCCCTTAACATTAATGTTTTCTTTATTAATCTCTTAACAGCTTTTTAAATTATAAGGTACTTACCTTTTTTTCAAAGGAACTGTTTTCATTCTTTACAAAATCTTGAACCCTTCAGTTTTCCCAAAAAATAAATCCCTCACAAAGATCCTTTTTATTGGCACCTTGATTCCCTTTTGCGACCATTAACCCCAAGAACAATGCCGTTATAAGCTGTGGTTTTCAGTTGACTTTAAGAAGGGGGAATCCCCTGGTAACCACCTCAGGAACACACCTTTTTTTTCTTAGCTTCATTAACCCCTCGAGGTGAACCCATTACCATTTCAAATGGTCCCCTTAACACCTATATTTTTTCCTCGTTCTGCCCCTCTAATTAGTTGAATTTCTCAGTTTCGACTTCATTCAATTATGCCACGCCCTAGGAAATGCACACATCCTTGTGGACAGGGAAACAGGAACTCCGAGAAACTGAGAAACCGAGACGGTGACGGAGACAATAAGGGGACTTCCCTCGGCGACAGAATGTCTGAGACACCAAGCAGTTTACACCCATTTCAACGATGTCTTATAATCAATTTAATGGCTTCCCCGGAGAGCAGGGAAAGAAGAAAAAAACACAACCAGGCAGACCGAGAAAAGGTAAACAAAGGACCAAGAGAACCAAGAAAGAGGGGAAGAGGTCCTGGCAAAAGAGGGGCGTTTCAATTTGTAGCCTAAAGTGAAACCTACAATTGGCACTTACCAGCCCAAAAGGAATTGCCCCTTTTATGGGCTCATTCTGGTTTCCCTTCACTCCTTGGCGAGGAGTCCTTTTCCGCTCTCCCTACTCCTTCGCATCTCAATTAAGTGACGACGAATGAATGAAAGGAAACCCCGAATGAATGAATGAAAAGGAACCTCGAAAAGGACAAGCTATAGAAGAAGGCGCCGCCGATAAGAACGATGATCCTCCTGCCACAAACAAGGGAAGGTCTTCGTCCTTCGTATAAAATGAAATAAATGCCGGCACAGGACAAGAGGGGGAAAAATGAACAATAATAATTTCAGTGGTGACTCAACAATGTCTTGAACGTGTTGCTTTGCTTCTTCCGGCGTAGGAATGCTTCTTATAAGAAAAAACTGAAAAGAAACCCAACCAACAACCCCTAAAAAATACTCACTGACTTCTCGCCCTTCTCGATTTTGACGCGTGCCAAGTTCAGGAAGGGGGAAAAATAAATGTAAATGGCAAGGAATATAACCCCAAGACATACCTGTAGCTATAGTATCGCAAAAGACCTCGAATCGGATTCCCTTTTTTCGGGTTTTCCTTCACAGGACTCTCTGACTCATATTGGCATGTCGTGAAGCGGAAGTGCCTGCTCTGGAGTTTTACAAAATATATTCAAAATTATAGAAAAACTAAAGAATAAAGAGTTGCAATATGCAAGGAACCGAAGGACACGTGCAGGACTTGCATGCAAAAGAGGAAGTGGCAGCGAAGCGTTAAATTGAAGCATGCCAAATCAATTAAAAACGAAATATTTTCCTTCGTCCTGTCGTCTGCAAGCAGTTTTGTTGTTTTTTTTTATATATGTGATGTTGCATGGCAACATTCTGTCCAGGTTTTTCATTCGCTTTTCCAGCAGCAGCTGCATCTGCCACCAAACCAATATAAGAGAGAGTTGTAAAATAAAAATCTAGCAAAAATCGGGCATCAAAATACCTTTACACATGATTTATCAAGCACTGCCAAAAAGGGGGTTTATTTGCCATACCTTTATATATATATATATTCGATATATAGATATATATATTTTTTTGCAGCTGCCTTTGGTCGTTGAAAGAAAAAAGCAACCCAACTCCCCTTCTCATTCCGATAACCAAACATGCGATCGCCCCTGGCCAAACAAAAATGCTTATGCTCTGTCGAACTAAACTAAAAATCAACCCCCTGAAGCGAGAATCACCCTAAATATCCCCCTAAAACCTCCCAGTTTTCAATATCTTTATGGGGTGGCTTCGCCCTCTGCATCTCTGCGGATTCTCTGGCGTACACAGACTCCCTAGAATTTTGATAATATTTTCCAAATTATATAGCAAATCTGTCGGTTTCCTGCTCAATTGGAATTTCCACCTTTTGTTTTTGAACGAAAGGCGTGTCTAGGCCAATCCTAATTAGCTCCGCATCTGCGTGTGCATGACATTCCAATGGAACTCTCCTCGAGTGGAACTAATGTCGAATGGACCGGATATGCGATCGGGTGTAGGAACTAATACTATATAAACTAACAACTCCCTAATTACCAAAAGCCCATCTGTCCATTTACATGCCCAAACTGTGCACTTGACCAAATGGAGTCCTGGGAAATTTACAATAGAGATCTGAGTTGGAGATTTGCTGGGTTTGATTTGCCTTTGATGTTTTGTAGATATATTTTTCGAAGAAAATTGTTAACAATGAAGTCTCTTAGGAGTTCATTTGGGTTCATTGTTTGATGAAATATTCAATGTTTTCATTGTCATAGTTTATTTGTTAATCAATCAATCATATTTGTTAAATATGCAAGAGATTTTGTTTTAAAAAATAAAGATAAGTGTCTTCTTATATAGACTTCTAATATTTCATTTATTCATAGCATTATCATCATCAGTTTAAAGTAGAATTGGTATTTTTTTTTAAATGTTATTAGTTAGTTTTAATTATTTTTTATTTAACTGTCACTACAATACCTTTTCTGAATATAGTTCCATTAAAGACACAACATTTTCATATAAACACAAAGCGATTTATTGACTGTAAAGTCAGCTTCGGTTGGAAAATGTTTGCTTAAAATATTTACATTTTATTTCTATTATCTCAAGTACGTGTACTGAAATCTGTGGCAAATCTTTTGTTTTCATGGAGAATTTACCTGAGTTAAATAATGAATTGCATCTCTCTCATCTTATTTTTTTTTTGCTTACGGAAATATGAATGAAATTGTTTATACTTTGCTATCTTATTTTTCTTTGGCTTGTTTATATTTTCTTTTAAGTATTTGCCAAAATTAAAAATGAGGCATCATCTTCATGAGTTAATCACTTGGGGGCTTTTGTGATTAATTATTAGAAAATATTTAATTTTCTAATATAAACTATAACACTTTCAAGACGATATCTTATTCATAATTTAATTATTTCTAAAGTTTATTGAAACAATATTAATAAGTGTAATAAAGATCCTTACCTTATTTCTTTTAATTATAACAAAAAGGAGAGTAACTTTTGGGATGCCGTAGTTTATACACCCCTGGTATTAGCAATTGAATTAGGATTCAATCGAAAATCGATTATAAGTAAGCTTAAAATAGTCGTTATTTTTGTATGGCAAGTTTTTAGGAAAATCAAAAATTTAAAAACTCATAACTAAGCCAAAAAAGCTTTAATTTCAATTCGGAAAACATTCCCATGATAGTTTTTATTAGGGTAATAAATCTGCTTACTCTACTTTAATTTTTAAAAATTTTAAACATTTTTACATTTTTTTTTAAATTTTAACGATGTAACCTTTATAAACCCTTAACCCTAACCCTTATAAAATTTGGACCAAATTTTAAAATTTGGTTTTCTTCCAGACATGCTTAGATCGATTCATCTTTTGATGCTGATCAGGAATATATATGATTTATAGGGTCGGAAACGATTTTTTCGATGAGTTTTAAGCTTCTGACTAAAATTTTAATACCCTGAAAGGCTATACAAAATCTGGTTTAATTTCTCTAAAATTAAATATAAATTAATTACTCTTTCCCGAAGAGTACTTTCCCCAGTACTTCTTTCTAGGCTTTAAACTTAGACGTGTGGCCATAAACGGCTACCGGCTAAGTAAACCAAGTCTTGACTGGCTGAAAGGAATGACTAAGGGCCGTAAATAGACTTCCTATTATCTTGGCACCTGGCGACGGTGTACACAGATCCGCCGGATCTTTTCTGTTCCCACCTGGGGCCACGTCAGATTTTGTAAAGCAAAGAAGAATCTCTTATCGGACTAAGCCACAAACAGAATCCAGATAAGAACCATACCTGTGTTGCCTATAAAAGCGGCATTGGAATGGAAGTTACCAACTAGTTCTCAAAGTGATCACAGATCAGGATGCGGTTCTACGGTTTAACTCTATTGGCTCTTAGCTGCCTGGTGGCTTTTCCGGGCTCCACTGCTGTACAATTGGCTCCGATACGTGTGTTTTCTGCCAATGGAACCCAAGCCAGTAACTTTGCCTTGGAACTGAGGGGCGTTATCCGCCAGGTGCCAGTGGATCAGCTCGAGAAACTGGTCCAGACCTATTTGCTGAACGATGCCGAGTTCCAGGGTTTGATTAGAGTTGTTAACTCCCTGCCGGCCTATCGATTCATCCGTCAAGTGGGAAACCAGCCGGAGGTCCGCCAGTTGCAGCAATGGATCACCCAACAGTTGATCTTGTCCGGCGGTTCTCCTAAGATCTTTGAGTACCTGGAACTGGAGATTAAGATCTTCAACAAGTATCCCTACTGGTCACAGATTGTAAGCGGCATTCAGGGATTCCAGCAGGAGTTTGTGCAGATTTATCCCGTGCAATTGATTCGTTCTTTGCTGGAACCCAGTTCCACCCAAACGAGTCCTCTTTTATCCGAACTTTGGCGTCGTCTGGTGGCCTTGCGTCCAGTTTATGAGAGGGTCATAGCCTCACCTCAGGGCAAGGCCATCACTGGAGAACTACAGAGAGTGGGTTTGGATATAAATGGTGTGGATTCATTGATACGCTATCAATTCGGCTGGAGCAATGCCACTTGGGGTGTGCCCTCATATGACTATTCAGATAACCTGTATTACTAGAAAGGATATATCTGAAATCGAGTAAAGGATTACTGGATAAACTACGACACTCGAAAAGAACGGAAACGAGTATATATTGGAACGAAAAGTGTGACTTATATATGCTATCCTATTTATATATTAAACAGCATCATAAATATCAATATTAAACATATCAGTAAAAGTGAAAGTGCATACCAAAAACTGTTTAACTCAAAGGTTAAGGGTCCCTATATTTTCATACAAAGTTAAGACATTTGTAAACCAATCATATACACATTCAGCTGACACACTACCAATCTTAGATTGATTAATAATTATTTATCGCTCATGTACATCAAAATATCAGCATTAATCATAACGAGGAAGAATATTTTTTTGTTGCTACCCTCTGAATACCCCAATTATTATGCCATAAGCAACTATAAATCAATCATGAAATGCATTTCCACATGAATAAAGGACAAAAGCTTTCAGATTGAATGGAACCTGAGAAATACCACCAAGTCAGTGTCCCACGAAGGCTTTAAAAGATGGGAAACCTTCCTTCAAGGGGAATCCCATTCCTCCATTCCTCCCCCGGGGCAATAACAATAAATATCAGTGGTTCTTCGTGCTCAAAAAGGTCGAGCACAAATACATACAACACCCTCGCAATTCGAGGTACGCGTATCCATGGCAATGCCATGATTAAGTAACAGATGAGCCATGTGTCCTGCAATGTGTCCTGTTTCCCCGGTATATACTGCCTGCCAGCGACTCATCGTCACAGCTCGCACATGCGATTTAATTGAAACAAACCAAACAGGAAGCGGCCCAGGAGAGGTGGCTGCAGTCCTAGCAGTCCTTCTGCGAATGGGGTGCTTTTGTAATGAAGTCCCCCAGTTTCGCATTGCCTTCGTGCACAGTTACTCATTAAAAGTGGGCCTTGGACTGGGATTGGTTTTGGGATTGGCACTGGCACTGCCAATGGTCCTGCGAGTGCAACGGAAACTAGTTAATGTGAGGCCATTGTCAAAAGCAGAAGCGCAAGTCGTGCAATTTTCACACAGCAGCAAAGCGATGCACTGAGAGAAAGGGAAATATTTATATTATATAAATTTGGAGGGTATTTTAGGGAAGCTGAAAATGCAGAGAAACTTTTAAGGTTCTGATTTAGTATTCTAGGATTTTTTAAGCATTAAACCTTGTAAACCTTAACCCTTAAACCTTATATCATTTTAACCCTTTTAATGTATAAGTTCTGATTTAGTATTCTATGATTTTTTAAACTATTTAACCCGGTTAACCTTATTCATTTATAAATACTTAAAGATCTACAAAACCATAAATTGAGAAGTTTAGTGTATTTTTCATCGAATTAATTAGTTCAATCATTTTAATATTCCCAATGAAGTTATCTATCTTATGTTTATATTATTCTGAGTATATAAACTATCATATATATTTATTATTTAAAGTGATACTATCGCTATTTTTTATTATTTAAAGTAATATCTCTATCTATCTTACATTTATAGTTAATGTAAGGACTTATTGTAAGGAAGTGATTTTATTTTCTTTCTGTGCATCCCAGCTTGAGGGGGAATCCTGCACAGGATCTTGGCCATGGCTTAGGAATAAAAACGCGAAAAGAAAGGGAGAATTCCGCCACCACCTCCAACTCCTTGCCCTCTCGTTCTTTTGCGGTGAACGCGTCCAATTGGAATTTTATATGCATATATAGTCTGATAAGTGAGCCAAGGGTTAAAAAAAGGGAAATATTTTATATTTCGCCGCCGCTATAAGCGAACCCTCCCTAGACATTCATGCACTGTGACTGGCATGCGAATATGCGAGCGGAGAAACTCCGAACCCCGAACCCCGAACCCCGAACCCAAACCCTTACCCATTCCCCTTTTTGGGTGCACTTTGCCACCCCTAAGAGCGCAGCGTTTTACAAAAATATATATAAAATAAAAATAAGAAACCCTATTCCGAAATCAGCAACAGCCTCAGACCCGAAAAGGATCAAAATCGCGCCACGCTTGAGCTCTGCTTTATAGTCGAGTACAGTGAATATTCTTAGATAGAGCTAAGTTTATGATCAGTTTTAGAGATTTGTAGTATCTTGAAAATAATAGTATTTGTATATATTTAATATACAATAAATAACTTTAACTGAAACCTGATTTTTATATATTTTATGATGTTTGTATTGAAAATATTTAAAGTGCTTTATATTGATGAACAAATAAATCACTTTCGCATGATATAATATCTTAGGAGTCATAGTTAAGAGTAGTGTAAATATTATTATCTCTTTAGAGATTCGAATTATATATATTAAATTCCACAATTTCAAATTTTTCCTTATATAAATTCTCCTTAATTTTCGTTTCTTTTACCCAATTTTCACTGTAAACCCCTGCCACCCTATTTCCCTATTTGAACAATTTAATAACATTCCGACGAAATAAAATCTTAGAAATCATAGTTGAGAAATTCTCTTTAGAGATCATAATTATATATATTCAATTTAATATTTTTTAATTTTTTCGTACATACTTTCTCCATAGTTGTCGTTCCTTTTACCCAATCTTCACTGTAAACCCCTGCCACCCTATTTCCCTATTTGAACAATTTAATCACATTCCGACGAAATAAAATCTTAGAAATCATAGTTGAGAAATTCTCTTTAGAGATCATATATATATTAAATAAAAATCACATTCCCATGAAATAAAATCTTAAGAATCATAGTTTAGAAATTCTCTTAGAGATCATAATTATAAATATTAAATTTAATATTTTAGAGATCATAATTATATATATTTAATTTAATATTTTCCAATTTTTCCATACATACTTTCTCCATAATTGTCGTTCCTTTTACCCAATCTTCACTGTAAACCCCTGCCACCCTTGACTCCGGCATAGTAGTGGTGCTGTGCGCTATGAGGCGCTCGTGTTTTGTGTTTTGGTGTTTCAAAATGCACCTGGCTAAATTTTAGGCTTCGCTAGCTGCCTCTCCTGGTAGTGCTCGTTCATCGAGAGGGGTTCGGACTGGGATTCAGGATCGGATTGTGGACTTTGGTGGTTGCATTGTGATTTCCATGCCGCACATGCCGCTTATGTATGACATGGCACCGAATGTGCACCAGACCAATTCGCAGTCCTTGCCAAGGGACATTAGCACAGCTACAGACACACACAAATGAACGTTGGTTGCCGGTCGCGTGCCTGGAGCACTTCGACACCCTACAGAATTGTGAATTGTGATTGTTTTTATTTTATTTTTTTTTCTTCCCTATAAAATTTTACTCTAGCTATCTCAGTCACTCCGCGGGTTCCTGTATCCTGCGGCGCTCACATTTATTGTATATGTATTTATATATATTTTTGTGCATGCTGCACAACTGGCGGAATACGACCATAATTATGCCAGGTTTTTCCCATCTCCTTGGGTTCAGTTATTTTTGGGGGTTAGTCATGAGCAAATTTCTATTTTCTGCAGGGGGGTTTTTTTTGTTTACTTTGGGAGGATTTTCTAGCAAATTCCTTAAGCTCGGTGGATAGTCCTTGCTTAGACCACACACACACACACGCACATGCTGCGATTGGCTTAGTGGCCAGCAAGATTGTTTGAGATCAAATAAAATTTTATAAATTGGTTATATCCGGGGAGATCCCTCGGTTTCCTTCTGAAATGTAATTAAGAAATATTTAGACCCTGAAAATCTAAAGCTGAGGAAAATGGGAGAAAGTGTAAAATTTAATTTAATAATAAAATGAATTTGTATTTTAATTTGGAAGATTTAAAATTAATATCTTATGATGGGTTCCTCTACAAAGAAGTTCATTAAATATTTCTATAAAATAAATGTTATTTTAAGCTAAATAAACTCTACATTTAAATGTTAATTAGTTTTCATTAAAGCCTCCGGACTCTGAAATGCAATTAAAAAATATTCACACTCTTTTAAGCCTCGGCTGCAGAAATTGCATAATTATATGAACCCGAATGTTAAAGCAAAATGCAAAATAATTGTGTTTATTTAAATGATTTCAAGCTGCACAACTGCTGAAAAATGTTAATTATTGCATTAGCAAATTGCAAATTTCTGGTTTCAAGTTTGTGTATGCTTAAAGCTTAAATTTGTGCATTAAAAACTAAGCATTCTATTAATTTCCATCACAATTTCACCCTCTTTGAATTAGATTTTCTGGTAAATTCCTTTAACCCAGTGGGATAGATTTTTATTGAACCCTTTCACACATGCTATGCTTGGCTTATTTGGCATCAGAGAATCTCCCAGAGTTACAGCAAATTTCCGTGCATTTTGTAATTGTAATACCCAATGGAGTAATGCATATTGGTAGCTTTATTTCTGCCTTTCCCAGAAACAACATCTCACTCACAGTCGAGTGAAATGCAATTAAAAAACCTTGACGCGCTGCAAAACCAAATCAGTTTCCTGCTCGAGTTGCTGAAATTGCATGAAATTATGAAAGCGAAAAATTTAATTACAGCTCAGTGGCGGCAAACTGAACCCCCAAAAAAGGCAAAAGCCATGGCTCCCTCCGATCTGCCTCGACAATGGGCAACATGTGCTACAAGTGGAGTGGATCCTTGAGGAGCTGCCCAAGCAAAAGTGCACGCGGCTCAAAAGCCTTTTGAGACACATGGATGTATGTATATACACACACAGGGCAGATGAAAACGAGAATGAAAACGAAAATGCATTATGCCGCATAAACGATGCATTTTCGAACATTAATTATTGCCAAGGAGCCATGGAGCCAAGGAGCAGGGCACGAGGATGCAGATGATGGCAGGACATGCAGACAGCTTTGAGGTGGGGAGTGCTCTTGAAATTACCATAAAAAGATGCACTTAAGGGTTAGCATTGGAACAAACAACAAACAAAATGCGTAGATCTCTCTGTTGGGGGTTTTTGCGGGCGATTTTGTGGAAGGGATGTCCTCCCACAGTCACAACTCGAGGGAGAGACATAGCCTCGGGATGTCGTGTGGGTGTTTGTCGAGTGCAAATTTGTGCCAAGAACGCCTTGGAGCGCAGAAAATCAGAGCAGTCAAAGGAGATTATGGATGGAACACGTAGAGAAATGGGGAGGACATTTTAGAGGGATATTAAAACATAGGTAAATAAATGAATATTTATATAAATAAACACATAAAGAAAGTAAGGAATTAAGAAATAAAGAAATGAAGCAAAAGAAAAACTTTAGAATGCAGTAAATAAACATATAAATCAATAAAGTAATAAAGACATTAAGAAATAAAAAAGTTTATAAATAAATACGTTAATATATTAATAAATAAATAGTTTAATAGCTTTAAAATTTAACTACTATTGCTGAGTATTTAAATTTAATTGGTATTTAAATTTCAGTCAGAACCCTAAAACAGATCGAAGGAGTCATTTCCGACCCTATAAATCATTTATATTCTTGATCAGAATTAACAGGGGAATATATCTTGGCATGTCTAGAAGAAAAATAAAATGTTCCAAATTTTGTTAAAATTTGAAATTTCATAAGGGGTTACATCAATCATTCTTTTATTTTTTTTTTTCAAAAATCGAAAAAAATGGAATTTCTTAAATTTAAAAACTGAGTATGCAGGTTTGTTAATCTAGTCAAAACTAGCATAGAGCAGCTTTCCAAATTAAAATTAATGAGTTTTTGGCTTAGTTATGAGATTTGTAAGCCATGATTTTTTGAAAAATTGCCTGTTTTTATACCTTCTTGCAGGGTTTTTTTTATTGTAGTCAAAAACGTTTAATTGCATCAACAAACGTGGTATGCAGATTTGTTAGTGCTTTAAAAACTCGCACAGAACAGCTTTCCTAATCAAAATTAATGCTATTTTGGCTTAATTATGATGTTTGGATTAGATTGATTTTTCTATGAAATTGTCTGTTTTTATACCTTTTTTGCAGAATATAATTTCAGTCAGACGATTGAAACGCAGTGAAGGAATCATTTCCGACCCTATAAATCATATATATTATTGATCAGCATGAACAGCCGAATCGATTTATCATCATCATCGGTAGAAAAAAAAATTTCAAAATTTTTTCAATATTTTTTATCGTTAAAATTGTGAAAAAAATTTCAAAAAATTTTAATTTTTTAAAATATTAAGTAGAATAAGCAGATTTATTATTCTAATAAAAACTAACATGGGAACGTTTTCTGAACTAAAATTCAAGCTTTTTTGGCTTAGTTATGAGTTTTTCAATTTTAGATTTGTCAAAAAAATTTCCATATAAAAGGCTTATGTATGTTTTCTATACCTTACCCTTTTACTTGAATAGTTTATTATCTATTTCACTTAATCTAGCTTTCTTAGAATTTCCCTGATTAAACTTTTATGCTTTCTCTTAAATTCTAACAACGAATAAACACCTAATCTAGTATTGTTGCCAAAAGTTCAGAGGTCATTGTCATAAGAAATTAATAAAAGTGCTCTCCGAATTGATGGATGATAATAACCGGAAAAGAATCAATAACCAACAAGGCACTAATCCTGTGGAATAGGCTTGTCCTCGGATTAATCAAACTTCATCTTTTTGATGGCTTGATTTTCGCGTTCCGCATTTCTCTCACTTTATCGCAGTCCAAAATAAGGCGGCATTTGTGAGTGACAAGGATAAGTTGGCAAACGCTTCTCCGGCAAGGGGATGAGGACATTCAGCTAGGGTTGGAATTTTCCTCCGCACCGGAGCTATCTTGGGCTTGGGCTTTCAGGATTTCAGGACGAGAGGACGCAAGGATGGCTGATGGGCAGGAGCGAATAGGACAATGCTCGCGTGGCTGGCGCACTTCTGAGACTTTTGTTGCCTTCTCCGGGTTCTTCGATTCATTGGAAACGAAGGTTTGGATTTGGCTTCAGCTTCAGCTTTGGCTTTGAATGCGTGCGCTATTTTAATTCTAAGCTGCATGGCAAACATTGAATTCCCCTTGCCAGGGCCACCCTGCTGCGATTGGGTCGCTTTGGGAATACCCTGTGCACTTGGGCACGATGCACTGAGAGAAATTAATAGCAAAAGTTTACATTTAGAGGATTTTAAATAAATAAAAATAAGAGGTGTAGGATCAAAATATAATTTTTAAATGGTTCTACATTTTTCCTAAGAAGTTATATTTTATTTATACTAAAATTGTTTTAAAAGAGCTTTGAAGACTACATTTTTATGTGATTTGAGGCAATTTCTTCATATATAAAATAATACTTCTTAAGTTAATTAAAGTAATCAGTAAATGCTTTGTTTTTGCCAAGAGAGCACTCTTTATCAAGAGGCACTGTGATCCCCACTAACAGCTTCCAATTTCCCGTCTAAAGCGCTCTCACAAGCTCTCTCTCTCTCTCTCAGTTTCTTTTACTTCCCACTTCCAGTCCTCTGGAGCTTTCCAATCTGCTCTGCCAAACCCATGCTTAATTTATATTTAGTTAGTACAGTTTAACATGTGATATAATTAATAGATAAGAGCCGCGTCGCGCCAAACCCCGTAAAAGTTAACGCGTTATCAGTGATCGAGTGCATTTCAGAGTTATTTTTACAAGCCTTAAATATATATAAAGATGATGACTATAAGTTGATTGGAAGATCAATTTAAATGGTATTTATAATCAATATAATTTTTATTTATACATTAAGTTATTTTATTTCTATGAAAGACATATTTTATCTCAAATTTAAAGCTTGAAATAGATCATGTATTATTGAAAAAGTTAACAACTACCAAAATCTAAGGGGAATTGGGAAGTTCTCTGTTACAAAACGTATTAAAAACAAATTCTGTTATCTGAAAAGAAACTCGGAAACTTTCTACTATTAAACTCTTTAAAAACAAATTCTGTAAGCTTTTAAAAACATAAATATCTGCAAAAATTATGTAAACTCTCAAGAAATTCCCACCATAGTCACTCCAATTTTTCTCCCAGTGCACACACGCTCTGTCAGTGTCGATATATATGTTTATATATTTTTTGGGGTGGCAATCGTTGCCATGCACGTGCCTACCGTAATACAAGAACAACAACAATGGCGGCGTCATGTTCAACATAATATGCCATATTTCCAGGACCAACGAAAGTCCTGCGACGAAAGCCCTCGACGGGAATCGAAAGTGCATTCCCTTTCATGGCAACCACTGCCGGCGTCGCATTTCGATTATATTAATGCAAAGCACACACATACACAGCTTTGTGTATCCAAACACACAGATACGACCAAAGATACAGATACAGGCGAGACTGTGTCCTGTGTCCTGTGCCTGGGTGGTGGTGGTGGAGTTCGAAGTTCGAACTCTGGGTCCTGTGTCTGCTCCGGCTTTTGCTCCTGCGTCTGATACCTACCCCACCAAAAACCTTGACGAGCTTAGCCCGTCGTCTGAGGCGGCCGCAAAAACCTGATAAATGCAGTAGCTAACGGTACAGAGAGAAAAATTGGGGGGAATATTTATAATAAGAAAATAAATATATGGGCTTAAGTTTCCTCAGAAAGTTATGCCAGGTTAGGGAATATAATATTGGGGTTTTATAATCATTTTTGTAATATTCTGAAAAGGACAAAATAATGTGTTACGGGTTAGTTGTATTGTTTTCCTCTACTTTCTTTTTATTATTTCTAAAATAATATTAAAATTCATACAATAATATATAAGAAACCTTATATAAAACCTACAAATTCAATTTCTATCATTATTTTCTATTTAATCTATAATTCTGCTACGTCCCCATAAGCTCTCCTCTGTCAAGTCTTTGCATATTTTATAAAATCTATATAAAAAGATACCCCCAAATCAGCTGCACACTTCTTTCTAGAATCCTTGCTACCTGGAGTCCTTACTTGTTACATTGTTTACCTTAAGCACAAGTCACTTTATGGCCCATAAAACATTTTCGTTCTTCCAATTGCCAACAGCTGTTTTTGCCAAATGGCAACAAAGATGCTCTTCTTTCAAGGATCCCAGGGATCCCCTTCGAGGATTTGTCTACACTCTGACCTTATGGTTACACGCTCAATTAACGGTTTCAAGGATGTCAGCTGTTTTTCGCCAAAAATCAGTAACAATATGAGAGGCTCCGATTTCCGCTGAATATTTGCCAGGAACGTGCTGTGTTTTTGGTGCGTGGCAAGGATAACAGCTGTCGCACATTGATTTCGCCGAGTGCATTGTCCTTGCCTGCCATTTGTTTGTATGCGTAGGACTTTCACTAACAGAGATCGGTGTGTGTGTGTGTGTGTGTGTGTGTGTGTGTTTGTGAGTTGGAAAAAAGGGTGACTAATGTGTGTGTGATTGCTAACAAAAGATTCCGGCTTTTGCGGCTCTGCTAGCGTCGCTGCCTCTGCCTCGGCCTCTGCCACAGTTGGCGTCGAAAAAGGACAACGACTTGGCCCTAGGAAAAGGGGGTTGAAATGTAATTTCCAGGAGCGACGCCGGCACAAAACAATGATTTCGGTTTCAGTTTCGCTTTCCTTTGGCCGCTGCCGGCATACATAAATAGCCGCCAAGGGATAACCTGAACGTCATTCGCAGCACAAACGTCGAGCCGACTGGAGGTCCTTGTTTCCATTTTCCAGTCCGCAAGGATCAGCGTTATCAGTTTGTTGTTAAGTTTGCTTAGTTCCCGTTCTCCGTTCTCCGTTCCTCGTTCTCTCGTTTCCGTTTCCGTTGTCCCCCCCTTCAACGCGTTCAAGTTTTTTACGTTTAAACGCTATCGATGCCATGGCCCAGACGCAGACGCAGTTACAAACCCAAAGCCAGGGAACCGAAACCCTTCGCCATCCGCACAGCATCGGCATCCAGCTGCAGCACAAGGGCATGCCCCATGGCTTGGGGCTGCTGACCACGGTGGCCTCATTGCCGCCCAAGTACCGCAGCCGGTATCTGAATCTGAAGACCAGGTGCGAAATTCCATTGGATTTGTCGGTGAAACTGCCCTCGCCACTGCCCAGTATCGATGTGCCGATGGCCACCACATTTACCGAGGTGTACAGCGAAAATGTAACCGAGGATGTAGTGGAGGAGCAGGAGCAGCAGCAGGAGCAGCACCAGGAGCAAGAGCCGGCAGAACTAACACCAAAATCCGACCCTACACCGCCGCAGAGTCCAGAGCTGGCCATTAAGCGTAAATTGAGCTGCGACAATGATGATGATGATAAACAGTCGGCTAAAATGGCCAAGCTTGAATCCCCGCCAGCTCCAGTGGAAGCCACGCCTGCGAAACCCATTAAGCCACTCGATTCGGCGCCAAGGACCAGCAAGGCCAGTGCATCCTCCACGAAATCCTCGAGGAACAAGGCCACACGGAAACTGAAGTTTGATGAGGAGACAAGTTCACCAGTCTCAGGGACCATTATCCGCCCCTTGGAGGACATCACCGATGGTTCGATGCAGTACAGCAACGGTGACATTGATCCCAAATACAACATTGTGGAGATCACCGAGGAGACCAAGGCCGAATTGGCTGCCATCAAGAATGTGATTGGTGACTATGTGTGTCGGCTGTGTAAGATCAAGTTTGAGGATGCCTTTGGCTTGGCTCGTCATCGGTGTGCCTGCATAGTGCTCCTGGAGTACCGATGTCCCGAATGTGGAAAACAGTTCAATTGTCCTGCTAACCTGGCTTCACATCGAAGGTGGCATAAACCCCGGAAGGAGGCAGCCACCTCCTCGAAGAAGGAGAATCGGAACACCATCAACCAAGTGGAGCAACAGCAGTCGCCGGCGGAGAAAAAGGGTGCCGAGGAAATGGCTTTCGATTGTGGTGAATGCGGCAAGAAGTTCAAGCGTGCAGCTTACCTGAGAAAACATCAGCTGACGCATCAGAAGAAATCTTTGGGGAAAACGGAGGAAAAGCCACAGGAAATGGTGCCACCAAGTAACACCACTACCATCACAGGTAGTTTCCATTTCAATCAGGCGGCATCCACTTCCTCGGCCAGCAGTTCCCACTCCGATGAAGGTGTCTATGCTGCCAGGAGCAACTATGAGTATGACAACGACTATCTCTCGGACAGCAGCTCATCGGCCTCCTCCGTGGGCTATGGCCGACTCCAGATCGTGGAGCATGGCCTCACCGAGGAGGAGAGTATTGCGGCGGCGGCTTTGACCAATCTAAGGAACTGTGCCTCCGTCATCCAGCACACAACCATGGCGCATTGAAAGCGAGTGAGATTTCACCAGAGTTACTGTTAAGTTTAGTTATTAATTGAGAACTAACCCTTAGTTCAAGGGTTTAATGCAGCTGAAGCAGACCAAAGACTTAGTTTTATCCACACAAAAAAAGGGAATTTCATTTTCCATCTTTTACTCTTAGTTAGCTGATAATGTTTAGTTATTAATCCGATTTAGTTGAGTTTAAATCCAGTTCAAGATGAGTTCAATTCTAGTCAGGCTCTGATTTGCATCCGTACTTCGATCAGACATTCCAAAGGTATTTCTAGTCATACATCATAGTCAGTGTGTAACAACTAGTCAGTGTGTTGGCACTAGTCAGCTTCAATACGATCTCGAAAAAGTGTTTTTAAGTACTTTTACTTGTACCAGAAAAGCATTTCTAGTCATTAGTTTTAGCTTAGTAACAGTTGGGAGTGCAATGAACTAGGAAATAGTATAAACCTCAAATTAATATCTTTCATACTTTCATTCTTCATCCCATACTAATCAGCTTTCATTGTCTCTATCATTTTTCATACTTCTCCCTCCATAACTCTTTCATTCATGACTCATTCTCATACTCATACATTCCATACTTCACACTTCCCTAACTCATTTCTCATGACTCATTCTCATACTCACCTTTCCGGATCATCTACTTCATACTTCATCCTTCATAAAACCATCTACCCATATCTCAAGCTCATCTTTCACACACATATCATATTTATCAACCCCATAATAATTCATGTGTCATTCTAGTCATAAGTTCTTGCATTCCTTCTAGTCATTTTAGATACTTTCTAATCTATAAGTCAACTTGATTTCGATTTTTCTAAGTTTTGTACCTAAAAGTACATTCAACATTCTTCATATTTCGGATACAGCTTTAGTTTCTACATATAGGTTATATACCGAAAACAAAATTCAGGCGAAATTGTGCAGTAATAGCTATTAAGTTACAAAACCAAACCAAAAAAGCAAAACCAAACCCCAAAAACCTAAGTTTAAACAACAAATCCAAACCCAGTGCGTTGGTAAACCAAAGTCGAGTGTGAACTCTAGTCATTTTTTAGGAACTTAAGAGGAGGGATGATTACTATCCCCAAGAATCTATTCAGTTTAGTTTAGTTTAACATAGTTATAGAAACGGACATTTGGACCAGCGTCTCACTACCAGTCAAAGTATTGAACAGTACAACCTAGCTATAAGGGCCACAGGCATCTCTGAACCGGCGGTTGTGTACTTAAAGCAATAATCTAAGGCAATCCCAAATATCGGGGCAATATCACATCGCTATTGTTCCTTAGCACTTGTCACATCTACATATGTATATACATATTATATATGTAAATTGGTTGTAACCTCAGAGTACAACGAAATGGGAAACTTTCGCTCAATCTAGTCATTAATTAACTTTAAGATATATCATATACATGGAACCATATCGGTTGAGATTTTGTGATACTAAATGATAAGCCTAAAGTTTACAAGGATCGTTGTGCTCGAGTGCATAAACAATAAGCAAAGAATATAGATTTTTCTACCATATATTTTTATACGTAATATACACTTGATATAACAACTTTATATATATTTTTATACAAAAACATCTCTTGGAAAACCCATAAAAATTGTAAATTAATAACAAAAAAGTCTTGAATAAAAATGGAAAACTGAAAAAGAAATCTTTATTATCTTTGGGAAATATATATTATTATACATGAAAGCCTCTTGGAACCGTAATTAAAAGTTTTAAAATATATAAATGGATAATTAAATAAGAAAACTTTGTTTATATTATTAAAATACCAAAAGAACATATTTTTATACAGAGAAATCTATATTTTTAATATTTAAACATATTGTGGAACAGAGAGAATAGTTTCTTATTTAAATACATATATTTTCCTTTGGAATATATGAAAATAGAAGATATTTTTGTATAAACACCAATTTTAAAAATTCTTAAAAATTGTAAACAATGTAAAGTGTAATTAAATAAAAACGAAAAACTGCAATTAAAACACTTCTTTCTGTGAGAAAAGGGGATGTTAGAAGTCACATAAAATTTGTGACTTCTAAAAATTGTTTGCTAACAATGCAAACTTCTATTTCTTTAGAAATTCTTCAGTATTTAAATGTATTTATTAATATTTATGTTTTTTTAAATCTTAAAATTTGTAGCTATTTTAATTGTAGGTTTACTTTTCATAGGGAAGTATTAATGCAAGCTCCTAATATATTTTGCGAGGAAAACTCTCCCAAAGAAAACTTAGAAACAAAATAACTCACCCAAAACGTCCTCCAAAAAACCCACTAAAAATACGAACTATTTAAAAAAGACTTGAATTAAGGCAGAAAAAGATACACTTAAATTAAAAACTTGAATATTTTCTTGCTTCGTGTTAGTGCAAACAAACCCTGAGAGCCTTTAAATAATCGCTTTATAATTGTAGAAGAAAAGCATACATCATCTACGTGGGGGTTGCACGTCTACTAAAACAATAATGATGATTGCTTCTTGGGTGATTCTTCACAATTATTTCCAAATAACGCTGCAGTCCTGTAATGAAATGCCATAAAAGGCCATTGACATGGCCCATCGATCTGCGAGAGACTAAAACAAATAGCGGAGCACTTTAAGTGGGAAAAGCGGAAAAGCTGAAGTGGACTCATACTCGGACTCGAACTCGGAATTGGACAGATGCAAGTTGCGCCTAAGCACACACAGTACAGAAAAAAGGACGAGAAGGAAACTTGATGATGGGGGTGGAATCCCCGGGGTGTGGGTGAACCGAAGCTGGTCCAGAGTGAAACCCTAAACGGGGCAAACTAATGATGCCCTCAAAACGGAAACGCGTAAAAAATGTTTAATCAAATACAAATGCATGACAGCACGGAAAAAGCGAGAACGAACAGGATATGCCAGGATATGCCGGGATGCGAGGACGCGAGGGTGCAGCAGCATAAAAATCGGGGGTGCCCAAGTTGCGTGCGCGGTGTGAATCAATTTAAAGCGTCAAAAGAGCCATATATAGCATTTAAGCCGAAAGATGTCCTGTTGCAGCCCAACCCATCGCATCCGAATTTCTGTAAAATCATGCCGACAAAAACTACCCCGTTTTTAAGGGTGTGATGCAGCAGCAGCAGCAGCAGCCGATCCGTTGTTGTGTTCTCTAACATCTGTGTCCAAAATAAATACACAACAAACCTAATAAAAATAAAAACAAGAACGCATAATAATAAAATGATCTCGGTAAACGATATGTTGCATTTGGCACCTTTGGCACGAGACATTCCTTCGCAGAGGAACCCGCATCGGAAGGACACACACATCTACAACAAGTCTCAATTTCTGCGGGCCAAAGGCAGCTGCCTCTAGGATCCAGGATCGGAAAAATACCTTTATAAGAACGTAGAGGTTATCCTGCTGCTCTGCTAATTTGCACCTTGAGAGGCAGCAGGCTCTCGAACATTTTGTGCCGCCACCTTATGCAGGTCCTTTGTCCTCGCCCAAGTGGCCGTATGTTCTATGAGACCTCTACTCGAAGGAGTTGAAAGATTGATGAGCCTGATTGGAAGATCTGAAGTGGCTAGACTTTGAGTGCCGGCCACTCGAGAAACCCATTTTGATTACCATCATCATGGGAAGCCCCGAGGGGCTATTCAAAATGCAAATTGTAATTATGTAATTTTAAAACTTGCATAGGGAAAGCTTTTTTGTGAGACAAGAAAATATTCTACGGGTTCAGAGAGATTTTAGATTAATTGAAATATGTTTAGGGGAATTTTGAAAGCAAATTGTTGGTAGGTTTTACACTTAAGAAAAGGTTATTTTTTTAATTAAAAATTAATTAAATACATTTATTAAGAAAAGGACATTAATTATACCCTTGCAGGGTATTATATTTTTAGTCTGAAGTTTATAACACGTGAAGGAGTCATTTCCGACCCTATAAATCATATATATTCTTGAACAGCATCGATAGGAGAAACGATCTAGACATGTTTGGGAGAAAATAAAATTTTTGAAATTTTTATTCTATATTTTATAAAATTTTATAATGAAAAAATTGGCAAATTTGTCAATTTTGTTAAGTGTTAAGTTTAGTATGCATATTTTTTTAGCTTGTAAAAACTAACACGGGAAAGCTTTCCGAATTGAAATTGCTGAATTTTTGGCTTAGTTAGTTAGTTAGTCTTGAATCCATGATTTAAGGATATTCACACTTTTACTTCCCTAAGTTATCTTCCTTTCTAGTTTTTGTTTACTTTTTATCAGAAACGGCATTGCTTATGTTTTAAAAACATAATCCTTAAATATAATATTCCTCAAAAACACATCTGGAATTCTTATTTTTGAAATCAAACCAATTGCTTAAGAGTCCTTAAAAGCTCTTCTGTAGCTTTGGCATGCAACCCTGCGTTGTGTCAAGTCCTGCCCGATATCCTGGCAGCTGTCAAGGAGCAACCCTGCAGCAAGTGGACAGCACCGACTGTCGCTGAAAATAACGGTTATCGGGAAATATTCTCAGGATTCTCTGCTTCTCTTTCTTTGCGCTTTCTCTCTTGCTCTGTGTGAGTGGCAAATCTCCCGGAGAGACGCCTACGCCGTGGCACGAACACTCCGTCACGAGCCGGAACGCATCGTTTTGGATGTGGCATAGCGGAGGAGCATCGCACACCTGACATCCAGACATTCATGTTGTGGCCAGGCTGGCAGTCAGACGTGTTGGAGCTCAGAGTCCGAGAAAAACCGAGAAAATCGAGAAAACCGAGAGACCTCGCGTCCGAAAGCCCCGAGTGCAGAGCGAAAGGTAGTGGAGTCTCCCCAAAGGAGTTGCGTCCGCGAACGGTTTACGTTTCTATTCTCTAAATCGCGTTTAGTGAGTGTGATTTCTCGTTAATCATAAACCTAAAACAAAGAAACAAGTTGTTAATTCGCTAGAAATAAAGGGAAACCACACACAGAGCAAGCTCTGTTCAGGACACAGCATGTGCTATGGCCCCAGGGGGTGGTTGTGGGTGGGTGGAGTTAACGGTGGTGTCCTTTCCAAAAACCCAAAGAGAGCTCTGTAGAGAGAGCAAAACTTATTGATTGAGCTTTCTCTCGCTCCCCCAAAAGAAAAATACTGGTACGTTTTCCTTTGGCGGCGGCAAAAGCTTTTGCAAAACTTGGCTTTGATTTTCCCGCTGCCTGCCTTGGGTGAATTTTTCAGCAATTTTCATTTTCAGTTTTTCTCCCGACTGTTTTAGGGCGGTTCCGCAAGCAGCAGCGACTCCTGCGAATTCCAACAACACACCAACACACCTTCGAGCGCGTATGAAAAGTTCGGATAAAACCGAAAAAATTAATAGAAAATCAAAAAAGGAAAACACATACGCATTCCAATAAATAAAACGCATGAAAGCGGCAAAAAAAGAAAAGCATGAAAAGCGTGGGGGCGGGGGCGGGGATATAAATGAAACTTGTGAATTGGTCAGAGAAGGATTCGGGAAAATATTATGACAAAAAAATGAAAGCAGAGTGTGTGTTGTTATTGTTCGAGTGTGTGTGCCTGTGTGTGTGCGTGCGTATCCTTTTGCGAGAGTTGTGTGTTTTTTGGTCGATTGTTGGATAAAAATTCAATAAAATGCTAAGGATTGCAATTGCCAAAATGGCCAACAAAAAATTACAACAAAACTCGACACGCGCGCACATACACATGGAAATTTGTCAGGAAATTTCGACTGTGTGTGTGTGCGCGTAGTTTTGATTTTCTCTGTGGCTTACTCTCCTTTGCCTCTGTCTCTGTTTCGGTGTCTGTGTGTGTGTGTGTGTGGCTCTCCCCGACTCGGTGTGTGTGTGTGTGAATGTCCTTCGCTGCTTACGTACGCAGACTGAGTGACTCGATTGAGGCGGCTGCCTGAATGGCTGGCAGGTCCTGTGCTCCGCTTTTTTCTCCTTTGTGAAATGAATGCGTATTCAATGAGCAATGAAATCCGTGACACATTCGCGCCTTCTCTCCTCAGCCTTGCCTCTCTGTCGCTCTCTCTGTCACTGTGTCTCTTTCTCTCTCGCTTTCTCTTGGTGGCAGGACCTTTTGCATTTTCCATTTAATTTATTTTTTATTACACTGGCCGCCTTTGTTCTTTGTCCGATTTCCGTTTTAAATAAAAGCGACATTAACACCATAACCTCTGACATTTATCCGTCTGTCTCTCGCCCACACACACACACACACACACACACACACACAGAAACACGCATTCGCAGTCGCAGGATAACTTGCCACATGTGCCTGTGTGTATGTGTGTGTGTGTGTGCAGAGGCATTTTATCCTGCCTTGGAAATTCCTTTGACCGAGAGTCCTTCTTAGCCAAAATTCCTGTGTTAATTTCAGCTCGAATGCAAAACCCATTAATTGGCTGGCAAAGTGCTATGAAAATTCCTTACGGCCTCCCGCGTGAGTGTACCGCAAAATAATATCAATAAATTCCTCCAGCAATAATAATAATATTAATAATAATAATAACTATGCCCCATAACTGTATCGGTGCCTTGCTCCTACCCGGTCGCTCTAAACTAAACTAAACCTAAACCTAAACTTAAACCGAAAAAAACGAAACTAAATCGAACCAATTGCAAAACTAAACTAAGCCAGAGACCAAACAAAATAGAGAAAAACTTGTTGAAGTGCTTTAATTGATGTGTGTGCCCAATTGGCTGCCGAATTGAGCGAGCGAAACGAGAAAAAGGAGTCTCCGCCGTTGCCGTCGCCTGGCAAAAAGGTGAGTCAAACCGACAACTGTCTGCTTGTGCTAGGACCTTACACTAAGATGGGTGAAAAATCAACCCCAAAGTGGGGAAAACGAGGAAAATTCAAGACATTTTTGATCCTTGCTGCTGCACTGTAGTTACATTTTTGATTGAATTAAAGTAAAATCAGTCAAGTTGGGGAAGTAATTTGTGATTTTATGTAGGGTTAACCAATAGGAAATAAGTATTCAAATTAAACAAGTTCTTCTTTTTGCATATTTATTTATTTTACCAAGACTTTTAATAACTTTAAATAGTATTTCTTAATATTTATACATTTATGTATAATATTAGTCAAGAAATATATACTTATCGTAGTAGTATCTTTGAAATTCTTGAATTTCTAGTTGAAATATAAAAGTATTCGTTAAGTTATTGATATTCAAGAATGTCTATTCAAGGCATTTTATTATAATTCTATTATCATAATTATAAATAAATAATAAAGCAATTGCTTTATAAACTATAAAATCAATAAAATTAAATACTTTTCAAAACAGGGTGAAAGGGCACTAAACCCTAAAGTTATTCCGCTTAATATAGACCAATTTTGGCTTAAAATTCCCGCTACAGACATTCCTAATAAGTAGGTTTTAGGTAAATTAAAGGATTCAAAGTTTTCCCATTTTATGTTTTGTTAATTTTTGACCACCAAACCAATAATCAAAATGGTTAAATAAATATAACTATTAAAAACTACATATATAATATTGAAATTGGAATCTAAAATAGGTTTATTTATGTTCAAAGCACTTTACAGGCTTGTTAAAGAATTTAAATAGTATTTAAATATAAAATTTCCAATAATAACAAAACAAATTTTCCAAAAATTAATTATATTTCTGTTTGAGTTTAATTAGAGTATATAAATAAATTAACAAATTAATTTTAGCTAAAACAGAGAAGCACAGAAAATCGAAACCCATAATTGATGAGTTGTATACATGCACTTTAGACTTATTTATTACTTATTCAAAGTGTGAATTAACAGGATTACGAGCATGTTTTTAATGAGATCCAATATAGCGAGAAGAAAAATAGGTGCACCCGTTTTCCACCCACCGAAAGCTAAACAAAAAACACAAGAATTAATTACTCACTTGCTAAGGCCGAAAATGAACCCAAAAACTCGGAGGTTTTGTGTGTGTGTGTGGGAGTATGGGTTTGGTTTTTGGGGGTTTTGAATTTGGGTTGGGGTTCAGTTTTCAATCAGCAATCAGCGGGAATAAAAAAGTTGTGAACTTCCCAGCCGCATTCTCATTTTCCCCTTCCCCTCCAGCCTCTGATCCTGCCAAAATATCCATTTGCGGATTAGGCATACAGTGAGTTTGCTTCCTTGCCAGCAATTTATCCTTTATAAACAGCCGCCGGACCTGCTCACACACACATAGACAAAGAAAAAGGGTTTCCCGACCTTCGTGTGTGTGTGTAACATAATTTGAAGTGCACACTTCCGTCGGCCGAAAAATATTGTTTGGCTGCCGAATTCGGGCACCAAAAAATAAAAAGTCTATTAATAAAAATAAGCAAAAATCAGTGAGCGTCCGAAATTGACCCAGGGTAAAGGAAGAGTAAGAAAAGCCAGCGAGCAATTTCCCAGCCAGCAAAGTTCAGCGAATCAAGAGCGCTTTTCTTTCTTATTTTTTTTTTTGCTCTTTCTCTTGTGTTGTGTTGCCTGCCCCGAGTGCGTTTACTTAAGCAATCAACTCGACCTCAAACATATACACTCGCTCTAGTCTTTGTATACAAATATATATATATTCTCTTCGTTTTTATTATAACAACTAAAGGAGGCCGCAAAGTTTGTGTGTGGAAAACATGGGGCGGAAAAACCCTTTTCGTTTTCTTTTTTGCGCCATCGAAACAAATTTGGAGCAAAAATCGCAGTGCATTTGCGGGCTGACATCTTTGCGGATATGTTTGTTTGCAGACAAATAAAACATTTGCTCTTCGCTCAGCGAAGTTTGTTTAGTTTTTCAATTCTTTCCAGCTTGGGGAATCCAGAATCCGGGGTGAAACATTTACACGCGTGCATAACAAAGGACGTGCAAATTCTCACGTCAACACACATAAACCACTGGCAAATATACGCAGAGACATAAATACAGGTTTGTGAGCTAAACGCATACTCACGCACTTGCGCGGGCAATGTCAACAAATGTGTAGCATACTTTTTCGGGCGTCCCCTTTCCCAGCATTATTTGCACCTTTAGTCCTTAGCTTTTGTTGTTATCTGCGGCTGTCTCCTATATTTTCTTCTTCCCTTTATTCTCAGAGTTATTTTTCTTATGTTCCATAGTCTCCTGGAACTTCAAAAGCTTCAATTTAGCAGAGAGCTAAATAAGAGCATACTAAAGGATCATATAGATTGCTTAATAATTTGGCTTATCTAAATATTCTTTTCAATTTAATCTAGTTTTTCTTATATTTTCTCCGAGTGTACCTATCCTTTTTTGTTGTTATTTAGTGCCTTCGTTGTTGGCTTTTATGCTTATGCCTGCTTTTCCCTTCTGCCCGCCCATTCTTCTTATTTATTTTGTTGGATTTTTCCGTCTGAAGTTGTCCTTTGGTGCAGTCATCATCCACTCTACCCGCCTCTTGCTCTTGCGGTTCCTTTATGATGTGCGCATAAAATATTTGTCATACATTCTTGACAAAAATCTGCCCTGTATTGGATTTGCTTTTGGGTCTTGGGTCCTTGGGTTCTTGGAACTGTCTCTCTTTCTGTGTGTGTGTGTGTGTCCCATTAATGTTTGCCGTATCCTGCAATCCTTTTTCGGACGCTGTTTTTCCGGGGCCACGCCCCAGTGTGCATAATCCACGGATACGGATTCATATAAGCTGGGAGTTTTTGGCCGCGTTTTCCATCTGTCGCAGCCCATCCATCCATCCATCCATCCATTCGCATATACATATCTATCCCAGCTATCTGTCTTTGTATCTGCTCCCTGGCCTCGTCTCGATGTCGCGTTTAACGAACTGTGTCATTTACACTTTTTGACAATAAAGTCCGGGTATCCCAAGTGCTCCCCGTTCAGCAGGACCCCCGCAGGACCCTTTTGCCGTGTCAAAGTAAAAATATTTGGCTTCAATTCGCTTGACTGCATGCACGTTCGTTCCATCTACAGGCTGCACAGGCTTTTGGGGGATCGAGCTCCATCTCTGGCTTCTCCCTTTCTCTTGGTTTTCTCTCGGGTTTCTCTGCGGGATTGGGTTCTCCTTTTCTCCGCTATTGACTTTTGGTTCGGGGACGCTTTGACGTCGATTACGCAAAGCCAATAATGAAATGACTTTGGGGTTTTGATTGGCAAAACATTGCGGGCTATAAATGCGCACACACACACCCATATATACACCCTGCCTGGCCACGCCCCCCTCTGTGCTGTGTGGGCTGGTGTGTTTGCGCTAAAATTCACGCTCTATTAATGGCGCTTTGTGTGGCCCCAAAAACATCGACACCGCGCCACCGCCATTCCGCGTATTGCGACCATAGAATAGTCCCTCCATCGGCTCGCCATTGTGATTGTGCAGTGTCAAGATTTGCCTTTTATTTGCCATTTTAATTAGCCACCAATCAAGTGCCGGCAAAGCAAAGTCCAGTCCAGTTCAGTTCAGTTCAGTTCAGTCCAGTCCCAGCGACCAAAGCGACCTACAGATCTGTGACCTGAAGTGAAATCAAATACGGCTATTTGGAAATTTATACACGATTTGTGGCTGAAAGCTGCGGTGTTTACCAAAAGCAGGATTTCCTGCGTGAATAGGCTGTGTTGGGTCTGTGGAAAGAGATTTTGAAGTGAATTATGTTTTAAAATAATGTTCTTTGAAATTATTGGAATAATTATTAAGAATAATATTTATTAAGCTCTTAAGGTAACTAGAATTTCTTGAAAAAAGCTTGATCTGAACCAACTAAGTACTTTTACAACATCATACATACAGTTTTATTAAGTTTCAAGCTAAAATTTAATGAAATTATATACGTTTTGAGCAGTCTTATTATTAACTTACAAGAAAGGACCAATAACTGATGTGTTATTTTCAAACTATAAAGAAAATTCAATGCGAAAAGTGTTCCTAACAATTTATTTACCACAAATAAGACAACTTTATGATAAGGAAAAAGATTGAAGTGAACTTATTACTCATTCCTTGAAGATCTTATGTCGAGAAACCTTTTTATTTCTCATAAAATCATTCCATTAATAGCCAGAAAAAAAAACCTAAAATGCCAAAACACTAAGAATACTCTTTTTATTTAAAAATATAATACTATTGTTTTTATATTCCCAAGCTAAAATACATCTCAATATATTTACTTACCACAAAGCAATCTTAAAAAGTAAGTTTTAATGAAGCTTTTCTTTAGCGTACACCATTTGCTTTAATATAATTTTAATAATAACAAGAAAGGAAGCTAACTTCGGCACGCCGAAGTTTATATACCCTTGCAGATAGAACTTCTATGAATAGGAATCCATACAATATAAATTATATATATTTGTGTTAAAAAACAATGAAGTAATACCTGCTTTCATTTCATTCACCTATACATATTATATTTGCAGTTTTACATTCACTGATTTGCATTTTTCCTCCACATCAAACGATCGTTTGTATGGCACCTATATGATATAGTCGTCCGATTTTCATGAAATTTGCCACAAAATTTAAGACTTATATAAAATGGCTATACCTCAAATTTGATGAAAATCAGCTGAAAACTAAAAAAGTTATAAATTTAATTGTATTAATTTCTCGATCGTTCCTATGGGAGCTATATGATATAGTAGTCCGATTTTTATAAAATTTCGTACAAAATTGAAGAGTATAGTAAAATGGCTATATCTCAAATTTGATTCAATTCTATTGAAAACTGAAAAAGTTAAAATTTTTTTTGTAAAAATTTTGCGGTCATTCCTATGGCAGCTATATGATATAGTCGTCCGATCCGGCCCGTTCCGACATATATACG